CGTCGCAGGTGGATGAGCTGTCCATGGATCACAGCGATCTTACCGAGAAGGTGAAAGATGAAGTCACGACACCCAGGATGGTGGCAAGCTCGGTAGCTGCAGAGGAGACGGGCGATACGACGGCGGATGAGAGTGTAACCAGCCGGCGAGCCGCTAGAGCAGGCAGCCTCGCTCGCATGTCGCAGAAGCGCAAGCGGCGCGATAGCGACGTTGCGCCCGCGGCGCCACCCACACATGTTCAATGGACGCGCGGCTTCCAAAAGGTCAGCGCATCGGCGCTAGATCAGATAGGTAGCCATCGCCACGCCAACATGTTTGCTAACCCCATCCGGGAGCGCGACGCGCCCAACTACAGCGGCATCGTGCTGCAGCCGCAGGACATCATGTCCATCAAGAAGGCCATCACGCACGGGAACCGCGTGGCCAGCCAGACGGCCGCCAACCTACCGGGCGGCGACCCCGGCACGCCTGTCGTGCTGCTGCCTATCAGCGAGGATCTCGTCCCGCCCAAGGGTATCATCAACAGCGCGCAGCTGGAGCGGGAGCTCGTGCACATGTTCTGCAACGCCGTCATGTATAACCCGGATCCCGACAGGGGTCCCGGCCCCAAGTTCATGAAACGCGGGCACGGACAGGGCGGCGACGATAGCCTTGGGTATCAGATGGATGAGTTTGGTGTCGTGAGGAATACGCGTGACATGTTCGTCGAGGTGGAGAAGCTCCTGACCGACCTGCGGAACGCGGAAAGTCAGAGGGGCGTGCCTCCCGCTTCGGCGGTGTCGCTGACTCCTCGAGCGGCGAGTACAGCTGGTGCTAGCGGTGCAGCAGGAGGTGACGACACGGCTGATGATATGGATGAGTTGGCGCAGGACGACGGGACCTCGACCGCGAGTAGAAGGAAACGCGTAATAAAGGCATAGGTGCCTTGGCGGACTGTCAGGAGCCGCGGACGAGGTCTCCCGTCTGCGGCAAGCGCTAGCACAAGCACGAGTGCGACGCCGACTCGAGGGAACGCTACGAATACTTCTCGACGTGGGACAGCAGTCGGGGGTAGTAGGGGGCGAGGAAGAGGAACGTCTACTGCGAGGCGAGCTGGAGGTCGGCGGGGAGGACGTTAATGGAAGGGTATTACGAAGAGTATTACTCTTTACTTCTGGGAGAAGGCAGACAGCGGGATTGTATCATTATGTTGAGGTAGCTTGTTTTCTCATCTTTATTTCTCTTTCGGAAAGAAAAAAAGCGAGAGATAATATGAAAAGTTGAATTCAACTCAAAAGACCCGTCTATTTGACCATCTCATATCTATATCCCCTTTCCCCCCTAAACAAGCCTGTAATACTACTACCTCTTCTTCCCCTTACTAGCCTCCCTCGCCAACTCCGCCAAAGCCCTCTCATAATCCCCAATCCTCTCCTCACCAACCTCCCCATCCCTCACCCCCTGCTCCTCACCAAGCCTAACCCTCTCCACACCCTCCCTCCTCGCAATCCTCCGCCCCCTAACAACCTCACCCCAGAACCACCCACCCTCCTTCCCATCCGGCACCAAAGTCCACGCCCAACCTTTTCGTCCAGCCCTAGCCGTGCGCCCCACGCGGTGCACGTACGCCTCGACGCTAGGCGGCAAGTCGTAGTTGACGACATGGTCGAGGTTGGGGAGGTCGATGCCGCGGGCGACGAGGTCGGAGGCGACGAGGAGGCGGATGCGGGAGGTTGTGAAGTGGGAGATTGTGCGGCGGCGGGTGTGGGGCGGGGTTGCGGAGGTGAGGGTGCCGAGGATGGGGGAAAGGGAGGGGTTGAGGAGGGTTAGGAGGCGGGAGAGGCGGAGGGCGGATTCGTTAGATTTGGTGAAGATGAGGGCTGTTGAGGGGAAGATGGAGGGATTCTTGGGCGTCGTGTCTTCGGCGTCTGATTCTTCGGAGGACGAGGTCGAGGAAGTATGTTCTTCGGTTTCGGTAGCGGTGGCGGTGCGCATGTGTGAACTCATGAGGAGTTCGTGCAAGAAGAGCGGCTTGAGGTTCTCGTCCCTGACGCGAATAGTAGCTTCGTGAAGCGTATCAGGTAAGACGAGTTCTTCAGCTGCCTGCATCTTACCGCCGGTGCCGCCGAGGACGACGAGTTGCGGCCGCTTAAGATCGAGCTCGCCCATAGCAGCTAAACTGCCCTTGCTCGTAAGGGTAGCACTCAAGAAGACTTTTCTAACACCACTAAGATGCGAGTTGGGAAAGTCCCGCGCTCCGATGATGCTGGTGCTGGGGTCTGTCTTGAGGGCATTCATGACGATGGGTATCCAGTTTTGATAGTTTTGTTCCAAGAGCTTGTCGCCTTCGTCGATGATGAGCCAGCGTACGTAGTCGAGAGAGAAACCCTGCGTTTGTTGGATGTGGTCGACGAGGCGGCCGGGCGTACAAATGAGGATGTCGACAGTAGAGTTGAATTTCACGATGTGATCTGGCAACGTTCCTCTTAGGACTTTTTGACGATGTTGTTGAGAGGCGTCATCGTCCTCTGTTAGAAGCGCATCGCTGTTGCCTTCGCCCTCGGCCGTTTTGTAAGCTTCCGGGTCATACCGCTCCTCCCTCTCAATAAGAGCATTCTGCTCGGCCTTGATAGCCTGACTACCATACGCGATACCAACTCGCACACGCTTCCGTCCCTGACCATCAAAAGCACTCGCACAAATGTCAAACGCTTCCTTCGCCTGCTTAACCAGCTCTCTCGTGGGCAGCACAACCACAGCACGTAATCGCGTAACCACTCCCTGGCTAAGGTCCTGAACAATGGGGATCGCATACGCCAGGGTCTTTCCCGATCCGGTGGCGGCGGAGACGAGGACATCGCCCTGGAGACGCTTCGCCGTCGGTAGCAGAAGGGGGATGGCTGCGGTCTGGACCGCAAACGCATCCTTGTAGCCCTTGGACTCCAGCGAACGAGCTACTTTCTCGGGAATGCCGAGGTCTGTGAACGGGACCCGCGTGCCTTCTTCGACGCGGATTGGTTCGGAGATCCAGGAGGGGAGTGCGTCGAAAGTCGGCTGGGCGGAGGTGTCGAACTCCACTGGCTCGGGTTGCGGAAGTGGCTGCAGCCCGTGCATCTCAACCGGTTCGACACCTTTTTCTTCGAGGTCGTCGGCTGGCTTGCTCGTCACGAGCGCTTCGGGCGGTAGGAACTGGATATTCCTCATAGCCTTTTCTTTCCGGTCCAGGACTGCTTGGTGGTGTTTGGCTACGGCTTCGTGGCCCTCTGCTGCCTCTCCGGACTCCGTCATCGCCTCTTTTCGCTTCTTTTTCTCTTTCTTTTCCTTCTTCGCTTTGGATTCCTCGGATTCTAGGGCGAGAACTTGCTTAGCCTCGGCGGGAGGGGCAGTCATCTCGACGTCTTCATCCTTCGAAGCTGGACCCGGTGGTTCCTCGCCCTCTGATTTGCGCCGTCTCCTCTCCTCTTTCTCCTCCTTGCGCTTCCTCTTCTCTTCCTTTCTTCGCCTTCGTTCCTCCTTTTCCTTCTCCTTCTCCACCTCTTCTAGCGATTTATCCTCCTCCTCCTCTCCCGCAGGCGCACTAGCATCGAGCATTCTCACATCGCCGTCCGCCTCATCCTCCGTCTCGGCATCTTTCTTCTTCGACTTCTTTTCCCTCTTTTCTTTCTTCGCTTTCTTCTTCGGGTCGGGTTCGACCTCTACCTCCTCAACAACAGGATCCCCCCTCTTTTCTACCGTATTTTCTTCGTCCCGTATTTCTTTCTTGCCATCACCCTTGTCACCATCCCTCTCCTCCCACTTCCTCTTCCTCCGTCCATCTCCATTCACCCCCGCCGCCGAGTCCTTCTTCACCTTCGGAACATATCGCGCGTACGAAAACGAATCACTCGGCACAGGCGGCGGCGGCGCAGCTACTCCTCCGGTCCTGGATCCATCTTCATGCGTCGTAGCCCCGTTCTGCAATTCGTCTAGACCATCGTCTCTGACATCTGCCGCCTGAGGCGTCGGTTTCGCTCTCGGCGGCGGGATGTACCGAGCATACATTTGCGGAATTGTTAGGGAATAAATTGGGTGATAGTGTACCCACACATAAAATGGAGCGATATTTCCTCCCCTTTTTTTCCCCCTTCGCGCTTTCCTTTTCCTTGTGCTGCGAAATGAATGGTTTTAGAGGTTGAAAGATTGGGGGAAGCTGCTTCCCACTGTTTTCACGGGAACTTTTTTTTTCGGCTTATCTTATCAGAGTTTCTGCCGCTGTTGACCGCCTTCTTAATTTACTGAAATTCTCCACCTCCGATGTCTCTCGGGACGTGCTCCGGAACGAACGCCGGGTCTCCGGGTTTCAACCCATCTGGGCCAAGCCTCCTTTTAGGAAACGGGTAATAGATAATTCCCACTCGAAAAGTGGCCATCTATCGGGTGCATCTAATGACTGGTCTCAGAATTCAACATGACCCAACGAGAACTGCTCAAGGCCTCGCTACACCAGCTGCTCGTCCAATATCACCTTCTCATGCACCTTCAGCATGACCTCTTCACCGGCCAAGTGGTCATATTCCAGTGAATTTCCATGTTTTTGCCGATGGGAGAGCTTTAAAAGAGTAGAGTTTCATGACGATGAAAAGCGACTGCAGTTCTGTTTGGAACGAAACGCAACTTCTTGCAACTGCCCTAGCTGTTGTATACCAAATTTCTTCCTGGTTCCCCGAACGACCCAAGAATGGAACGATATTCCTCACCGATGCATTGTGATTTCATTTATTGATGTCTGCTCAAACTGCAGTACCAGCTAAACAAAAAGAGGGAGATGCGTTTTCAAACTAGTTATCCAACCCAAACACTAACAGGCTCCAAATCCCCAAGGAAACAAGAAACGAAATGAAATACTCCTTTTCCCAAACGCCATTTCTTCCACCCTCTCTATGTCCTGGGAAAAAGAATAGCCAAAAAAGACCAAGAATGCATGCTATGCCAAAAAAGTAGAAAACAAAAAGAATAGATAGTCAAGTCGAATGGTTCTGAATTTAGGACATCGGCCAGCGAGGAGCGTTGATAATGAAGCCCATGAGAACACCAGAGATAATACCAGCGCAAGGGAGGGTGATGAACCACCCGAGGTAAATCCAGGCAACCATACGCCAGTTGATAGCCCGCCAATCACCATTGCAGAGACCAACGCCCACAGTAGCACCGGTGATGCACTGTGTGGTCGAAATGGGGAGCTTGAGACGCGTAGCCATGATAATAGCGATAACACCACCCATTTCAATCGAAAAACCTCGCGATGGTGACTGGAGCGTCAAGCGGTTTCCTAAATTCGACATTATTTTATAGCCGTAGCTCCACAAGCTGAAGGAGCTGTTAGCATGCGGTATGCCTGGAAAATAGTAAATTACATAAAAATACTGATCTGACTTACCCGATCACAATTCCGGCGCCGCCGAATACGCTGAGGGGAGGATTTGATGTTAGTTGAAGTTCGAGATGTCTGTTTTGGCGTTTGGGAGCGTGGGGCATGATCAAACTTACAGAATCCAGGTGGGTACCTGAGACTTTCCCGATTCGGGAAGGACCCCCGAGTCCCAAATTTCGTAAATGGTAGCGTAGGGACCGATGGCGTTAGAGACGTCGTTGGCGCCGTGGGTGAAGGAGGCCGTGGCAGCAGTCATGATTTGAAGGAAGGTAAAGAGGTACTCCGTCTTGTTGTCGAACTGCTGGGCACGGGCATGCATTTCCTGAATGTCACCGCCAATGACGGTCTTCTCGGACTGGGCGCTAACGACGTCGCGGTCAACACCACGGAGAAGAGCCCACTTGACGTACCAAAAGAGGACGTGTCCCGAATACCAAGGGCCATCGGGCTTGGGGCCGACGAGAGACTTCTTCTGGGGCTGTTCCTGAACCTCGCCCGTGGAGTGGTCCGCGGAGCAGTCCGAACCGACGACCTTCTCACCGGCAATAGCACCGTCAGTCTTGTCACCCGAGCCATTCTCAACATCACCGCGGGCAGCGCGGGCCCTAGCACGCCTAGCCTCAAGCTCCTCAACAGTGAGATGGCCCTCGTAGAAGTTCTTGACCGGGCCCTTGAAGCTTTCGGGCGCGGGGGGAACCGGACCCCTCTTGAAGAGGAAGGGACCTTGGAAGATGTGGTACCACCTCATCTGCCAGTCCTCGAGGTAGATGACTCGGTAGAGCCACGGCACAAGCGTCAGGCCGACGAGGAGACCGAAACCAATGCCGGTTCCGACGATGACACCGGGAATCTGGGCGTCAGTGAGGTCGACCTTGTAGCTGCCGCCCTTCCAGATGAGCAACATGGCGAGGAGTGCAGCGCCGATGGAGAAGTACACAGGCACGGCCCAGAGACCCATCTTGAGAGGGTTTTTGCGGAGCAGGATAGCGTACTTGGTGATGGTGAAGATGAGGGCGGAGAAGATACCTGACAGAACGGGGGCGATGACCCACGCGAGGAAGACCTGGACGACACCGCCGGTAATGACGCCGGTCGCGCCGTCCTTGCTGCTTCCGACCCACTTGACGCCGTTGGCGCCAACAGTGGCTATACCCATACCAATGACTCCACCGAGGAGGGAGTGGGTGGTAGAGACGGGGAAACCGCACTTGGTAGCGATGGTAAGGAAAGTAGACGAAGCGATGACAGCGCAGACCATGCCAAGCATGAGGAGCTCGGGGGTGTCCTTGAAAGCGCTGGTGTCGACAACCTTCGTACGAATCGTATCGGCAACGCGAGCACCTACACCGAGGGCACCGCTGAATTCCATTATGGAGGCTAGAAACATGGCCTGGATGTACGAAACGGATCGCGCAGCGACCGAGTTGGCCCAGGAGTTGGCCACATCGTTGGCACCTAAAGGTGGGAGATGATGCGTTAGAAGATGATGGGACAGCATATTAGTCTTGAGGAGAGGGACACAACGTACCGATGTTCCAGGCATCTAGGAAGGCAAAGATTGTGCCTACCGCGAAGAGGTAGTTGTACCGTGACAGCACCATGTTGGGCGGTGTCGATATGTGTATGGATAGGTAAGGTTTAGGCCGTTATGATATGGAGGGCCAAGGAGAAGAGGTAAAGGAAGAACGTGATAAGATTGGGATATCCTCAAGACAGGCTCCTTTGAGAGCTTGGATGAGGAGGCGTTTCGCCTTGGGGGAAAAGGGACCCGAGTAAGGTAAGGAAAGGCAAGCTTAAAGAGGCGGATGAAGACAGGAGGATCGAGGAAGATCAAGTAGGAAATGTGAGCGGATGGAAGAAGAAATATATACATCTCGGAGGTCCTACGCTAATAGCTAATATCTCTCTTGTTTTTCCTGTGTTTCGAGGGAGATTGATGGGCATGTACAGTCTCTACAGTCTTCACAGACAGGGTCAAGGACTATTTTCCCAAAAAGGCAATCGAACATGCGACAGTAAACGAGAGGAGAATTTAGAGTCGGTCGCAAAAAAACATTGATTAGACTAGACCTTGCAGTGTAAGTGGAGGCATGTACGAAGTAGAGTACATGGCCAGGGGAGTGTGAGTTGTGGGTGGTGGCGGGAAAGGGTGGGGGTGGATTCTGGGTCGGTGTCCGCATCTGCAATGTACAGTACATACAGCTCATTTCACCAGTAAGAATATCTGTACCAGGATCGTGGGCGAGCATCGATCAATTGATGGGAAGGTGTACAGAGTAAGTGGCAGTCAGGGCCGAGTGGTGAGAGAAAGAGCGAATAAACCATGAAAGGCATGTGGGATGGGGCCAAGCAAGACTGGGAGTCGCGACCGATTCTGTGATCGATTAATGTCGACTCGCATGCATCACTTCCCAAGCTGTACACCGAGAGAGGGCGTGGGGAACCGGGGTTCGGTGGGGGCAGGGGGTGTGCCTCGACAATCTGGCTACTGCTGGACGAAGTCGGATACTTCGTGCTCCGTACTTGGTCGTGTCAGTTCAACCCACAAACAACACAACACTTTAACGGATAACAAAGTATGAAGCGGGGATCCTTTTCGGCCCTCTAAAAAAGAAATGCGCTATGAATAATATTAAATGCTTAATGAGGATCGGGCGACTCTATTTCCCTCAAAAGTTCGAGTGTGCCAGAATCTAGAGCCGCCGAGGTGCGGTACAATTCCTGGTAGAAGATCGACAGCTCAACTGCCCTCATCGATTCCAGAAACGAGAGTGTTGGCAAACAAAGTGGATCAACATCAAACCGTCGGTCGCTAACTCAAGTCGGGTTCAGAACAAGAGTCTCATATGAGAGCCCGGCTGTTGTGCGGCGCAAGAAAAATTCTTACAACTAGCAGGTCTGGGCATACCCACCGAGTTAGAGAAGGAAAGTTAAACATTAATGCCTGGATACGATACTAAGAGACAACATCAAAGCACCCGATCCACACCGACTGATGCTGTGTCCACTTTGGTTAGTGCTTCTAGACTTGTGATACTCACCCTTTTGTGGCAATCTGTTTGTTTTTCCCTGTTCTTTTTTTAATCCTTTCCTTTTTTACACATCAATTGATCATCGGCAAGTCGCGGAATAATTCCAAGAGTTAAGGATTCGATTATCGATCGATGGATTTGCGGGCCTGGATTTCCAGAGATAACTCATGGAATGTCCAGCCTTACGGAGACGTGGGCACGATGCTCCAAAGTTGCAAGTCATTGGTCGCCCCCGTCTTCAGGTAAATCGTGGGGGCAATGTCGGGCCAGCATCTTCACACCTTCAACATCCACACTTGATGATCAACAGTCGGGAGACAACGCCACAGCGTGGGGCAAAGCAAGATCCCCATGGGAAACACTAAAGGCAGGACCTAAAGGCAGGACTGCCGTGGGGATGACAATGGACTTTCGAAGTGACACAATAGGACTGGAGGAAATACAGAGTGTAATCATGTTCTAATATTAGCCCAGAGCAGGCTTCACAAGTGCGAGTTTGAAACAAAAAAGGTAAATCGGATGCTCCTAGCCGTCACTTGGCATCGATATATTTGGATGCCGCGACTTGAAACGAGCACTTGATCCCTATACTTCGAGACTCCATGTCCAGAGCTTCTCGAAAAAAAAAAAAAAGTGGGTGAGCACAACTTTCTTTATCGAAGGCATTTGACATTCCCTGCCACTCTTGGACTCGGTCAAAGGTCGCGTGCCCTCCCCCAGAATATGCCCACTTCTCAAAGATCAAGCTTCAATCTTGCTTCAGGACCATAAAGAAACAGGAATACAAGGTGTCGCGCAGTTTCCTAATTTTTTTAGCGCCTTCATCCGGGGCGTGAGAACACTACGTAGTAAGCTTCACTAGACTTCAAGCGCTCTAAGTACTACTATCTTTAATGTTAGTAGTACGAGTACGAGTACACTAGTTTGTGTAGTCGAGGGCGGACAAGATCTCTCTTCCTTCGGCTGCGCCTTCTAAAGATTCCAGAAGTACTGTACTTTGAGGTGCAAAATTCGCTTTGGCCAATAAGAAGCTTAAATTCCACCACACCTGCGATACACCTGCCGCCGATTGGCCAGGAGGGAAAGCTCCCGTCCTCTTCCAGCAGGCACGGCGCCGGATGATGGGTACCTTAACGAGTCTGGTTCCTGTAGCTTTATGTCGCAGTTATGGTTAAGTCCCTTCATTCGAAGTGGAGAGTCCCCGGTCGGGTCAAACAAATCACAAACTCAGATGTCAACACGTGCGTGGGGCCCTTGACTCTTCAACGTTCCTCCTTCTCTCGCGATGGGAGGAATATTGTTGGATTTCATCTCGAAGTCAGCGCACGTCCAGTTAAACTCGCCTCCGGGGCCCTTTTGCACTCCACTGAGATGTACCTACGTTTGCGGCGAGCTACCGTGCAGTTCTAGTGTACTTCGAAAACGCCAACACAAGCAGCTCAGCACGTCCGCACTTCATCAATTGCTGTTGACAACGTTTACCGTTCAATATCTTCCTCCATCGAGTGGCACACGTCATGCGTCAACATCGCCATATTTATTGGCTCAGCTCTTGCTGCAAAACAATAAGCAAGCTTCGAACCCCACATGCCCTCACCCCACCGATTATGTGAGGTCTTCGTCGCCTCAGAGCATAGTACTCCGTAGGCTCGAGACTTGAGTTAAATCTCTCTTAGGGATGAATGGGGCAATAGGCTGCGAGCCCTCAAGCCAGCTCTGGTCTAGTGTACTTTCGTACGAGGCATGTTACGAGAGTTTGCCCATGTCCCACGAGCTTCGGTGATGCTTTGGGGATGGCGCCGATGGACCCCGGGACTGCTCTGCGCACACGCCAGGTAGCTACCCTTACTGACTGGCCAGGCGACCCTGCGAGTCAGCTACGAAGTACGGAGTACGTCCCGCCCATACGAAGAAGGTAGGTACTCACGCCTCTGCTTCAGGGCCTCTGATGTTGTGCTTTTGGGATCCGCGCCCGCAGATATCGCCGAATATTGCATCCGGGTTATGCTCGTCACTCGGTCCTGTTTCGAGCTTTGCAGCACTGAGATATGTGCTTTTCTTTTACTGTCGATATCGGCTTTATTCTTTGCCTTTGACCAAGCTCCGCTCATCGCATTCACCTGGTGGAGGAATGCTCCAAGGACCGACCTACTGGTGTCATTTTCACCCCTGCTCCGACGGGACAAGCTCCCGGTAGTACCCACTCCGACCAGTGTCTCTAGGAATGGACGTTCAATGTTATTAGACCAGTGGCTCCAAAATCATGTTCTTGATCTGTAATATCTGGGGTGATCCTCAAAACAACGCCCGTAGCCCCGTCCCAGCATCTCGGTATCAGAAGCAGCTAGGTGTTAGGCGAAAAGAGTTGCCGCCACATCACTGATTGTCTCCCCTTGTCGGCGTTGGCTCCTCCCGGTGATAAAAAGTTTGATCTCTCTAGCATTCTCCTCAAAGTATATCCAAGCGTTTTAGAGAGGCTCTACCTAGTAGAGAAGCCAAGCCGGCGATCCTATGCGAAGATCCAGCTTCCTATCTTACATCTTCCCGTACTTCGTAGATGACAGCGAGTTCGATGATCTTTCAACAACTCCCTTCGCCACTTGTTTCCAGACACATCGACTAAAGCTGAAGTAGCATTCTTCACTAGCATGCCCTTACATCATGAGAATTGCAACTGCCTTGCGGCCCGAGAAACCCTGTTCCGTCTTTAGGAGTCGATCTTCGTACTCGGTGCCCGTCTAGGCAACTCGGCATCCCCTTAGTTTCCAAGTAAAGTGGTTTCCCATCGACAATGCTCGCGATGAGGCACTTCGCACACGAGACGAATTACTCTTTTGGACACCGCCCCCAAATGAAATGTTTCCGACTGGTGGTATCCTTCGAGGCCAAGAGTAGAGTCGAGGGGGGCCGCAAAGGCAAATCACACTCTTCCGCATCCCCAATCTTATCCATACCCCCCTCTACAGGCCAGCCTGTATGTACAGTACCTAGCCATCCGAGACTGCCAGGCTCGATGGTGCCTATTGATCGGGTTCCACCACTGCGGTTCTCCACGGAGTGCAGGGGACCCTCCCTTGTGTGCGTACACTAGCAGAGCGTCGCATCTCGCAATGTAATGTACGCCTCTCCTTGGTCTCATTTCCCTGATGCTTAGACCGAGAGGGGAAAGTGATCACACGAGCAAGGCGAGTAGTTGGAGTTCTCCTTACCCATCAAACCTCTCACCTGTGGTCGGGGGCGCCAGGAAACAGCAGCACTTGACTGCTGTCACTCTTACTTCTGAAGCTTCCGCCACTTCAGACCACCCACTGCTGTTAATTTGTAGGATATCCCACGCGGGCTTTGACATTACTCGATACTTTTACGAAGATCTGTTTCCTAATTGGTTATTTTTCATAGCACTCGCTCGTTATTAGGGGCGACGGCGGACCCCAAAGTTCGTCAAGAAGTATTAAGGTCTCGGGCGCTACTTGGCTCGGCTTCCCACTCGCTTTACCGAACCTGAACTAGGAAACCATTCTCGAGACTTGATCCTACTAGATTATGCAAACAGCTGTTTGAAAAACTCTCCAGGATCGTCATCAGGTTAGCACCACGATCTCCGCATATAGATCGATCCTTAGCAGAGTTTTCAGGAAGGCCACCTCCGCGGCCTCCCCCGTCCGCAACGACCTTGCGATGCCGAGATTTCTTGGCAATTCTTGGCTCTCCTACCTGGCAGTGAGGGCTATGTTGTGCACCTGGGGGGCACCGATGGGGGTGGTCGCTGATGCGGCAGCCAACGAGAGCAGAGGATTCAAACACATGGCCTCGGAGCCGCCTAAGCCCAGCCCGGGATTTCAGCTCGGCGGGGACCCACTTCCCGTCCCGCCCCAATCCCGATCCGATCCCACGATGTTGGTTATCGAAGATCTCAGGGATCGCTAATATCCGAAAAGACCTTGTGATGAAAATGCTACACTTTACTGGTAGAATTCATCGGAAAAAAGAGAAATCTTGGGACGGCTCGATGCAAGACGTTCTTCGCATGCACTCCTCCGTGGGGGGAAAATTCAAATCATATTACGGCTTCATCTCGACGGGTGAGAGATTTTTAGGTAAGTACTATACATCCTCCTTCGTTTTCCATCTTGAAAATCAATAAAAATGTTGCAGGCATAAGTAGCTCCCGACTATTCTGAGCCAATCCAACCCCACGCGGGCTCGCCGGGCTCCCTTAATCGAAGAGCGTGGCGACCTTGTCCATCAGGAAGCTCATCGAATCCGGCGTGAAGGGAATTTCCGCGGCGCCAGTCTTGCTGTAGACCTTGAAGACGCCCTCGACACCCAGGGCGTCGGTCTGGACCAATACGGTCTCGGCCTCACGGTTCGTCCTCATGGTGATGACGGCGATCTCGCCATCGGCCCTTAGGTACTCGAACCTAGACTCCTCGACGGCGTAGCTGGGGTAGAACTCGATCTCGAGTGTAGGTTTCCAGTCCTCGATCCACTTGGCATTACCCTGGTAGATGTCACCCGTGGGGACGATGGACCCCTCACGTACGTAGACGGGAAACTCGTCGAGCGGCAGGGCGACCTCTATCTCCGTACCTCCGTGGTAGATGGCGGTCTTGTTGAACCAATCGACGAACTTGCGCGACGCCGAGTTCTCGCCAGCATCTGGGAAGTACACGGTACGCACGCCACCCTCAGCGATGAAGGGTGCCACGAAGAATTCCGCGCCAAAGGCGTAGGCGTCGCCCGTCTCGTAGATGGTGCCGTCGACGGGGTATTCGAGGAAGAGGGCGCGGATGACGGGAATTCCCGTTTGCGTGGATTGGTAGGTGTAGGAGCGGATGTAGGGGATGAGGCGGGTGTGCCAGTCGGCGGTCTTCTTGAGGACATCGAGGAGCTCGCTGCTGTAGGGTTCGTACCAGGGCGTGTGGCCATCTCCAACCATGATTTCCTGCAGGATGGCGAGTGTAAGAAACACTTCCATCACCGTGAAGTCACGCAAGTAAATGGGATAATAACTTACATAGTGAGGCGAGAAGGCTCCGAATTGCATCCAGCGAGCCCAAAGCTCCTCGCTGGGTGTGGTTTCATCGGGCCTCGTGTAGCCGCCAATATCAGATCCCCAGGTAGAGAAAAGAAGAAGACCTGCGCGGATACCCGAGGCAACGGAGAAGGCGAGACCTTCCCAGTCCGCCTGGGAGTCTCCGTTCCAGACGGCCGTGAGAGAACGCGCCCGGTCGACGACGGAGCGCGAGAAGGAGAAGAAGTTGCCGGCGCCCCATTTGTCGACCATTACTTCGTGGCAAAGTTGCTGGAAGATGGTATTGTGGAGGTTTTGGAGCTCATCTATAGAAGAACCAACATAGGTCAGTCTTCCTTTTCTTTCTCAGGGACTGGGAAGAGTCTCTCTTACCTGGAAGTTCGTGCTCCTCGCCACGATCAATCTTGAAGCCCTTGACGCCAATGTCGGCGAAGTAGCGGAGTCTCTCCTGGAAGTACTCGTAAGCTTCGGGGATGGTGAGGTCGAGGGCCGGGCCGAGGAATTCTTCGCCGTTGATGCCGGGGAAGAGCCAGCCGTTTTCCAGAGCGGTTGTGTAGAGCTCGGTGTCGAGGAAGGCTCTGTTGGCAACCCAAACCTGATACGAGGACGGGCGTGTTAGCGAGGGGTATGAAGTTAGAGCTCTAATCTGATGGGGCGGAAGAACGAACCTGGAAGTCGTAGCCCCACTCGGTGATGTTGGCGATGAAGGCCTCCGGATCGGGGAAGAACTCGGGATCGAAGTCAAAGTTGCCGAAAGACATGTTTCCGGTGCCATACGGTCCTGTGTCTTGTGTTAGCGCTGTCTCCAAATCGTTCCAAACTCGCGAATGGCACCACCACTTACTATCAGCAAACATTGCCGTGGCGCGAATCTCGTTATAATACAAATGATCCACAACATCATACAGATTTTCCTCGGCATTCTCCACCGACCCATGGAAATCCCTCAAAATATTATCCGACCAGAAAACCGGTCCATACCCCGAATCCGGCGGCAACTCCGGCTTCGACGACAACTCCGCATACTCCCTCAACAGCGCCTTTAGATCCGGATTAAACAGCACCTTATAGCTGACCTCCTCCTCAGCAGCGAAAGAGAAGCTCGCAGTGGACCCCTCGAAGGCGAAGGTCCCCATGGCGAGGGTGTCGACGTAGACGCCGAAGCCGGAGCGCGTGAAGAAGAAGGGGGCGCGGGCGTTGGCGTAGTTGATGCCGGGCTGGGAGCCGAAGAGGCCCTTTACGGGGAATGTTATGTCGTGGTTGGCGATGCTGCCGTTGAAGGGGTATTCCCAGACGCCGTAGATTGTGTCGTTGGATTCGAAGGTGAAGCTTGAGGTTGTGATGATGCCGGTGAAGGGTTCTTCGGGCTCGGGTTGAGGCTGGGGCTGGAGTTCTGGCTCTGGCTCGGGCTCAGGCTCTGGTTGGGGTTCAGGTTCCGGTTCTGGTTGTGGCTCTGGTTCTTGTGGTTCTGGCTCCGGCTCCGGCTCCGGCTCAGGTTCTGGCTGGGGCTCTGGCTCTGGCTGGGGTTCCGGTTCCGGTTCTGGTTGTGGTTGTGGTTCTTGTGGCTCTGGCTCTGGTTCAGGTTCAGGTTCTGGCTGCGGCTCAGGCTCCTCAGGTTCTGGTTCCGGTTCCGGCTCGGGTTCAGGCACCTCTGGCTCTGGCTCTGGCTCTGGCTCTGGTTCGGGTTCAGGTTCGGGTTCAGGTTCTGGGGCAGGCTCAGGTTCCTCAGGTTCCTCAGGTTCCGGTTCTGGTTGTGGTTGTGGTTCTGGCTCCGGCTGCTGAGGCTCAGGTTCTGGCTCGGGTTCAGGTTCTGGCTGAGGTTCTGGTTCTGGTTCCTCAGGTTCTGGCTGCTGTGGTTCGGGTTCGGGTTCAGGTTCAGGCTCTGGTTGCGGTTCCGGTTCCGGTTCTGGCTCGGGTTCTGGCTCAGGCTCAGGTACGTCTGGTTCTGGCTCCGGCTCGGGTTCAGGTTGAGGTTCTTCTGGCTCGGGTTCAGGTACCTCTGGTTCTGGCTCTGGCTCCGGCTCTGGCTCTGGCTCTGGCTCTGGTTCGGGTTCTGGGGCAGGCTCAGGTTCCTCAGGTTCCGGTTCTGGTTGTGGTTGTGGTTCTGGCTCCGGCTGCTGGGGCTCAGGTTCTGGCTCGGGTTCAGGTTCTGGCTGAGGTTCTGGTTCTGGTTCGGGTTCAGGCTCTGGTTGCGGTTCCGGCTCGGGTTCTGGCTCGGGTTCTGGCTCAGGCTCGGGTTCAGGTTCTTCTGGTTGGGGCTCTGGTTCTGGTTCAGGCTCGGGCTCAGGCTCAGGATCCTCGACAATCACTTCCTCATTTTCCCCGTCTCCCTCTTCCGGATCCTCCTCATCAGGAACTTGCTCATCAGGGTCCTGTTCCTCACCGCCGTCGGGAACGTCAACGACAGGAGGGTCTACCTCTATCGGATCATCTGGAGCTAGTTCATCACCAGGAACTTGAAGGGGTACGATATCCACCTGAACCACGCCCGGTGAGATTTCTGTGTATCGAACGGTCGAAGAAACGCGTCTCCTATGTTCATCTGCGCTTGCGGCCAACAGAGCCTTATCTCCGGCAGCCGACCCGGTGTAGATGGTGTTGGCCACGGAGAAGGCACCGTTGCGAAACACGAGGGAAGATGAGCCATCCTCGGACGTGGAGACTCGAAGGGCATTCGCCGAGGGGACAATAGCCCCCACGACTAAGAGGGAGGCGTACAAGAGGAAGACCATATCGTCTCTCGGAAGTGTTGATTAACAAGCGAATGTAAAGATTGGCAAGTGGCACGAGGACCGAATGGCGGGAAACAAGCGAGAGATTGTCTCCTCTTCAAGACAAACCCGAAGGCTCGGAATAGTTCTCACAATCCGGCACAGCTTAGCTCACCTCCAGGGCCTTGAAGTTCAAGAGATTAAAGTGAGGGGACCGAGGAGGAAGCTATATTTTGGAGCTCTTATATATAAGCTCATTCTCCAACTTATTCTCTTTTCCTCTCTTTGGGTGTGCGAGACTACACATTCTCGACCGCTCACTGCTGCAGGTACATATTAGACAACACACCTCAATATCGCAGAAGATAGGGTATAGTGGCATTGGGCAGGGTGCGGGAGTGAAGACTGACAAGGTATGACAGAAGTTATCTAGCTGCGAGGGAGAGAATCAGACAATCGCGTCCCTTTCGGGCCCCGTCTCGCCTGCTCGAACGGCTGGATATGCCAGTTCCTCTTCCTCCTCGTATCAGACTCATGACCGAAGGCATACAACGACACCATCTCGGCCAACTCTTCCCGCTCTGTCAATTCCTCTCATGGTATGTTTTTCCTTGGCCCTTTCCTTGCCCAACTGTATCTTTGAACGACGTTTTGGTCTGCCCGTCCCTGCTAAGGCCCGCTATCTTTCTTCTTCTTCCCGCCTCTCCTTCGCTTAAAAGCAAGGGCCGCGGCCCGGATGATATCGATATTCTCGCTTTCCCTGTTCAGCGGCTTGTATAGACGTCTTGTTTCTTTTTCGTTTCTTCGCCTGTTTCCCTATTTTCCCGAACAAACAATTCCCGGGTGCATTTCAATTCATCCTGTGCTGTTCTGGGTCACCAAGCTTTAATCGGTTTCCCGTTCTTCCGGGCCCGGTAAAGAAGACGAGAAGGGAAACTACCCGGTCGGTCCTATCATGAGACTCGTACAGATAAAGGACCTTTCGAGTAAGTCGGCGAGTGTCTTCGCGGTCCCCTCTTCGTCGGATAAATCCCCTGCGCGATATATTTTTATCCTCGTATCCGTCCAATTGCTCGCCGTTTCCATTCCCATGTATTGAACGAGTTAATGTCTTTCTCTTTCTCAATAGAACGATGCTGACGTCCCAGGTGCTGGTATCCCTCAACAGAAGAGGGAAGAAGGGACGATCCCCCTCACCAAGGGTAGGCGTTCGAGGGTCTATATCCTATATCTATTTACAGCTCTTGAGTCGATGAAGTCAAGCCAGGACGCCCCGATGGTCCAATGTCCATCCCCATTCGCGCCATCTTCCGTCCCGGCTTGTAAACATACCGAATCTTACAGGACGCGGCCGGGATATTCTTTCGTGTGTGTCTTGGCTATCAACGAGCCAGAATCCTACCCGGGACCGCGGGACAGACACACACCACGTTCTTGTGTAATCCCTTTTGCGCCGTTTTCTCCCTCGCTCTCCTTCTTTCTCCGCACTTCCCCTCCCACTTAGCACTTCACTTGCTTTGTCCTCTTCTCCTCCTCTTCTTCCTTCCTACTACCAATTGGGACTCGGCTAACGTCCACGCCTAGCACGACTTTCAATAACGCACCACACAGAGACAGCATAGTAGGTAAGAGAACGTTGCTAAGCTTACATCTTCAAACAGCTGTTGATTTTTCTTGGCGAACACATACTTTTTTCTTGTTATCGGACTCTTTTCCCGGTCGAGATGGCAAGATGAATTCTTTTGCCCGTGCCCCGTGAATGCTTTAAACTGTCATTTACTAGGAAGAGACGTCATACCTCGGTGTGTTTGGAACGTGCCGCTCGGTTCATCATCTATCCTAGAGAAAAAATCCTATGATATTTTATTGGAAAAGGTGGTGAATCCGTACCGATATTGCTTCCAACCCAGAGAATTGTGCGCCCTCTAGATACTCATAGCTCGGAAGGTATTTGGAATGAATACTTCACTCACGGTGGTATGATTGATTTATGAATGGCATGCCCTGGACTAGGGCTCGGCTCCTAATACTAGCAGACCTCCTGAACGTTTTGATATAGATATTCAAAAATAATATACAGATACCATAGACACATTTCTCAATCTACCCTCTCTTCAGCCCCCTTCAAAACGCAAAGAAACATATATCCCGTTGGTTTTGAAATCACCAGCCTCAAGTCTCATCCTCTCTCAATGTTCTCGTGGTCGAAGCCCACGTCTCAGCCCTATTAAGCCTTCTCACAATCGGCGTGCTGCTTCCACTCGTATTCCTACTACCCCTCGAAACTTCACGACCAGCTTCCGGCTTAGAAACGGCTGAAATAGCCGATCTAAGCGGCCCGACCTTGTCCTCCTGCCACGGAGGCGACCTCAAGCCATCGGGCGACGCCGTCATGCTAGGAGAGGCGATCACGCCCTCCTTCATGTAGAATGTATCCGTGTCACTTCCGTCCTCCTCCTTGAACCCGGACATAGGAAAGGTAGGATACCGCACTAATTTCCGCACCGGATCGCGTACCGGCGCGATGATGTCCGCTCCCTGTCTAGTCACGGGTATGCCGAAGGAGCCGCGCTCCCAGCCTCCGATGCGCGAGCTTTCTAGCGCCATACGCAGGAGCTGGTACTTGTTGTCCGCGTCGCGGGCCGTCTCCCTCTCTCCTGCCTTCGAATCCAAGAAGCCGCCGCGAAGCCTCCGGGCGCGTATATGAGTTACTATGGAAGGAAGGGAGAGATTTACCCCGGTGATGAGAAGGACGAAGGCGAGCACAAGAAGAGTGATCAACACGTTAAAGTTCTGCACTGAGGCAGTCGTGCGCACGACTGTGTTGCGGCACAAGTCTTCGAACTCCGGCAAAAGATCCTGCATGCGGTATTGCGTGTCAAAGTCCGTCGTGTTAATGTATCTGCCCAGCTCCTTTTCCGACGGGTCAAGCCATGGTTTTGAAGCCCAGTCGGTGATGGTAAGCTGAAAGTTGGAGAGGGCGGTCGCGAACCACGTCTTGGCTTCGAGCTGCCACTGGTTGTCCGCTGGGGCTGATCCGATACCAGATGCGTAGTCTTGTACGAGAAGGCCTGACCACAAAAAGGGAGGAGTCAGTTTTAATTATCCAGAGTGTTGTGAAAAGGATGTTGAAAACACAACACTTACCCCACGCCACATGGGCTCCATTTTGAAACAAGTGTCCACCCGTCATCATATTATGGATCAGTCTCTGAGTTGTCGCTAGCTGGTGCTTGTTCATCCCGAGCCCGCTCTGCTTCGGCTTGAGCTGAAGGATTCCCGAGGCCCCCGTGCACCTGCCATTGTTCCGGTTACAAACATCGTACGCATCCTTGCAAGCAATGGTGTTGAACGGCCTGTTCGTCAAGTAGCCAGACCCACCGGTGGCAGCGGTTTCATCCGTCGAAGACCCGAGAGTAAGGTTCGCGTAAAAGAGAGGATCCAAAACTTCCTCGCGGAAGATAACGTTGGTGGCTATCGTCCAGAAAGCAAGGTCGTGGTCCGTGTTTTGGAAAGTAGCAACGAGTGGTTTCTGGTTTAGCTGTTCGCGTTGCTCCGGGTAGCTCGAGGAAATCGCATAGCTGAAGTACGACCTATGAAAGTAACTTAGCATCCGGCCGTTCGCTGTACATTTGCACTCTTAAGTGGGTTCACAGGAAGAAGGACTTACGAGGCGACAATCAACGATGTCGCGCGGCCCTTCTGGTGCCAGGCGACGGTCCTTCGATACCCTTCGGGCCCGGTCGGCAGGTTCGCGATATCTTGATCCTCGGCCAGAATACTTATACCATAAACGGTCTGATTATCGACCGTCAGCATTCTGTCGTAGGCGCTCGTGTCGATAACGCCACAAGTCGAAGTCTTGCGGATCTGTACCCGGTCGGTTGGCGGCGAGTTGATCCCTAAATCGGAATGCGAATCAAGAAACCCCGTGTCCATGCTAAATGCGGGACCCTCGGTGTTGTTGTAACCAAGGCACTTGGTGTGCCCTTTCCAGGGGCACCCGACCTCTTTAGATTCAAAGGGTAAAGTCGTCTTCCTGGATATGGAAATCGGTGGCATACTCGCCCTAGCCAGCCCGCCGATGTCATAGTGAGCCTCAGAGTAGGCGCGAGCCCACTTCAAGTTACTGAAGAGGTACCTCTCCCTGGCTTTCTTGGTCATGGCGCGCTCCGGATTGCCCAATTCCTCCACACTGACATCTGGAGGGCCAAAGGCAACATCACCGCAACCTCTCGGAACTGCGCGTACAAAGACATGGCCATTGCCGTCACTAGCCACGTTTGCCGTCAAGATCGAGCAGGCAATGAAGAATCCCCAGAGAAAAGCAGCCGCTACGGAAAAAGGAAGGACGCGCCGCCAAGCGTGTTTCCTTATTTTCCTCCAAGCCCAATATAGCTTCACACTCTCAAAGAACGACTCTAGCGCACCTGAGTTGGAGCGGAAGAGGACCTGGAGTTGGTGATCGAGGACGTCTTTATTCCCCCTGGTGGCAAAGTTCTGGTGGAGGATATAAGCAACTGTGCCGTAGAAGGCGATGCCCGCCAGCGCAACCAGAACGGAGAGCGCGGCGGTGAGGTAGTTGCCTGCTTGTGTGGACACGGTTAAGGTAAGGCTGAGCGGGAAGGGGAGATCATAGTCGTGCCACAGACCGTGGTAGACGGTCGGTTCGTTTCCGGACATGGTGTTTATCGGATCGATCCAACGACGACGTGAATCGAGGATGATCGCTCCTCCCACTTAAGCAGTTCTCTCAGCTAGGCGAGTTGGTAGCTAAGCTCCATTTACATGCCCGAGAATGCTGAGCCGTAGGAAGTAATGGCTCAGTGTACTCACGGCCCACTTCACCTCAGGCGTGGAGCGGGGGAGATAAAAGAGAGGAATGCAAGCTACCCTAGCATGGCCACAGTTGACTGATAGATCTGAGCGTTCGTCAGCACAGCGAGGGAGAAGCGATGATAGAAGCGACAGGACGCGCTCTCCTACGTGGGGATGGTCTCGCTAAAGACCTTAATCAAGACAAGGCAGAACTCGAGAGGGGGGAATGAAGCAGACGACATTCATCTTGGGGGCGGGAACAAACCTGGCGTGATCTCTCATTCGTATCTACTAGGCTCTTTTAGCCATATCTGTCACCTGCGAAGCGGGAATAAAGACAAAAACTGACTGGCGGGGGGCATCTTGGCGAGCGCGGTATGATTTAGTCGAGCTATTATCACTCAATCACAAAATACCACAAGAACGGGCTAGGGTAGCAAAGCGAGTGAAGGCCCAGGAACCAACAGCATATTGCATTGAGATATGGACAGATGTTGCCTACCATGCAGAGTTCTCACCGCGAAGGTGCCGCCAACGCCACGGCCTTTTTGCTCGTCCCGAAGTGGGTACTGCCGTTCTCACCAAGCTTCAGATGTCGCCATGTTGGCGGGAAAGAAATGTAACCGTGTATGCGTGAGGCGCATTTCTTTACAATAGATTGCTCTCGTGCGGCGCAGCACCACTTGGCGGGGGGTTCAATTAGCCGTCTTATCTCGGCGTGAAATCGGCTCGAATAGTCCGGAGGGAGGGCAGTGCTCTTCCGGAATTGTGACATCGGTCGAGCAGAAGCCTGCCTGAAGCGCGGCGAGCTTCGGACGCCGCCCAGGACTTCTCGGTGAGTCGAACAACAGGGAGACAAGATCTTTTAGCTTCAGGGCATAGATGGAATCGGGTGTCGCCCTTGAATAGACCGTGCCTCCGCCCTGCAGTCTTCATTTGTCCTAACCCCCACAAGCATTGGTGAAACAGCGAACATGCCGTGATCCATTGATTGATTGATTAATCCCTTGATTAACTGAGAGCAAACACCATCTCCGGGGGAGGAAAGCCACATGCCGACCGCCAGAGAATAAATTGCATATTGAAGGGTTTACTGGACTCGAGATTTTAGTCGTCCAACGTCTTCGCACAGCCTCTTCGCTCGTACCAGCTTGCGAATATATTAACGGATTTGTAGGCGCGGATTTTGGCTGAGATGGTTAGATTGAAGAGTGGGATGAGCGGGATGAGCAGCGGGATGAGTGTGTGTGCCGGGCATTGGTCGTCTCAGCATCCTTATAAGCCGATCTGTTAATTGTTAGCGTTCCTCCCGACTTTCTTTTGAAACCTTCCGTCGTGGCACAGCCCAGGAGGCCCCGGAACGGATCCTGCGTTCTAAGGCACGGAAAGCCGCGAAACAGGTTAGCCGCTCCCAAAGGACCTAGTCCTCCCGCCCTTCACAGCCTCTTCCTCATGCAGATGGATATTTGAGAGTAAAGTGTAGCAACAAGAATAGTAACAGTAGCAACAGTAGCAGCAGGAGCAGCAGGAGCAAACAACAGAAAACAAGTCAGTCGCGACGATACGGGTATCGAACAAATGTATAATAATAAAACAGGTCCATAGTTACAACGGTTATTATGACACTGCCCCCCCGAGGAGTAGGGGGACGAAGGAGGGCAAAAAAAGACAAATGACTCCCTTGCAATCCATGAATGCTCACCGGTCGCTTTCCATGGTAGCACACAAAACAGCCAAAGCCAAGTAAGCACAGCGCCTCGATGTAGATGTGGCCCTCCACATCTAGGATAAACATGAAATTTCGTCCCATCTTAGGCTCCGAGTTTCTGCACCAGTCCTCAGGGGATGCGCCGCGGGCGGGGAAAGAATCTCGTTTCGACCACCTCTCAACCCCTTGGCCCCTCGCCCCCAATTGAGGGTCACGGAGGCTGCTGATCCCAACACAAGGAGTGGGAGAGGCAGCAACCTGCAGAACCCCAGTAGTTGAGTGACATTTTCCCATTTTTCGCCTTCAAATCGAACAAGTTACTGCCGAGCAAACACCTTCACCACACCATCTCCGCCTCCGCTAACAACCCACTTGCCATCCTGGCTCCACACAACCGAGCATACACCTTCGCCGCGCATGATGCGGTGGTTCGTGATTTCTTGCGTGCAAGATCGCTTCTCCAGACTCCAGAATCGCAGCGAGGCATCGTGGCCCGAAGTCACAAGCTCCCGTCCGTCAGGGCTGAGGGACAGGCTCGATATTGCTGCCGGATGTGCCCACATGCTGTACGCACATTGGCCTAAGAGGAAACGCGACACTGTTAGTAAAAAAATAAAAACCACAGTAACCAGAAAAATGAAGAGTAGAGCGCTGTGAACATACCACTATTGGCATCAAAGAATCGAACGAACCGATCCTCGTGTCCGGAGATAATCAAGCCTTCCACTCCTGTTCCAGACATAGACTTGCCTCCCGTAGGTCCCGCACTCGCGCCCTCGTCGTCCGTGAGTCCTCCGCCGTGCTGCTGCTGATCTAGGCCAGCCGTAGTTGCCACCACGGCGTTCACGCTCGTGGCCATTGTGCCGTCGTAAGTCTCAAGACTAGCGAGACTGCCAATTGGCTCACCAAGCTTGGTGTCATATACTAATATGACGGCGTCCGAGTACGAGACCACAAAGGACTCACCATTGCCGCTGAGGGGCGTAATACATGTAGGGCTTGCAGTTGATCCGTCGGCCCGCGTAATCGTATGAAGAAGCGTGTGATGGAAGGGCGAGTTGGACGCGACGGACGCCTGAGGTGAGTTCGTGAATCCAGTACCTGAGCTCATTGAATTGCCACGCACCCGTCCAGAGCCGGGCGGTCTCCGGGGTGCAGGTCCTGGCTGAGGAGACCCTAGACGCGGAGGTGTACTTATCGCCCAGAGTTTCACCGTGCCGTCCGCTGAGCCAGAGGCTAAGAGAATCCTGTCTGTGTTTCCAATCGAACTGCCCTTCGCCGGTCCGTAAACAGAGTAAAGCGTGCCTGGGAGAACGCAAAGCGCCCAGACAGCGTCGGCGTGTCCTTCCAATGTTGCCTTGGGATCGACGCGGCCTCGCTCCCACACTCGAATAGTTGAGTCTTGCCCACCGGAGAAGATCCAACCATCTCCTTGCGCACGTCCACCAGTCACGAAGTTAGGCGATGGACTCCAGGCTGCCAGGCAGAGAACTGCTCCGGCATGACCACGGTGAGTGAAGTTGGCCGTTATATCAAGATCAGACACGGTGTTGGAATGTCCGCCTATGCTATCAAGGCGGGGGATGTGGAACCGCTTGATCATACCGTCATCTCCAGCCGTACAAATTTCAGGTTCGGCGGGACTACCGCCTCCTGAGAAGATCACGCTACGAACTGTATCGAGATGGCCTCGAAGACCAAACCTCCATTTAAAGTTGCCGGCCTCGACCTGCTGGTTGGCAGCATTCAGAGACAGCTCGTTATCAAGACTTCTCCGCCGAGACGAAGAGCTCTTGCGTCGGTGAGAGTTGGCGAATCGGCCGGGCGACTTCGGCATCGTATCCGCCGAGGGAAACACATCGGTGTCGGGCCGGTTCGAAGCGGGCTGCTGAGGCGCTGCAGGTGGTCCCATATCGGAAAAGTCCCATCCGTCAGAGTCTCCGCCTGACTTCCTGTCACCGACCAGGCCGGTAGGTTGCCCAGATCCGAAGCTCTCGTTGACGTGGTTCGGCGCATTCTGGTTTTCATTGGTAGTGCGATTAGAAGGAGCCGGCCACTCTGACCCTCCAGCAAACAGGGATGGCTGTTGAGGCTCGCCTCCTGCTCGTGTCAGGGGCTGCAATTGAGGTTCAGCGTTACGGCTCTGGAAGTTGGAGGTGGTGGGAGGACCGGAGACAGAGACGTGGTTCGGGCCCTGTCGAGCCTGTGCCGCGTAAGCCTGTTCCAGCTGTTGCGCTGCCGATATGTTGAAGCCTTCAGCTTCAGCGCGTGCCTCGTCGAAGGAAGGGAGAGGGGGGGATTCTCGTGGCGGTAGCGGATTCGCAGGGGTCATCATTAAGTACGTAAATTCGTTTGCGCATGAGTCAAGGAAGGATTTGAGATCCTTTCGTGAGGACTCATCCTCCTCTGGCTTTCCGATAGGGATGGACACTCCACCCTCGACATGTTCCTTCGCTATAACATAGCAAAATTCCATTAATTTGGTCTCTCCTTTGAATCGTAGGGATCGGCCGGTACAGTTGGTACTTACAAGTAAGCTTATCCTGCAACATGGCGGAGCGAGTCTCCTTGTCAACGGCAATTTCGTGAGCCGGGTCCCATTTGCCTTGACCGGCAAGCTGGGCAGACTGCTCCTTGATTTTCCGCTGAAGAATCGTGATGTATTTCTTCGAGGCGTTTTGTGTTGCATCTCCTCGTTTCAACTTTCCCTCTAGCTGTGCAATGCGCGCCTTCATCTCCTGCTTCTCGATATCCCACGAGTTTCGTTCGCGTTCGTGACGATGCCATTCGGACTGTAAGAATCTCATCACACCTGTGGGCATACGCAGTTAGAAATTATTGCCCCATGCATCTTAAGCAGGAAACAAAGAAAGAAAACAATTGAGGTTTTGTTACCCACCTTGCAAGGTATATTCAGTTCCTGGGGGCCGATTGATGACATTCGCCTGTTGTTGTTGCTGCTGCTGCTGTTGCTGCTGCATCCCAACATTTCCATCTACACCACCTACTCCATTCCCACCGTTCACCACCATGTTTGAAGTCTGCCAACTCATACGCGCGGATCTCTTGGGCCCAGCTCGCTGCTAGATCGACCGGTAGTGTTGTTGGAGCTACAGGGAGCGGCCGTTTTCGACCCGATGTCACCGTCGTCCTCTGGGAAGGTTGAAGGTGAAATCTCTCATCTGCGGTCGATCGTGGGATTGAAAATTGGTGAGGATATGACAGGTCCAAGATGGAAATTTGTCGCGATGTACGGATTGTCGTCGAGTTTGGTGGAAATTGAGAAAAGAGACGGCGCGGTTGTCCAGGACAGGGCAAGCGTTGGGCGGTTTGCTCAGCCTGGTATTGGAACAACGCGGTATTATTTTGGAGGTGCTTTTTTCGGCGTGGAAATAATCACGAAATATTCTATCGCGTTAGAGGCCCGTTTCTTTAAGCTGTAATGGGCCACGAAATGGCTCCTGCCGTCGATTCTTTTGAACTTTTCTACTTTGCTTGGTAGGGCGGGACCCTGCGATAGGAGGCGATGTGAAGGTCGAAGGTGTTGCTTTGGGATGCTAAAAACAATGAGCCAATCAGAGGCCGATCCTACGTGTGATATCTAGCCTAAGGCACAAAATTATTTATCAGGGGCGCTAGTGAAGCTGAGTAACCATCTCATCTTGACACCTGATCTGGGGTAATGACAGGTGGTTGACAGCTGTTGATATGTAGCGGCGCGATTCTCTCAAGACATTGTATTGAGCGAGTCTTGAGAGGCGAGAATGATCAAGGTTCCTTTTTTGGATTTCTTTTCCTTTTCATTGAAGTAGACTAAAATTCCAGCTCTTCAACTTCCATATTGCATTCAAGACACTTCCTCACAGTCATGCCATCTGCGTTCTCCACCGCCCTTCCCCAGTTGTGAACATGCTTCCCGCCTCCTAACGCATCACCAAACTTGCTCGGCCCCTTCACTCCCGACTGTTGCCTCCTGAACGCTTCCGTCCTAGTCTTCTTCTTCAGATCTAGTAGCTTTGCCTTGAATTTCGCTTCCTTGCGCTTCTTCTTCTGGTCCTCGCGCTTCTCAAACTCGGCATCTAGAGCTTCAGCTGAACCCCACTTCTCTTTGAGAGCATAGTCCTCAACTTGGTAGCGTAAGAATAGCATCATGTCGTGCCAGTGAGACTTGTGGGGATTTGGCTTGTTCAGGTGGGGTAGTAGATCCTCATCTCGCAACTCCTCTGTAATCGAGGTTAATAGCGATGAACAACTTCGCTCTGGAAGTAGGAGTCATGGTATGGCAACTTACGGTCCGTTAATAAGTAGTCCTCTTTGCACTCCGTCTTCGTTAGAAGCGAGTACTTTTCAGGGAACTTTTCCTTGCAAGAGGAGCAGACACAGCTCTTAAACACCTCTTCCCACACGAAATCTATCTCAGGACTGCCACACTCGCGACACTTTTTCCTATTCTTCTGATCGTCGATGGAGCTCAAGCCCGGCTCGAACGGCCCTTGCTTTGTCCTCTTCAAGTTGCGCAGCGTCTGGAACCGCTCCCACTCTTTCTCTGTCATGTGCTTCGGCCTATCTGACTCCGGCACGCCTTTCTTCAGCGCTAGGTTATACGGATCATCGTCGACTGTTATGAAACCACCCCTTGTGTTCGTCATGGCGCTCATGTTGTAGTCTACGAATTTGGCAAAGTTCTTGGCCGGCCGTATGGGTCCCTCCGCGGGCTGGACACGTCCATCGCGGTTGCTAGTCGGTACAGGATCGGGTGCCGATATCGACGAGAAAGGACGTTTCCTCCCAGCTTCGGCCGTTGTTATTTGCACATTTTCATTTTCGACTATCCCCGCCGGCGCACCAAGGCTCTCGGGTTCCTTGCCGGACCGGCGAAGCTCGTCTTGCTTCGCTTGTCGTATCGCTTTTGCGCGGAATCTATTCTCATCCTGGATTATAGTCAGCGCCGGATAATAGCATAAGTTTAGATATCATCACAGATGTTTACGTACAATGCGCCTAGTAACCTCTGGGGATAGCTGTTTCGATAGTGCCCCAGAGGGAGGGGTGGAGGGTCGTTCCATCTTTGTGACGGATCTCGGGAAGTACTACCAAGGGGTCTAGAAAGAGGAGGCCGGTTCGGATTCGAAAATTATTATTATCGCGGGTCCAATAAGGAAGACTCGAAAGGCATCTAGTGCTTCTGCTTTATGCTTCTTTGTGGTGGCGTTGGTAGCTGGGGGGTTGTGTAAGGGAAAGGGAAGCACAGGGGTACCGGAGGCTATATGACAGCATTGGGGACACTCTGTGTATCCAGTGTGAAAACCTAAATAGTGCCTAAAAAATGTCAAGACTCAGCACCAAGATAATGGGAAGCCATTAACATCTGCAGACAAATATGGAGAGCATTAATGCCATTGCTAACGGCTGGCACAAGACACAACAATAAGGCAGTATTACACAAATGTCATAGATGGTCAACAAGATGCTCAATTCTCATGCGCTCAGTTAACCTCAAGATTGGAACCTAAACCGTTGTCCCCCCTTCCTTGCTTTATCCCAGTAAGATTACACGATTAAAAGGCCTTCGGACAAAAAAAGATAAAAAGGAGAAAGCAAATTTACTCCTCCTTGGCACCGCCTCGACCAGCCCTCTCAGCAGCCTCAACAGCCTTCTTATCGCTCTGGGCAGGACCATTCTGAAGGCCAGCCATGAGACCAGCAGCCTGCTTGAAGGGTCGCTTGAGATCACCCGAAGCAGGCTGGCCAAAGATGTGAATCTTGGTGAGGTTGTTCTCGAAGACACCCTTAAGGGGGATGATGGACTGGATGAGGAGGGGGTTCGTGTACTTCATGTAGAGATGGGTGAAGCACATGATGGCAATTCCCATGAGCTGGGCTCGGAAGGCGTTTCGGAGCTGCTGGTTGTCGTAGGCGTAGATGGTGGTGGTGATGAGCTTGGGCTCCTCAGAGGATCCCATCGGCGCGGGCTCGACGTACTTGAGGGTCGTCATGTCTAGTGATTCGCAGCGACGTTAGCTTCAGCTACTCACGAGAAGGAAATCCGGAAATCCCGGAAATTCGAAAACCGCATACCCTTCTTCTTGTTGATCTTAAGGTGGATCGTGTAGTAGACGCCGGCAATTATCAGGTTGCTGAGGAGATAGATTCCTCGCACGGCATTGAGCACATTGGGGTCATCGAAAGGCACCCTCTTGGCGACCTGCATCAGTCCGAGGACGATGACGAGGTTGGCGCTGTTTGAGAAGCTCGAGTTAGCAGGAAGTCCATCGCACCCTGGGAGAGCACGCGAGGTATATGGAAGATGCGGAAACGAATGCGCTTGTGACCTACACAGCAGGGGGGATTCCAGCCATTTTGACGATGCCGATTCCGAAAGATGGGATGGGACAAGTAGGTTCGCGAAGACGAGGTTTTGGAAGCGAGAAGGGAAAAGAAGGTGGAAGTTGAGGCCTGGAATTGAGGAATTTCGCAACGTGGAATATTTTGTGAGTTTTTTAGGGAAGGCAAAAAGGAGGGATGGATTTGATTTCCGGCGTTGTGGCGCTGCAAGACGCGCCTAGCCGCCCCGCGAATCGTGCGCAGAATAGAGAATACAATAGAACGTCGAAGTACAGGCCAGCGTGGCGAACTGAGACTTGGAAGGGACGATTGACGGCACTAGTACTTCGTAGCACCAACTATGGAGAAAATGTAACGCTAGAAAAGCCCCTATAAGATATCATCAAAAGCACCATTGGCCTGTTCACCAGTATCGAAAATGATGGAGTCCACAAATAGATTGCATCATGCAGTGCCTGCCTGTTGAATTCTGAATTCCGCCTTTTCGTCCCCGAGATGGAAGCTCTCAAAACCAGAAGGTTCCACGAGGCTTCCGATCGTACATGGGAGTTAAAAGCATCCACGCTGATTCCCGCGAAGGCCCAATACGGCAGGTGGCCTCGAGATCTTGGAGAAAAGTTTTACTATTATGAAAGATCTGATTGCTAAGTAAACTTACGAAGTAAACGCCACGAAGCCAAGTCCATCAAAGACAAAAAAGAAAGAGAACGGATACGTCCTGTTGCTGTGAGTCACGTGACTCATACAAGGACGACGGGCTTGTGAAAAGAAGAGTCGAATCTTGAATGAACGAAAGAGACAACACCAATACCCATTGCAATCTCACCGACGCTCCACAGGGAGACCGTGGGTCACCTTTTCGAACGGTAACTCGTTCTGGGAAATAAATAGGAACGGCCTACTTCGGTTGACCTGCCTATCGAGAAGAAGCCAAGCCTGGCCGATGTCTGGGTTACTCAAAGCCCTGTGTCCCGACTTGAGGAACCTCAAACCTAGCCCTCTTCGTCGATCTGATGTATTTCTTTTGATTTATATATGATGGACTTACTCGATCATTGCTAACTAAGTATTGATAACGCTGGCCGGTGGCTATTCAGACTCTTGCTCTGTGGCCCTTCTACTATGCGTTGGCGCCGCTGGCGAACGTCAGAACTGGGAGAGATGGGTTCTTCTAGCTGAACTGATCATGAATCTATTTTATTCCTTTTTTTCCCACTCCTCCTCCACTGGTATCTATCTCTGGGCACATACACGTTGCATTTTCCACTGTCCATCACATTCGAGGTCTTAATTTGCTGTCCAAGGGCCGGTCTTTTTCTTGTTCATTATTTTGTTCGTTTAGTTCATGGTCCAGTTGTCTGCTTCGGACCTCTCTTCTTTTTTAGCCTGATCTCTCCGCTAAATTCCATGAGAACAAGAAAACGTAAAAACGTGACTCCCTAAACCGGCCCAAAAGAGGCTAGATAACGAAAAAAAAGAACACAGAGACCCCTCGACACCAAATGCAATGGACAAGAAGAAGAAAAACAAGCCGTGATAGCCCACTCTTTTCCCCTCCTTTTTCTTTTTGTTTTTGTTTTGGGTTATCTCCTGCCTTACGCGGCAATGAGGTCCTTCTTGAGGGTACCCTGGTATTGCTTCTTCTCCGCCGGGGTCTGGAAGGCACCGTGACCGAACTCAGAGGAGGTATCGATCCACTTGAGCTGGATGTCCTCGAGGGCCTTCCTGGAGGTGTGGACGAACATCGACTTGCGGAGGGTCATGATTCGCTTCTTGACACCGGGAATGGAGCCCTTGAGCATGACGAAGTCGTTGTTGACCTCACCATAGCGGACGAAGCCACCAAGACTGAAAAAAAAAGGACATCAATGTTAGTAGAGCGAACGAGAGAAACAAGATGGGAGAAAAAGGAGGAGCACATACGGAGTAATCTTCTTGGCAGTGACGTCGGCCTCGGTGGAGGCGTTGTTCTCCTGGTCGCCCTTTCCAATTCGGTAAACCTTGTGGTTGACCGAGGTACGGTGGTGGTAACCCATCTGACCAGATCGGGCAACAGTCCACTGGACGTGGGAAGGATGCCAGGGACCGATACAAGCGACCTTGCGGAGACCCTTGTGGGTCTTGCGAGGGAGCCTCTTGGTGCCCCAACGGGAGGTGACACCGTGGTATCCGTGACCCTTGGTGACGGCGATGACATCAATCATCTCGTTGTGCTCGAAGATGGAGTCGATACCGACAGGCTTCTCGAAGAGCTTGTGGCCGAACTCGACCTTGTCGGCGACGGAGCCACCGTTGATCTGGATCTCCATGAGGTGGGCCTTCTTCTGCTTGAGGGGGGTCAAGCGGAGCTGGGTGTGAGCGAGGACACGGACGACGGTGCAGTACTTCTTGATGCGCTCGAGTTCGCGGGTGATGGAGACACCGTTGTTCTCGGAGTACCTCTTGGCGTACTTGGTGAAGGCCTTCTTCTTGCTCTTGTACCAGTTCTTGTAGAATCGGCGGCGGACCTCGTCGCTAAGGTGCTCGGCCCAGACGGTGGTGAGGGATCGGAGGCCGCGGGGGGTCTCAATGTAACCAACCAGACCAACAACGATCATCTGTTAAATTAGATGTTAGCCATTGACACAAAAGCCAAGCGGGCTGCGTTGTTCGTACGGGTGGGGTATCGACGATGGTGACAGCCTCGACGACTTCCTTCTTGTGCGACTTGGCACCGGGTCGGTCGACATCGCGGACGATGGTCGTCATGCCGGCCTTGTAGCCCATAGCGGCGGTAAGGTGGACAGGCTTCTTGGGGTCATCCTTGGGGAAGCTATAAAAGACCAAAATGGCGTTGGTCAGCGAGATCTTCCGCGATTCGATTGCTGCTTCTTGCGTCTACTTGGACAAAGACGTCTGGGCTGTTTCCCTCTAGGGGCCGGATAAAGAATCTGAATACTCAGCATCACTTACGACTTGACCTTTCCGCGGTGGCGGGTTGCTCGCTTTCGCGGCAAGTAAGCCAGCGAACCGTGACGGGGAGCCTCGAACTGAAAGCCGCCTCCGGTTAGTTGTTTAATCCATTGAGCATCGCATTGTCGGTCTCGTCAACAGATATCTGAGAGTATGCACTTACCTTTCGGTGAGACATCTTGACGGATGGATGGAGGGATGGGGTTGAGAGAGGAAGAAAAAAAAAGTTGAGGAGAGAAAGGAAAGGGAAATACCTCCTTGTCGTTGTGTGGTAAGAGGTTAAAGTGGTGCTCCCCTCGTGGTGGAGATTGGCTGTACCTCCAAAAACTTTCGCACACTTTTTTTCGTGGGCTCAAAAACGAGGGTCGCCAAGACTTTCAAGCCCTTCAATTGGAGTCACGTGAACTGCATGTTCTTGTTCCAAGTCGGCAGCAACCTGCGCACCAAACGGCAAATGGTTGCCAGCTGACATTGGATTGGATTTTCTCATAATCTCCACAAACCACTTTAATGGCCCACAAAACAATCATAAGAGAGAGCACAGGGAACATCTTCCTACAGTGAGCAAAAGTGAAATTGCAGAAGCTTTTGAATTCACAACTTGTAGCTAGAAAACCCTAGGTCCAATTCACTCCATACGATTCTAAGCCGTCCATCTTGGTTTAGGCATATCGTCCTCCAAACAAAAACACAATCCCACGCATGCCTCCTTGGCTCCTAGACTACTGCTAGGTCATCGCAACGCCCAAGCCACTCCGATATAACTTCATTGAAACAAAGAAGAATGAATTTAGGGGGGAACAGTAATGATAGATATGCGGACAGGGTTGAAGAGAAGAAATGGGGGCAGATAAAAATAAGAAAAATAAAAAAGAAGTAAAACAAATGTGGAATAGAGCAAACGTGGTAAAACATTTGAGGGAGCTGAAAATAGTTTCAGTTAAATGGTGATTGGTGCTGGGGGCGACCCTTGCTTTCAAGAAGCCTCAACCTTGGTTGCAGCACCAGTCACGCCATTGATAGCCCCCCCAGTAGAATTAGCCGTCTTGGTATCGCCTGGAGGAGCCGCCGGACCCGACCCATTAGCACCAACAATTCCTCCCTTCTTATCTTCTTCGTCGTCATCATCGTAGTTCTCGTTGACGTCAACCTTCCGCGCTGCCCTCTCCGGCTCATTGTTAGCGGCCGGGGGTGGTGGAGGTGGTGGCTGTGCCCTGGACGCCTCCATCTTTTGTCTCTCCTCCGCGGGGTAGTCCTTGAGGGGAGCGGGGCCCGCAGCCTGCGGTCCCTCGTGTCCCATCGGGGGGTGCATGGGGTTGGGACCTTGCTGCATTGGGGGGAGGTGGGTAGGGGGCATCTGATGGTTTTGGCTGTGATGAGCCGCCTCCGATGGGTGGTAGCCTTCGTTGCCATGCCGTTGCTCCTCTGCACGACGCATATCGTCAGCCCGGCGTTGCTCTTCCGCCCGCCGCATCTCATCGAACCTCCTAGCCTCGGAAGAGTTGCGTCGGTAAGGCTCACGGGGAGGAGTGGAAGGCCGGCGGTGATGCATATCGTCCAACCTTGCACGATTCTCCTCGTTGGCTTGCTTCTTGGAGGCCGAGGACTCTTCTTCCCAATCCCGCATTCTCTTAGGACCCACAGAAGGTGGTCGGTCGTCGCCCCTCTGCATCGGTCCGTCAACCTGCATTGGTGGTTGAGGGGGATGGGAAGGGGATGCGTCCATCGGACCAGGAGGAGCAGGGCCCGCTTCGGGGTGGTGACCGTAAGGCGGAGGTGGAGGAGGAGCCTGCTGGTGTTGTGGATACGCTGACTTGGGAGAAGGCATTCGGTTGTCATGGATGGGACGAACCTCGGGTCGAGGGCTGTTCCTCGGCCCATACTGGGACAATGGCTTCGGACCGTCGCCGGAAGGTCCCGAAGGTCCAGCATGAGGAGGAATATAGTTAGGGTTGGCCACTCGCTCGGGCATATGCATCGGCTGCGAAGTAGGAGGAGGGGGTGGTGGCGGGGGAGGCCCCTGCGAGGCGTAGTGACCCGGACGTGGCGAAGGGCCTCGTCGAATGGGGCCCCGATTGTCTCCATACTGGGGCTGACCTTGCTGAGGAGGCGGAGGCGGCGGTGGTTGCTGTGGCTGCTGGGGTGGAGGGGGTGGCGGTGGTGGTTGTTGAGACTGCGGCGGCGGCTGCCGCATCTGTTGTTCCTGTCGAGGGCTAGGTTGCCTCAAAGGAGGAGGTGGGGGTGGAGGCTGTCCACGGTAGGGCTCACGCTGCTGCTCATACGGGTTAGGAGGCTGAGGACCCGGGTTGACTTCCCCTTGTCGAGCCCAACCGTTAGCAGGCGGCCCGACCGGAGGGCCGGGAGGGGGAGGAGGTGGCTGCTGCTGCGGTGGTTGCTGACCAGCACCGGTCCATTGAGGGGCCTGGGGTCCGAGGGCGCCGACAGCTTGATGAGCATACGGATGTACGTCAGCGGGCTGAGGAGCGCTTGCCGGAGGACCCGCGTTAGAGCCACCATTACGTAGGAGATGCAGTCGGGCCTTAATGTGAGGGTTGGTCGGGTCGAGCTCGGCCGCCCTCTGGTATGCATCTAAGGCATCGTTGATTTGGTTGTTACACGATTCATACTAAAGGCGCAAAAGGTTGTTAGCTTGAAAGAACACAGACCGCTCGCTTCCACAGAGAGAGAGAGAGAGAGAGAGAGAGAGATTCAGGCCACATACCAGAGTGCCAAGATCATACCAGACCTCGCTGATATAAGGATTGATACGAATAGCACGCGAGTAAGCGTCCAGGGCATCGCGGTACTGATTGATCTGATAATAAAGAACACCAATCGAACACCAGAAAGTAGGATTTCGGCCATCTCTGTAGACAGCCTGCTGATATGCTTCGTATGCCTTGGGGTATTTTTGCTGAGACATGTAGCAGCGTCCAAGAAGGTACCAGCTTTGCGCGTCATTGGTATCTAATCATGGGTTAGAACAGGGCCGACATATTTCCGAGTGAGACCAAGATACGTACCGGCCGCAACAGACTTCTCGAGGTACTCGATTGCGCGCTCCTGGCTCTGGAAGCTGTTGCTCTGTTGATGATGGAGCCAGCCGAGCTGCTGAAGAACCTTGGCATGGTTGGGATCACGATCTAGAACTCGCTGATAGGCAGCCTTGGCGTTGTCGACCTAGATTCAGGTGTTAACACGATGGAATACATTCCAAACGCCCCATCGCTATAACTTACGTCCTTCTGTTGCTCGTGGACATGGCCAATCTGGAACCAGATATCTTCCTCGGTCAAGGGATGAGGAGGGGAAGTGACGATGTATTTGAAGCACTAAGACATCGCACGTTAGAGACTGGATTCGCTCAAACAAAAGTTGATGCGAAAATTTAAATAAATGAAGAGAAGTCCAATTCTTACCTCCAAACTCTGATTGTACTTTTGCTGCTGCTTGTAAATAATGCCAAGTCGGAAGTAGATCTCATTGGCCTTTTCGAAGTCGGGCTGCATCTGCATGACCTGAGAGAAGGCCTCTTCGGCGTGATCCAGTGACCCATATCGATCGTACAGAATCCCAATGCCGTACCAGAGCTTAGGTTCCTACAGTGGCGGGTTAGACGCCCGAACTATGTAAAATGGAAGCATATCCTCTCGTGAGTGCGCATACCTTGGGATTAGAAAGGTGAGCGATGGCGTTCTGGTAAGCAGAATACGCCATCTGGAGCTCGTCCATCATCAAATAGCAGTGGCCTGTTCAAAATGATGTCAGTTGATGACCAGGCTCCAAGGACAGCTACAAGGGTAAAAATATCGACATACCCAAGCTTCCCCAAGTCTCTCCATTGTTCGGCTCGAGCTTAAGAATATCTTGCAAATAGCCCACCGCCTTCGGGTACTCTTCGCGGTTTCGAAGAATCAACGCAATGGCGCTCATGGCGGGGACGGACGTGGGGTTTGCGCGAAGAGCAGACTCATAGGCTTGGAGTGCCTCGTCGGAACTTTCAAGAACTTCAGCAAGACTACCTGTGGTTGGGGAAAACCGATGGTTAGCACACTGATGGAGCAACACAAAAGTCTAGATATCGCAAAAATATCTCTTACCAATCTGCATCCAGACGGCTTCCGTCATTGCTAGAATCTGTCGCGAGGGCGCACCCGCATAGCGACCGGGTTGAGAGACCGGGGGCTGACCCTGGGGAGGTGGCGGTGGAGGAGCCTGAGGACCGCCGTGCTGCATTTGCATCACGGTCGGCGAAGGTTGATGGTTCGCCATGATGGCTAAATATCAAGGGTATCGCGTCAGAGTCAGGAGTTGAAGCTTGCCTCGCCCCGTGATCTGCAGCAGACACGAGTTGCTCTCCGGTCTGGTGGCTGGTGGAATCATGAAAAAGAAGAAATTAGCATTCAACCAGGGGAGAGTAAGAGTCAAATTGCGTCGACATGATGCGAAATGGTGTGAGAGGACGTAGAGGATGAGGGTTGGTAATGATGGCGATGGAGATGAGAAGAAAGAGCTTTGGAGCTGAAGGGAGTTGCGAGGTGCTGACAAAGGCGGGAAAAAAAATATGGAACAGGTGAAAGGGGGAGAAGGAAACAGGATTGAGATGACGGAGACTTACCGAAGTCGCGAGGAGACAGAGACGAGGAAATTGGAAGATGCCCAGTAGTGATGGCGACCAGCCAGCGAAGGCTTCGAAGGGTTGGGGTTGGGGTGGAAAGAAGGAAACGGGATGAAAGAAGTTGGGGAGATGGGGCAGAAGGAAGAGATGGGAGGATGGCACAAAATGACGGCGAAAGGCACTCGCGCTCTGTCACAAACTTACCTTACCCATGAGAAGAAGGAAGGGAACGGGCAATGGATCTCATAATCACACGGCGGCGTGGCATGCCAAGCGAGGAACATCCATGCAGGTGTTTATGTGTACTTTATTTTTACCTGTGCTGAGTACTGGAAGGCTTTGTACGTCTTTGCTTAGCCGGGGTGTGGGAGGGTGGGGTGGTGTGGAGCGATCGAGGAGACACACACTCGAGCACACCCCCACCCCCTCCCCCCAATGTCCCACCCCCTCGCACCCCTTACGAAGTAGAACATGGGAACGGTTGGTACGGGAAGATACTCCGTCCCCAGCGCAGGATGAAGGGCGAGGCATGTAGTGTAGGGTATGGACATACGCTAGCGTACTCCCCGTTGTCGTTGAGGTGCAAGGGTACACAGCACAATTCTGCAGCACATTACTCTATATGGAGTTTAGTGTGCCCTCTAGTCTGGTTAGGGGGATGGCGACTAGTGTGGTATTAAACATGGGCCAGGCCTGGCCGGTAGGTACGTAGTGGGCTTGGAGTGAAGCGGCGTCCACTACACTACTCCGTACACTAGTGCAGCGACGACTGTGCCTTCTCCAGCACAGATAAAGCTAGCTGACTAACAGACAGGCACTCGGGTCCCCCAAATTCGGTCTGTTTTCGGCCTGGATCCGTCGGGGAGTACCCGGGGCAAGAGGAACGTCAAAAGGAGTACACTATTAGAACGAAGAAGTACTTCGTAAGGTAAACTACACTAGTTTGACGATAGCGGCGTCTTGTAAAGTGCTGAAGCCAAATCGGCCAGTGTGGAGAATTTGATATTAAGGCTCCCAGAATAATACTTCCCTCCTCCCGGAAGATTTGGCCTCCACTCACTCGTCTGAGGACGGTGTTCTTATGAAATTAGTAGGAATAGTTCCGTACGTGGTACAGAAATAATATTTTCCCGACGAGATCCGCACCACGCTCCGTCATGGAAAGGGACGATGAGATAAGAAAAGAAGAAAAATAAGAACCCGAATGGTCACCAGCGCCATGAGTGGAGCGTAAAGCACTTCGTCGGCAGCCAGCAGCACCCACCACGGGCTTGGGCTGCACGGCACGCGCAGCAAGTATACTGCAGAAAGCCTCACTCCATAAATGTCCGTCTCCTCATCCTTCTCGATCATTATTCACCAGCGTTGATGGATTGATTACCTCACAACACCTTACGCAATATGCCGGAAACGTTCCGGCGAGTGTCCAGCCAAGAGCTGCGCGTGTGTCCAATGCCAACCATAATAAATTGAGGTCTGCTGCAATTTGACAATCTTGCACGCACGCCTTGATGGATACTAGCGCGAACGTCGTTACATAGAAAGGAAACCCTCTGGCAGCAATGCAGCACACACGCCGTCTTGGAAAAATCAAAATCAAGACCTCAATCTAATGTATGGGAAAGAGGGGGGAGAGGCTTGGAACGGCTAGAGGTGGAAGGTGGACCGTGTCCCCGCCTCACTCAGTCTTTGATAGAATTTTCCTGCAGAGAGCCCACTCGTCAGGATTGCGTGAGCTGGAGAGTCGCGAAAGGACAAAGAGTTTCTGGGGAAGAAGAGTCATGCCTAAATTGGTGCCACCAGGTCAGTGGCACTGTACTTCGTACATGTTCCTGTCCCCTGCCTGAATCCTCACCCTCAGTTATCCTCGGCGCTAAAGAACGCGTCGAACATGTTAGAACCGGCGTCCCATCCGGCTGTTTTAGGGCCCCCTGCCACACCACTGTTATGGCACATGCGCCACACCAGATCGATTCCACGGACCCCGGCAAAAACCTTATCGAGGCGCTAAAGAGTTTAACGAAACACTCACTGAACAAAGGGCAAGACGACACAAGTCAGGTCAGCACCCAGCGCTATAACGACGAGGTACACTACCAAATATACTACGTCGCTTGGAACAGGACCACAAGCTGCTCTGATCCTGGCGTCACGCCCGAAGCTATCTCAGCGCCACTTTTGCAATCTTCGGGTGGTCTTTCAAACTTGATCGGATTCCGCGTTGGTTATTATCCCAAATCCCAAGTTTGCTAAATTCTGTAAGGGAGTTTTTGAGGCCTGTGGGGGGGAAAAAAGGCCAGAGACAATGAAGTGCAGCAGGGCATGTCGCCTTCATGTCACCAGCCTTCGGCCAGTCGCCGGTATCAATCTTGGGGAGGATTGGCCTATCCTGCACGCAAACCCTTTCGGTTTGCACCTCTTCAGACTTTGGCCCACCAAGCATATGGAACACACCGCATACATATAACCTGCATGCACGTATGCAGAGCATACGCCTACATCGGCCAGATTCGCCAACAGCAGAGCTAGACAGATGCTTACTTCACGGCACCATCATGTATTGATAAACACCGAAGAGACCTAGGCTCTTCGAAAATGAGGCAGTGAGGCTTGTATGTGAAGCGGTGGTGCAGAAATTATTGCCTGCCCAGTCCGCCCCTCCACTATCCGTAGTCGAGGAAGGAGATTTGATGGAATCTCGGGTCCCGGCCTGTCTCCTCCTCTCGACTGAACCATACTTCGTACTTGTTTCCATCACACTAGACCAGCCTAACTAGGCCTAATTTTGGAAAGGCCCACGTGTTTCCCATCGGAATGCCTTCTTTTTCGCCGGCAAACCGACCTGTACAAAGCATCGGAGTGCAGTGTTCACGACAAACTGCTCGTCAATTGAATCGATCAATCTTTTCTTATATTCTTCCTTCATTCCTTCGTTCCCCCCCTCCCTCCAGACTATTTGGGAGCCTGGCATTTGGCGCAAAGCCGCTGTAACCAGGGAAAATACTGGTAAGGCCAGCCAGCCATTTTGGGTAGCCTATCGACAGGGATACAAATAATAATCCCAGTCCATGAGAATAATTCCAACCAGTCCACGTCTAAGATCATCGCCCAGAGGTCAGTTGCGACAATCCTGGACAAAGATTGGTCTTCAAGCCTGGGTGGGAAAATAAGGAAATAAAACCAAAGAAAGATGGGGTGAAGCAATATATCTCGTCATACCTACCAAGTAGCTCTGAACTCCGTGTCGCATCAGTTCCGCCATCGAATGTCGAAGCTTCTTTTTCCCCTGGTGCTACAAGTACAACTCCGAAGTACTCGTACCAAGTCGTCATACCGATCAACTGTGCGACGGAGGTCGATCGGCCGAACGTTTCCACAGGATGGAGCATTCCCCCCATCATCCATGCCCCATGTCACAACGGCGTTGGTACCTTCGTACTCTATATGGATAATCACGTCCCAGGGAAGATCATCCTGCAGAGCGGCATTCAAGATCATCCAGGAAGGAAAGGGGAGGGAAAGGTGCGGGAAAGAAATTGTCCATAGTGTCAATGTCCCACACCAACCACCCTTTCCTTGGGTGATCGCCCGGTTTCAGCTTTCTGCGATGATCGGAATCTGGTTCAAATTATCCCTGTGCTCATGATCTTCTAATTAATCGGCTCCCTTCTCCTTCCACGAGGGTTAGATCGATCGACTGACGAGTCGTCCTGATGCTGAAGTTGTTCTAAGTTTATTATTGATCGCTCGGATTTCCCCCTCAGAAACCCTGCGACAGCCATTGCCCGGTCTCTGTCCGCACATCCCAAAGGGTGGCCTTCTTAAGGATACATCCAATGTATGCCATATGGAAAAGAGCGGCTGTATTAACTTCCCGGCGTCTCGCTTACCTCCCAATATACACAAAGATTATTTCCCGCTTTCACTGATGACTACGATAGTGAGTAATAAACTAGGGTGCCTCCCTCATCGAGAGTGCCAACACACAACATCCCGGCGATGGTTTGATCTATGCGGTCCTATCAAGGATGTATTCTCCGCAGGAGGCTCTATTCAAAATGCGATGGGACAATCGCCAAAAGCGAACTTCGCCATTCAATATGTATTACCCGGTCCGTAGTCGGCGTCGTCTTCTCGAGCTTAGAGATTTAAATGTATCTGAGGTCCCATTCTCGAGATCAAACCACTGGATAGTGCTTATCACCGAAATCAAGAGGTGATACATGCCAGCCATCAACCACATCCTACAAATAACGAACAAGACCGTTGGAACGGGCCCCCTCGCCCCCCAACATCAAAGCCACCTGCAAGGAGCAATGGATCTCCCGCGACAGTGCTCATTGTCCTTTTTGATCACGTGTCCCCACCCAGTGTCATGGCTGGCGTTGTACACAGGTACTGAGGTAAACCACTTCGTATTATTAGGTCAGACCGAAGGTTTCAGCTGGATCTTCTGTCTGACCCAGGGATCTCGAACAATGGCGGAGCGGACACCCCCAGAAATGCATACACGCGACCAACGAGTCGCTATAATTAAACTACTAGAAGCTCATCTATCGAGTTTCTCACACGAGGGAGAGCAAGATTTTGATACAATGCCGTGATCTTAGCCTCGGCCACCCGGAACACAGTGATGCGTGTGGTTGGAGCTTCTTGATTTTTGCAAGGCTGTCTCCTGGGATGAGGGCAGTGGGGGCCATGCCCATTTTTTTTTTTTTGGTACCAAGGTGTCATCAAACAATACGAAATAAAAAATAGTTTAAATGAAACTACTCGATAACTACTGGCGAACAGGACTTTGGAGTTGCCATCTGCGTTCCGCGACTCTGCCAGCCAGCACAACTCGGCTCCCGCACAAATCCAACGAAGTGATGGATGAATGGAGAGCCCCCAGCAACTGGGCTAGGGCCATGGCTACTTCAATGTTCCTAGCCAAAGATGGCAATGACTGGACCAAAATGACGGAGTGCCTGGGTCTAAATTCCGAAGGGAGGGAGGGGGCGCTAAGCAAGGATTTACGAGTACACATCCACTGCGCAACTGGACCCCATTCTGCAGTCTTGGCCGGTCACCAGCCAGCTCACTCGTTTTCCTCCTCACCAGTGCAAAGAACGAAGTGACTCGCCGTCTACCTCAGTACGTACCTTCCCACAAAATTGGCAAGTGTACACTATATCACAGAACCTTGATCGTACCAAATTAACATCTTGCGCGCATATGCAGGCCGTTCAAAGTGGGTGTAGTGGCAAGCACGGAACAGCTTCCCCTTCGTCGTGGGTACGAAAGTCTGGGCCCTATTTCTGCCGAATGGTCCAATTCCCCGTCGTCCCAGCAAGGCGACGCCCCGCGAAGGGACGATATATGTAACCATTCATGTGGCCCGTCACGTTTTTGGTACTTCCCGAAAGATGTGCTGTTGTGCGGTGTGGTGCAGCAGTTGGACTTGAAGACCAGGGTCGGACGATGCACGCCAGCCTGGCTGGTTCGTCTCCGTGCGTGTCTCGGTGCTTGCCTTTCGCCAGGGTTGACGAAGGATGGGGGACTTGGTGGTGTGTAACGCACTTTGGAGTACCCACGTAACTTCCTGTCACGATCATGGTGGGTTTCTGTTTGATTTGATACGATTTACTTTTCTCCGACTCCCTTCTGGGTAATGAACCGTACCGAACTTGGCAAAATGACGAGTAAAAATTACTCACTCTTCACCTACAATTGATCCATTCCAGTGATGAGGGACGGCATTTTCCCACAGCACGGAATGCTAGTCGGCGTTTCTTCGAGTGTTTGTTCTCTTTATATTCATGCTGTTTTCAGCAGGGCTGGAAATTCCCATCGTCTTGTCCTCCATCCCTTTGCGCAGCATCAAATAAATATTACCAAGTGGCCGAGGGGGCGTCGAACTTAACAGGTTCTGCTATGTTTCATCCCATCATACATGCTTTGATGAAAACGGGTGGAAAGATGGGCGCTGCAGAGTTTCAGGGACCCAGGTTCTGAGAGGAGGCTGGCGGGCGCTCGTCCCCTTCTTTCCCGCGAAGTACAAAATCGACGATGCGACGGGTAAAATGCCTCAACGCCGTGGGGAGTTTGCGACTACAGAGTTTTTTTTTTCTACTTTTAAAGCCGTAAAGAACCAATCGTCATCAAGCACCGAGGTATTAACATTGGATCGCGTTAAGATCCAGGGTCTTCAAATGCTTCTGCACCTCAGGAAAACGGCTCCAGATTGGGCTATCTTGAGTTGGCGTGCAGGTGCTGAGTACTCCGTAATATTACAGAGTATGTACGGTACTTCGGAGGCCGGTATTTCTTAGTGTCAACTTGTGTCAAGAGGAGAAGAAACTCAAGCCACCCTCGCTCTTCATCAATGGATTCAGCTTCGGGCCCACCCGCAGCCTGGTCTCCTCCACAAAGTCCCGACCCATCAATTTCCGAGCCCTCTGCGGGACACGTCTCCTCGAAGCTCAGCCGCCCAGGTGAGTGACCGTAACGGTGAGCACAGGTGCTAGAAAGGAAAGAACGGAAAAGGTACCAACGATAATGGCGTCGTTCCGAGGGGATTCTCCCTTGGTTGGGCTGGTTAGATATGGATTGGATTGAAGATCATGAGGGCAGTTCGAGTCGTCACTCTCTTTATCGCCATCTCGACTTCGTACTTCATACTTCGCCCGTCCCCCGAGGCAAAAATAGGGGCTATTCTGGGCATGGCTCCCTCCGTCAATCCAAGCCCATTCCCAGGCAGGCAGGGACAGGGATCTGTGCAGATCGAATCAGAACCGAATCCAATTGCAGGATGCCCCAAACGCAGCGCATCCGGCGTGGACCCTTGCAAGCCCCATAATATCTCGCCATTCTCATGAGCCGCTGTCGTGTACTCCGTACTTCCCATGAAACTGGTAGGTACGCGAGTACACGATAGTCTAACCAGATTTTGCTCTTCCAAACATTTTTCCTACGAAGTACTCTGCAGATTCTTCGCTCACCCGAGATTGCCATGGAAATGGTCCTGCGAACCCGGGAGAGGAGCGGGCGGAACACGGCTTCGTCCTTCGTAGGACCAGTATTATTAGTACTTCGTATTCCTTCTGTACGGAGTAACCTACGGCGAAGCGGCTCCTCAGCATCGGACTTAAAACCCCACGCATAAGGCCCTACGAAGTATCTCAGTACGACATTTTGAGTGCGAAGTACCTCAAACAAAAGTAGAAAATGGGGGCGGGAAGCCAGGCGTTTTTACCTTTCCGGCAACTGTAGCCAACCGATCGTGCGTCCACATTAGCTTGTGGAACAAAACGCTTCCAAGCAGCGTATTGTGGCCCCATTTCCGGCCTTGACACCAGGACCGAAGAAGTCTTCCTCCCACATGCCCCATGCAATATCGCACAGGCTGCTTCTGAGCCACCTTCAGGAATCGTGTGGAAACAGCCCTGGTTGGTATTGGTCTTCACCAATCCCGTTCACTTTTCGCCCTCTTTATTAACCCTCGCATTGCCACATGTGCCTTGGCAGCGTTGGTGCACGCAGGAGCAGGAGAGAATGTGCCGACAAAGATTGTATTGGTTCGGAGACGCCTGACAGTCAAGCCACTTGGACAGATCAAGAAACGAACCGCCCTTTTCAGCCCTGGAGGGCTTCATATCTTGGAGGGAGGGAGGTCTCTAGACTCGACTCCAGCTAGCTTTGAACGATAGATTGTGTGGCACAAGCTCACCTCCTCGAAAGCCACCCAAGTCGATAACCGGTCTGGCCTCGTGTAACATTGCCATGTCATCACGAGATGTGCTAGACCCGTCCGATCCATTCGGTGAAGATGACGGGCTCTGCTAGCTTCACGAGGTGTTAAAAGCAGTGAAGAATAGAATTGAAACCATCAAGAGTGCTGTCATTTAACAGTGTTTAATGAGAGCTAGTTTATATAATATTTCCATCCTTCCCGAGGCCGGTGATGTCTGAGACTGAGACAAAAAAGCGTGCAAAGCTGCTTGATTGCGAACTGAGACTCGACACGGAGGCTGAACCGCCTGTTTGCGCAAACCTATTGTGGTTGACTTCCCTCAGGAACCATGCCCGAATATCCGTACTTCGCGCTCTTACTTACGAAGGAAGTTGCCCTTACAAGGCAGTTCTTGGCGATCTCGACGATCTACGATGCTGTCCACCCTTGGCAGCAGCAACGTAATGGCACCATACCTGTCCTGCTTCCAATGGTACGGAGAGGAAGGCGAACCTAGTCCCGCTGACACGGAAACCATCCATTCAAATATCAGTTAGCGTCATCGTCTTCACGTCCACAAGAAGGCCACAAGAGGATAGACTAGGAAAATTAACGTAAGGATTGGCGTAAACTTTCATGCGAATTTCTAGCTAGTATCCATCATAAATCAACAAAACGCGCCCAAGACGGTAAAATACACCTATAGTTCTACAAAAAACTTGGATAGGGTCATAGTCCTCGCAATCTGCCTGGACTCCAGATCCTCCCCCTCGCCTCCCAACGTATTAGATATCTGGCCGGTCGATATATCGCCGCCGTCCAGTCCGATCCCATCCCTTCTCTAATCCCAAACGAAAACACGCTATCAACATTTAGGCGATGAGCTACTAAGCCATGCCAGAATATAGGAAATGTGTTTTTTGTGTCGCTCAAGCAGAGCTCTTCTCGAGTCCTTCGTTATCAGGCGTATATTTGGTCTCGCCCAACATCGGTGCGGGCTGCGTGGTCATGGCAGTCTGCGTGCTGGCAGGCGGTTGGGTCTGCACGGTGGGGCCGGTAGGCTCGCGGGGAGGGGGAGTGGGCTGCGATCGCGCGGCCGTCGCTGCCTGAAGGCGCTGATCAAGCGTCCGGAGAGCTAGAGCTCGTCGCCGCTCGGCCTCCGCCCTCGCGCTACCTGGAACGGTTCGCTGCAAAAAGTTGTTGTCGCCCCTCGCTGCTGAAATATCGGCTTGGGTGAATGGTGTGCAGATTCGCAGGGATACCAAAATGTTGAAGACGGTGTTGGAGAATGAGGCGACCGTGGGCTTGAGAGGGCCGGGGAAGAACTCGGCAAAGGCAAAGGTCTCGCTGGCATCGCCGCGGAGGGAAGATGGTTGCGACGAGTCCAGATCGGGGAAAACTCGCTTATAGAATCGCAAATATGTCCAGCTGGCGAGGAAACCATAGATGGCCATGAAGAACGTGGCACTGGAGAAGAGAGGCGTCATTGCCAACACTGTCACGATGCTGATATAAAGGAGGGGGAACCTCGGAACTCGAAGAGAGAGAATGCCACGGAAGAGGGTAACAGTATGAGCTGGAACGAGCTGACTGAATGCGACCAAAAGTGCGATCTGGATGGGTGTCGTGCCAGCAATAACAGTAAGCCTGGGAAGTCAAAGAGTTAGCAGAGGCGAAGAAAGCCAAGCAGTGGTAAAGTTCACACTTACGTCCAGCCCTCATTCCCTGTCAGGATGAAGAGGAGGACAAAGGTCGCAAATGACAAAAGGTTCGGGATCAAGGAAACGACGACGATGAACTTGGCCAGCTCAGCCGAAGACCATGCCCGCTCAAGATAGCGCCCTCCATGATAGACCGTCAGAGTTGATATCGCGAGAGTGAAGACGTTGTTCTCCACGAATGTCGTTGTCAATAAGGTCCAGGGGTAGATGAGAGAGAGCTGCGGCACGAATGTGAGGTACGGAATGACGATATTCGAGCCGCTCGTCCACTGGCGATACCGAATAGCTGCATTTAGGAGCGACTGGACAACAAGGACGATGAGTACCACCCGCGTCACCGGCGGAATATTTATTCTGGGGGGCATTTTGGGGGGCTAGTCGACTGCGCTTTGATAACTCGAAGGCCAGAGATCGTGGGCTCGTTTAGAAATTTGTCGTCTGGTCAAAACTTGGGTACCATCCCCTGATGGTCGATTGAAGGTGTCCTTACTCCTGATTCAGAATGCCTCTTCTTTGCGCTGGGCGGAAAAATATCGGGCTGGCATCGAAATGAAACGGTTGAATGAGACCAGGTAAAGTCAGAAGAGCTTACTTAATAATAATCGAGACTCGCGGTTTTGCTGGTCTGTTGCAATCTTGATTTTGATTGTCCATGGCTCGTGACGCAAAACAAGTCACGTGATAAACGACTTGGAGGAGCAATGACCACCAGGCAAAACAAGCATTGACCAGGTACTGTCAATCATGTTGTCAACAAGAAATGGGTCGGCACATGAAGAGACCCTAAAGGAACGAACTAATTTGTGAAATCCGCTTTCGTTTTAAGATGTCCTCTCCATTTCTTTACGAAGTAGACACGAAGGCTACTTTACATCGGTTCGGTGCATAAATATATCTGGGTCGAGTCTACGAAGTACTCACTATGATAAAAAGGACCCTGATCAGGAACACCGTGGTTGTCAGCTTGCTAGAACCAGGATCGAGGAGGTGCAGTTTCACATGCACTGCTTAATGACGGGAGTACGCGCTGTCTTTTTTACTTGGCTTTTACGAAGTAATGTTCACGAGCCATGAGCGATATTATCCCAGTACGAAAGTACCTTTCCCCCCGATCAAGTGTTGCCCACATGAGGAAATTTTCGATGTACCGACGTCCTGTGATACACCAAATTGATTGTTGTGTTGCGTACATTGGAGATCTGTCCTATCAATTTTCCAAGGTGGGCTAATAGACCGGGTTCCTAGTCGAGTAAGGTCTCCCGTTCCTGACTGGTGGGGCAAGCCCTGTGACAAGGTTGAACAGCGCAATTCGGAAACGCTTCCAATGGTCAAGCCGAGATTTCCCCAACCCACCATGTACATAGTGTATCAATCCATGTACGAAGTATCCGTGGTCGATCGACCAATGAAGAAGGTCACCAAAGATGCCTCAAATTCGCCCTTTCTTCTTCTTTTCTATCTTCTTTCTCTTTCCCCTTTTCGCCCAAGTGACCACGGACGCCATCTGCGTCTCTTAACAAGGTGTTTCTCCTGGAGGAGACAGGGCCTTGCCCTTTCATTTGATCTGTCTCGGAGCGGGACCAACTGGTCTGTGATTCAGTTGTATTACGAAGTCAAGTCCTTGAATGAGCAAAGTGCGGGACGCTGTTTCCGGAAATGGAATAGTTCCACAGTCCCGATCAACTGTGGCTTCTCGCTTCCTTCCACAAAGTTTCCGCATGGTGGGTGGCGAACTGGCATTGCAGCCGGAGCCAGGACAAGCTGGGGGGGATGCAGGGTACGTTCCCAACAGTGCTGAGAGTACAAAGTACTTCATACTCAGGCAGATCAAGCTGCCCTGCCCCCTTTCTCAGTTACCTATTTCGGTACATGTCAACAGAGCATCTGGCCTCGCAAGTGCAAAGTACCCCCTAAGCGTTTTTTGGACAGTGCGAAGGGGTTAACATAAACAAATTCTGGCTGCCTTTGTATTGGACATCGCAACCCACACATCCTCCTTCCCTGTCCTTCCGATGAATCAATGGGCTTATCGGATTAAAGTAACCCTGGTGTTTCGCCCCCAGATCTCCATCTCGCCGCCTCTCTCTCGCACGAGTCACAAATTTAAGGCGTCCTATCCTCAGCGCCGCGCCCCGCGATCTCTATTCGTTCCTGGGCTGTTTCCTTTTTCTCGATTTTGGCTTGAATTGAGGGAACTCTCCCACATTAGGGCGGACTGCATCTGCTTGCCTTTGCTGGTACATTACGTCAATCGCGACAGGCTGCCGTGAAAATTACATGTGGTGACCAGACAGACCAGTGGATAAATCGGCGGTTAGAGACTAGTGTGTGCAGAGCGTCTTGGTACCATTCCTTATTGTGTACGAAGTACACACACATCAATCAATGCACATCCTCAAATCTTACTTCGTACTGAGGTACATTCCCTCGATTTTGATGTCCCGTGCTTCATCGCCCTGCGCCGTGACAGTTATCTCGGCATCATGAAAAGGCATCAACAAGGGATATTGTCATTTCCAACCTAATCGAAGGGCAAGCAACTCGAAAGGTGGCAGGTCCGATTTCAGCCATGTAAATCGAAAGACTTATCCCACAGGGTATGCCCTTTTCCTTTTTGACGAGGCAATGCTCACTCCTCATGACGATGGGCGCTTGCCCTTGTGGGCCCTCTGTTGTTTATGAAGGATAGACAGTACGAAGTAGATTATGTTCGGGTTTGCAAAGCTATCCGCAACCGATTCAACCCATTGCCCGGGGATCTGCATTTGCACCACCCTCGAGCCGGACCACATTTGAAGACGCCTTTGACCTTGTGGTCGAAGAAGTACTGCAACTGGGTGGAGACTCTCTGAGCAAAGGGTATTGTCATTACCACATGGATTAGTCTTGAAGATGAAATCCACACAGTCCTTCTTACATTTAGCTACGGCAAGAGGAAAGGGACTAATAATCTGTACTCACGTCAAATCAACATGGGACACTAGGGAGGGTACGAAGTACTTTGTGCTTCGTGCCTAGTGCACTATAATTGGAGGATGCCGGGATGATGGGGCTGGATCTGCTTTACTTTTTTTACATGCTGGAGGCAGGCACTAGGAACAATATCCTTCCTTGGTTCTACAAGTATTCATACTTGCATGTCTCGCCCAGAAATCGAATCGGTACGTACCATCGAATCCAAAGCACGACCCATGCAACAGATTTGCGCACGGAGGCGTCTCTCGCTGTCGTTCATCACCCATGATCCATCACCCATCAGGCCCATTCACTTCCTTCGAACGAAGTAGGACATCCCAGATACCCAAACACCCAAACACACCTAAACAGCCCAGACACCCTGACCCACCCCATCTCTACACCCTTACCTTACCCCCCCAATCCACCCTCTCATTGTTCCACGCCGAAGATTCCCTGTCGACCAGTTGCCTAGGTCGACAATATTACAATATCCCCTGGAGTGCGTGCGGTATATGTGAGTACCTCCCATTTCGTACCGCTGGCCTAATCTGGTTTACCACCACGAAAAAAGGGCCAGAGGCAGAAGAGCCAACCTGGGGTATCGGGGCACGAAGTACCTCTGGGAGTACATGAGTACTTCCACATACCACTAGCGCTGGCCTGGGCTGTGGAGTACGAAGTACAACCATTCCACCAAAATTCGCCAGTCGTCAATCCATCCGTCCTGTTCTTCACCTCAACTTCTTTTCTCATCAACAACCTCGAAAACGACGCCCTGCCCATCTGACGACCCTGGGAAGCCATTCGCGACGCGTGAATTTCCGATCCGACATCTTCCCAGGCAGTACCCGCCCCTCATCCGCGATCTAGCCAATTTTCGCCTACCCGCGAGTGGCCGCGACGCCCGCGACGATGAAGGAACTTCTTGACTCGGATCGAGTCAACTTCCTGGTTTGGAGGTTCGTCAAGCCAGTTTCACCCTCACCCTCAACCTCACCTTCACCACCACCCATAGCATCCTCATCCCGACTTGGCTTACCATCGGTTGCCCTGCCTGTATCCATTTTACTAACCTTTTCCTTCTCATCGTTGTCTCATTACAGGTATTTATTAGAAGGAAGTATGTAGCTCCACTGTGAAATTTGATGAGAGAGGCTCTCTCTCTCTCTCTAATTTTCAGCCCCCTCCCTTTTTGACATGGTCGAATTGGTATGCCACCCCATGCATGTTCGTAACTCTAACGTTCAACCTTTTTTCCCTTCCACACAGATTATCGAGAGACAGCAGCAAAATTCCAGAAGGAGTGGCACATCAAAGAGCCCCATCGGCATTTTGATTTCGCCCCTCATGTCCAGAGCCATGCGTTGGTATCTGTAATCAATCGGGGGCTTCTCTACAACTCCCTAGAGAGGGAGGTTTCCCGAAAACAGGTACGTGCCATTCTCTCTGATTCATGCATATTGTCTTCGAACTCGCAGCACACCCAACCCAACCCTTGCACACAAAGTCGTGAGGCGTAAGGCGTGGAGGAATCGCTCATGAGCTCTCGCTTCACGCCCACGCGACAATGCAATTGCTTTCGCAACAGCCCCGATTAATTTTCATTCCCCCCAAAAAATTCCCCCCCTCGCTTTTTGTGCTCTATATTTTATCAGTCATAAGCTGCTGAGCTCTGAGAGAGCGCAAATTTACTGACAACAATTGCCTCACGGTATCAGCTGCCGCAGGGTGTTGCCGCCAACTCTGAAGAGCGACAGTTTGGTGTGTTTGGACCCTTAGTAGTACAGCCGCCTCGGAAAATTGAGGACGACGAGTCGGAGGATGCGGATGGAGATGCAGACGATGATGGCATCTTGGACGAGCAAGATAGAGTATCTCGGAAGCGCCAGATTGACCCGCGACTGCAGCATCAAGCAGAACAATGGAACGGCTCACCATTGAAAAAACCGCGCCTAAGCAATGGCTACGAAAATCGGATGGACGTGGACTCAGCCACCACACCTTTGGACACTGGTGTTGATTCAAACGGTCCGGGCGACAACCACGCCTACCCTTCACCCATGGAAGGCGAACCAGCTCCCACTCCAATTCCCCGAACGGACGGTCCCGACCAAGGCACTCAAGTCGAAAAAGTCCACGAGTTGGCCACCCAGACGACTTTTCTACGATTAACCGCTGGAGATTCGGCACCAGGACACACCAACGGCACGGGCGAAAATGCACCCATTTTGTTGCACTGCGAGTGGAACCCCAAGGACCCGTCCAGTCTGGCGGCTGCTGGAACAGATGCGCTAGCCCGTGTTTGGACCATTACTCGTGCGACAACTGGCTCTCTGCCGAACGGTGACAGCAGTGCCTCCGGTCACGTGAGTACCGTAAACCAGCCGTTCCACACCCTCATCGACGACGAGACGCCTGGCAACGCCAACGTGACGGCGCTCGCCTGGAATTGGGACGGAACGGCAATTGCGGTCGCTACCGACCATGGAAACAAGGCGAGGATTAATATTTGGGGTCCCGACGGAACACATCTCCAGAGGTTTGAGGTCGCAGAGCCACCCATCATTAAGCTGCGCTGGAACCCCAGTGACGCTGCCTTGCTCGCGATTTCGATCGATAATGGAGGAATGCTGGTGACTGTATACCCTTCGGCGACATCTAACACGTTGTCGTACTTTATTCGAGGTCACGATTTCAACAGCTGGCCCCTGGATGCCGCATGGATTAACGAGACCGACTTCCTGCTATGTGGTGGGGATATCTTCCAAGCCCTTCATTGCACCGATACTTCGATTGTACTTGCGAGGAATTTCGAGCTCAAGCCGGACGACAATTTCACCCAGGTCCTGTTCGACTGGCGTTCCAAGCTCGTGGCGACATCAAGCGACAAGGGCATCATTGATGTACGCGTTCTCTTTCCCCCTTCCTTTTGCCTCTCTCCTTTCCTCTTCGTATTGGGATGTTTTCTTGCTAACGGGGAATTGCAGCTGTGGGATGAGGCGGGTCAGCGCCGATCGATATCGGCCCATTCCGGAGCCATCACGGCCATGCAGTGGCAACCCCTCCAAACGAACCCTCCCGACGACGAGCGACTTATTGCGTCCGGCGGCGACGATTGTGCAATCCTAATATGGAACGCGCGCATGCCCGACACTAAAGCCAAGTGCTTCCTTACGATGGAATCTCCGATTGTCGCGCTTGCGTTCACGCCAGATGGGGCCTTTATTGCTGGAGCCACCGCGACCCGCGTTCTCATCTGGAAGGTTGGCGACCATGCCATCCCTAGAGCCAGCTGGAGCCGCACACCGCATCCCGGCTGGCTAAGCCCTCGGGCGAGTGCAGAGACCGATGAAGAAGATGTTCATTGCCTGTGCTGGGATGCGACAGGACAAAAACTGGCCTATGGTGCCAATAGCAGAGTAAGTATTGTTATACCTCTACCATGACGGCCGGGCGGTGCTTATCGCTACTTTTATGTCATCTATAACCCAATGAGTCAATTCCTTGTCCCGGTTCCCTGCTAACTAATGGCTCTTTTCCCAGCTCGCTGTGATCGATTTCCGGTAGTACCATGAAATCCCCCACTCGGCAGTCCCCCGCGCCCAACCTTGAGCGCGAACCCAAGCCCAAGCCCAAGCGTAAATTATCCCTCGAGTTGGACATCGAGGGAACAAGGAAGATGTTCCAATCTATGTTTGGCGAACAGGCCGGCGAACCTCGCAAACAGAGCGCCGAAATTTTGGGTTGGGACAAGAAAGAGGAGTGATGGAGATGAGTGTGGGACTCGGCTGCCAGCATTGGCTCTAGTTGTGAAAGAGCAATGAATAGCGAGCCTTTTGGCTACAACTGGACATTGAGGACGAAGCGCGCACACTCGTCCATGTGTATAACAATCGGGGGCTTATCTGTCTTTGCGCCTCTTTTTTTTTTTTTTTTTTTAAACTTTTCTCTTCTTTTCTTTTCTTTTCTTTTCTCTTTTTGTCATCAGCAGCATGGGGTTTCACGGATAGGCGGATACGGAAGGCGCAAGTGCAGAATTCTTGCAATATCATGGCCAGGGGCGAGCACTTTGATGCATTTAGTTGTAGATGCACATCATACCATGAGATGATATGAATGATAACTTGCTCATGACTGGTAGTTGGGTTAGGACTGGTGATGCAGATGTGTGATGCTGGTGTGTGTGACCGACCTCATCCACTTTGATGTGTTGTGTATTGTGTATTGTGTATTCGTCTTATCTGATGAGGTCGGGTATTACCTATGAGGACGAGGCTGGATCTACGGCCGAGGAAACCTGCAGGAAATTCAGGAACGATGTTGTCATTCTAGCCGGGCTCTTCAGTGCAATTATCGTCTCATCGCATTCAGATCGATTGGAAGTGGACATGGTTGCCCAATCTCGAAAGTTCCTGTCCGCATTAAAGGGTACAGCTGGTGGCGAGTGCTACCTAATTGCCCCGCCATTTGCGTCATTGGGTCGTTTGGGGGTCATGCAAATCATTCTCTGCCAATGCAAAGAATCGAAGGGATTCCAAAAGGTCACGACTTCGTGAGACGGGTTATTAATATCGAGGGAATTTTCGAAACAATTGGATTGGAAGGGAGTCTTTGGGTTTCGCAAGACTTCCCCTCCAACATATTTCCATTCGAACAAAGTGGCGAAGATTCCAAGCACCGCCTCTCGGCTCGCGAAAGCAGCAGTGCCCCATCTCTCCAGGCCAGCGAATCCCGAACACGCCATACCAAGGAGCATATCCCCCTCCCCTCGCAGCGTTCAAACATCCAGCCATATCGGAAATCCCAGTCCCTACCGGACATTACTCCCAACACAACAAACCATCCCGACACAGGTCCTAAAGGCGCAAGCTACCCAGATCCGCACCATGTCATCCGACGACGCGTACGCCGCCTTCCTCGAGAAGGCGAACCAGGATCCTTCTTCGGGGCGGGCGCAGGCTACTTCTGGTGGATCGAGCGCGAAGAAGCTCAAGACCGCGGATAAGGGGGAGGAGGTTCCCGCGGCAATTAGGAGGGTTACGAAGGATAGGTTTTACGTGAGTGATGCGGATGAGCCGTTTGAGGCTGTTTGTTTGAGGTGGGATGAGGGTGGTAATGAGCTGCCGGATGAAGGTTTGTCTCTACTGTTTTCCTCCTCTGAGTCTTTCTACTATTTTTTTTTTATTATTGGTTACATGTGTCGTCTAACTTTTTGCTACTCGCAGTGGAATTCGCCAAGCTGGTCGAGCACTGGGACCCAGCCAACGCAGACGTCGAGATCCAAGACCCGTCGGACTGGAATAGAAGCGGGGAGTACGGCGACATTGTGGACGCGGTTACGGAGGCGGTCAAGGGAGCGGATGTGAGGGTGTACAAGGTCAGCAAGGATGCGACGCGGGTAGAGTACTTTGTCGTCGGGTGCGAGGGTAGCGGGAAGGATGCGAGGCTTGTGGGCGTGAGGGCTTTGTCTATTGAGAGCTAGGCGAGGGAGACGCGGTTGCGGTTGCGCAGTTCGAGCTTTCGTTAAGTCTCGGCAGGGAGGATGGCTGCTCCCTGTATTCATATGCTGGTCCAGTTAGGTTCAGTCTTACGAGGTAATACAAATACGTCGTCTGTCGGCTCTAGATTTGTTTATCGAGAGTGAAAGCGGCAGGCTTCCAAAATCACGGCATCGTGCTGAAACAGTGGGTGGGCATCCTCCTTCCTCTTGCCTTTTCAAAGAGGAGCGTTTGGGATTGGTGGGAAGTTAGAGGCAATTGGAAATGGGCTTTCTGCAGCGGAAATGAGAGGAATCAATGTTGGGAACTGAAGACGTCAATGTCGTTTGTACCTTGGTAGATTTCACCCCACCAAAAAAGTTGGTGGGATGGATTACTTAGCACCGACTTCGCATGTGGTACTTGCTATTTTCCAGACCGCCGTGAGTCAAACCAGAACAACCGCATCACCACTCTTCTCAACCCTCAACCTCAAAATCCATACTGACAATCACGTCGCAATGGCAGGACCAGTAAGTCCATCCTCTCCACGGCTCAATTGACCCCAATTGTGTCCTGTCCCTGCTCTTCCTGCCCTTCCAGAAATACCCTAGTCCCTAGTGCCCACTGACATCTTTCCCCACCCCCGCAGCGAGGCATCGTGCCCTCCCTGGACACCATCCAAGAACTCCTCTCCAAGACACCACCCCCCGGCAGCAAAAAGCCCAACCTAGTCCCCGTCTACCGCCAAATCTCCTCCGACCTCATCACGCCCTCGGCCGCCTACCTCAAAGTCTGCGCCCACGCCAAGAACGACTCCGAGTACTCCTTCCTATTCGAGAGTGCCGCCACCGAAAAAGTAGGCCGGTACAGCTTCGTCGGCGCCGCGCCCCGCAAAGTCATCATCACCGGTCCCGGCCACGGCGATGAGGTCGATCCCTTGCCGGGGCTCGAGGCCGAGCTGGCCGAGTATGTCGTCGCTAGCGTGCCGGGCGTGCAGTTGCCGCCCATGGCTGGAGGCGCTGTGGGTTATGTCGGGTATGATTGCGTGAGGTACTTTGAGCCTAAGACGGCGAGGCCGATGGAGGATGTTTTGAAGATTCCTGAGTCGTTGTTTATGCTGTTTGATACCATTGTGGCTTTTGATCGGTTTTACGGCGTCATCAAGGTTATTACGTATTTACACGTGCCCGAGGACCTCGGCGCCTTGGAGTCGGTGTACAAGGAGGCCAAGGACAGGATCAACGAGCTCGTCAACGTGCTCAACGGACCCGAGATCCCCTTACCAGAGCAAGGCCCCATAACGCTAGGCCAGGAATACAAGTCCAACATCGGTCGCGAGGGCTATGAGGGCCACGTGACGACTCTCAAGAAGCACATCGTCCGCGGCGACATCATCCAGGCGGTCCCCTCCCAGCGGTTCGCACGCCCGACGAACCTCCACCCGTTCAACATCTACCGGCACCTACGAACGGTCAACCCATCCCCTTACCTCTTCTACATCAACTGCCGCGACTTCCAAATCGTCGGCGCCTCGCCCGAGCTCCTCGTCAAGTCCCAAAACGGCCGCATCGTCACGCACCCCATCGCCGGAACCGTACGTCGCGGCAAGACCCCTGAGGAGGACGAGAAGCTTGCCGAGGAGCTGCGCAGCTCGCTCAAGGACCGCGCCGAACACGTCATGCTGGTGGACCTGGCGCGTAACGATGTCAACCGCGTCGGGGACCCGTTCACGGTGCGCGTCGACCACCTCATGGTTGTGGAGAAGTTTAGCCACGTGCAGCATCTCGTGTCGCAGGTTTCGGGCGTGCTGAGGCCCGATCAGACGCGGTTCGATGCGTTTAGGTCGATTTTCCCGGCGGGGACGGTTTCGGGGGCGCCGAAGGTTAGGGCTATGGAGTTGATCGCTGAGCTGGAGAAGGAGAAGAGGGGGGTATATGCGGGGGCGGTGGGGTATTTCGGCTATGGGGGTGTTGATGAGGACGGGAAGGATGTGGAGGGGGCTATGGACACTTGTATTGCGCTTCGGACGATGTTGGTGAAGGATGGCGTGGCGTATCTCCAGGCTGGTAAGTTGTTCTTCTTCCCCCCCTCCATGAACATGTCTTGCCCTGCCAGGGGAATTATGTCCCTTCCCGTAACCATTATAGTTTATGTTGCAGAAAACTGACTATTTCATGCATAGGTGGCGGCATCGTGTTTGACTCGGATGAGACGGATGAGTGGGTTGAGACGATCAACAAGCTGGGCGCGAACATGCAGTGCATTACGTCGGCAGAGGAGTTGTACTACGAGCAGCAGCAGCAGCAGCAGCAACAACAGTAGGGGGAGAAGTCAAATTGAGAAGACTCACTCGAGGGAAGGAGAAAAAAAGAAGGTGGAAAGAAGAGGTCTGGGCATGTTTTAACCAACTTGGATTGTCTCAAAAGGGGGCATAGCATATGGAGTAGATTAGGAGGGGCTGGTTACCGGTGATGAAACTCTTGCGATCTTGGTGTTCACGATAGACTTCGATACCTGGCTTTCTTATTTTTTTTCCTGGAATGTTTTTTTTTTTTTCTCTATTATTGACGTATTATTATGCACACGGTACATCTAACTCGACGCCATTATGTTCTATATCAAGACGGAAAGGAAAATCGAAGCAAGCAAAAGAAGGAGATATCCTCCACCGTATATGTCCCTGGGTATATAGATAGATGCATGCATCTCGTCCATGTTTTCCAACGTCAGATCCCCGCCCTCCTTTTTTTGGGTTAACCTCTCCAAACCTTCTATTAGAACAATGTCCAATCTATATCCCAAACGCCCAATGAATGTGAACAGGGTCGGGGCTAAAGGTCCGATGCAATGAAAGCAAGAAAATAAAACATAATGAAAAAGGTAGAAAGCATGCGTAAAAAGTGCGAGTTTTGGTCAAGTCCAAGAAAAAAAAAAAAAGGAGAGCAAAAAGAGATGAGGAAATGGTCGTCTAAACCATATGTTCCCCCCTGCTACTCCCACTCCTCCTCTCACCATGCAAATCCGCATCGCCAACCTTCTCGCCGTTGACCTCAGCCTCGGGGCTAGGAGGGGGCATCATGACGGGGGCAAAGGCGCTACGGGCTCGGAGGCGGGCGCCGTAGATGTAGAAGGCGACGGGGATGGGGACGAGAAGGGCTGCGACGCAGCCGAGGAGGGTGGCGGCCCATTGGATGCCGAGGCCGTTGAACATTTGGTTGGCGAAGAGGGGGAAGGCTGCGCCCGCGAGGGAGCGGAGGAAGGTGTTGGCTGCGATGGCAGAGGCGGCGCTGAGGAGTTACAGTCAGTATTTTCTTCTTCTTCTTTCCAATCTGTAAAGGTGGGAACATCACTTACAACATGAGGTAGGCATCAACGAGGTAGTTGATGGCCTGAAGGAAGATGGACAGAAGACCGAATCCAGTGAGGATGCCGCTAAGAGTGGGCACGATCCAATGGATATCCTTGGTGAAACCAGTCCACCCGAACCAAAAGATACCAATAGTGAAAGAAATACCGCCAATAGCAACAGAAGGCAACCTCCACTCAGGAATAGGAATGTTATGATTCGCCGCCAACTTCCTCTGATACGCAGGCTGCTGAAGAAGCATAGCCACACCGGCAAGCAACTGGCCGATAATCATCCCGAAGAACGGAAGACCCGCCTGACCCGGGGAAAACCCGTGGACGCGCTGATACACGGCCGGGTAGGCGGTCATGAAGAGGTAGAGAAGGCCGTAGATGAAGGCCGTGTAGATGGTGAGCAGGAGGACGATGGGCTCGCCGAAGAGAAGACGCATGGGACGCGAGAAGTTCTTGCTGATGAGCTCGCCGAAGTCGACTTCGATTTCTTCCTGCTTGGCGTGGATGCCCCAGTTCCTCGTCCGCCTCCTGAGCTCGGCGGCCTTTTCGACGAGGATGGCGGGCGGGTAGGTTTCCTCGAGGAAGAACAGGTCGAGAAGCAGCGCCAGGGCGCCCATGATGGCGGGGATGTATGCGGTCCAGCGCCAGCTCATGTGCGGGTTCTCCATGATATACCCACCAATAAAGGGCGCGAGCATGGGTCCCGTGAAGACGGTCATGGAGAAGACCGTAATGGCGATACCTCGCGTGCGGTTATCGAACATGTCAGAGAAAACGGCGGCCACGACGGCGATGGGACCCGCGCCGAAGAGACCCGAGAAGAAGCGGCAGATGATGATGGTCTGCAGGTTCTCTGCCGTTCCCGTGGCGATGGAGAAGAGCGTGAAGCCGAACATGGAGATAATGATGGGGAGACGACGGCCTTTCAACTCGGAGAGAGGGGCCCAGAAGCTGGGGCCGAAGGCGAAGCCGAGGATGAAGCAGGTTATGCCTAGGAGGGCTACGGTGGTGCCAACGTGGTAGTGAGCGGAGATGTAGTAGATGGCGGGGGTGAAGAGGCTGGAGGCGAAGACGGCGGCGAGGGTGGTGTAGCCCAAGATGGCGGCCGTGTACAGCCTGGTTGACACCTTGTTAGTTTCCAATTGGACTTTATTTCTAGTTTTTTCTTCTTCTTTGGTATTGACTTACTTCTTCTTGAGGGGCCAATTGTGCGGATGCAAAGGATCATCCGTCCCATCAAACTCAACAACATACTCGTCCCGCTCAGGCAGCATAGGCGGATACGGCTTCCCCGCCCCAAACGCCGGCAACGGCTTCTCTGACCTCCTCGACCACCTCGACCTCCTCGTACTCACCCTCCTTCCCACCGTCTCGGCCTGCTGACTCCGCTGCGTAGCTATCCTCTCAAGCTCCGAGGGGTGCGCATCAATGGGCTCGAGCTGCGTAGGCACGCGGCTCATGGCCGCCGGACGGTAAGACAGGCCGTCGATGTCATGGTGGCGTTGACGGGCGGAAGTGGTGGCCGCAGAGGAGGAGGAGGTCGAGACGCGCTCGATTTCATCGCTGGGCCGGCGCCGGTAGGTTTCTTGGTCGGAGTAGACGGGGGATTCTTCGGCGGCGAGGGAGTGCGTCCGGGAGAGGGGGTGGGGGCCCGGGAAGCGGTAGGGGGTTGCGTCTTGTTCGGCGGCGATGGCTTCGCGGTCGACTTCGTCTATGGTTGGGGAGGAGGTGGTGCTGGGCGGTTGCGGGGGTGAATGGGACGTCATCTTTGCTTGGTGTTGCCCTTTCTAGTTTCCGGTGTTGGTTTTGAGTGGTAAGATGGGGGAATATAGCTAATTGCTGTATAGGGGAATGGGAGGGGATATAAACTATATAGGCTAAGGAATCCGGGGAGAGATCAAGATCATATGGTTCTGGTTAGGCGGGATAGCTGCCAGTGAGGGCCTGGGTGACGGTGTAAGTGGCGAGAACTGGTGATGCGTGGAGCCAAGACGGCCGGGGTAGCGGAGCACAAATTATGAACAGACTAAGTAAACTAGTAATAGGGTATAAATGAAAGACGGAATGAAGCTATGGAAGAGAATAGGAAATAAAAAAAGGGAATAAGAATACAGGGTGACGTAGGAGACGAAGGGTTTTAGTAGTTTATGATTTTAGTCCTTTTTTCATAGTCTGAGAGTTTGCGCTGGTTGAGGACTCAAGAATGCCGAGATTGATCAATCCGGACCCGGCCGAGAAAGGTACCTGTGAGGCTAGCAGGGGTATGACGACAGGGACAAGGGATCCCATGCATGCTAGTGGACGCTGTGGACGCTGTGGATGCCAGTGGACGCACTGAACGGACATTCAATCAATTGAGGGACGGGATTAGGAGAAAAGAGGCAAGGATCCATCAGTGATGATAAATCCGATCGGGGGGCGGAAGGGCGGAAGAGAGCTGCAACGGGACCGACATGGCGAGCGACGAGCGGATGTTCTTGGCGTACTCTGTATCCGATGGGTATAGTTTACTTGGACGGATACCGCTGCTGTAGTTGCTGATGATGATGTTGATACTCCTCCATAAATCTGATCTCGAGTTCCTGTTCCTGGCCCTGATCGTTTGTGCGCTCCTATATTCCCGCGCTTCCTCATCTTGTTAGTGATCTTGGATCCTATATTCCCGAATTCCTAATCCAACGGATTCGGTTCACAAGTGGACTTCGCTGTTCTACAGTCCTTAACTCCATAACTCTCTCTCCGAACCCGAAAAGCTATTTTGCATAATGCACGCCGACGAGAAAGTTTTCTCCAAGTGGGCACCGCCCCCAACGGCGCCGTCTTTCCCGAGTCGGGAAAAAGTACGAGGTACTCTTTGCCCGCACTCGATCAACACTAAGAACAAGGTGGTAAACGAGAAAAAAAATCGAAGAAAATTAAAGTGTATCTAGGAGATGAAGGAGAAGGGTCTGAGGCAACCTAGGGACGGCGCTAACTGCCCAAAACGACAAGGGCGTAGAGGATGGAGGAGAGATAGGGCAGCGGAAGCATATTTTTTTCTTATGATCTCGGATGAAGCATGTACACACCGAAGTCATAACGACTTCGCCCCTACACACCACTAGCAAAACGGCCGACGTGAAAGGAGCCTCGGGAAAAATCTGCCGACTTCCTCAGATGTTGTCCGAGTCTGAATGAAGTTTTAACTAGTGTAGACATCTTTTTAGTGCAGTGCAGCAGCTCTCTCTCCGCTGCGTGCAGCAAATCTTGGCTCCGCCTTAACAGCGGGGCCGGAGGGGGAGGAGAAAACCCACCACGACCCAGATTACTCCACGACGAAGACTCATACTGGATGTGAGTGCGCGTCGAGTGGATGCGGTTCGTCGTAGATTTCAGCGACAAATGGTCCTGCTGCCCAATAACTCTCAGGGTCCCAGGGTTCTTTTTTGATATTCCCGCCAGTGGTCAGCTCCTTAATCTATCGATTCGCGCCCGAGATTGTCAAATCTCAAACTCTGTTTTGCCCTTTCTTCTGCGCTTGTCTCAGCCGGCCGGGGGGCAAGGTTGGATCAGGCGATGTTAACCTGCCAGTCTCCATTGCAGAAAATCTCCCTGGCTCTGTAAGTGCGAAGAGGTAGCAGTAGTGTAGTTCGGAGTGTACTTCGTACGCAGCCAAGCCACGAAAGTGCCGAGAACGAAGGACAATGGTTACCGAAAAGTTCTCATGTCCCATCCACCACGCTTCATTGGGTCCCACAGCTGTGGGACTCGGTATGACCAGGACCAGGATGGACAAGGACCGGGACAGGGATCGACTCTTGCTGATCCCTTCGCTCTGGTCTGCCAAGCATGGAGCTCGTAACGAATGGTCTCCTTTTTGGGGCAATTTTTTTTTTTTCCTTTGTCGTCGTCAACAGTCTATCAGATCACTATCAGTCACACCAGCAACGGCAGTGTCTATTACTGCAAACCTCCCAGCGGTGTGCTGCGTTCTTCCAAATATTTGAGACCGCCAAATCTCAAGTTCGATTTCACCAATTGGCCCTGTCTTCGTTATCGTCCAGAAGTAGCGGTCATGCCTCAATTCTCAATCTCTGTGCTCTCGAGCTGCATTGCTCGTCGTGGAGCAGGCGTCGTAATGCTTCGTGCTCGGCAATAAAATCAGTTGACACTTGGGAGGGACCACACGAGCTGTCTTCGGGGTCCGCGCATTGGCTCTGTTTCCTAACTCCGCGATCGAAGGAGTGGGTTGGTGGACTTAACCGCCACTGTCACCCACTGTCACCCATTGTCGCCCATGCTGTCACTTTGGTGACTCTGTATCATGCCGTCTAGTGAGTCTTAATGCACTTTTTTTGATGGGGCCGGATGGGGCCAACATGGCGGGGACTCCGTATTAATCAGTAATGTACGAAGTACACTATCAAGTACAATGAACCTTTGCCGCATTCATCCTCGAACCTTCCAAATGTTCCAAACCCTTCTTGAGCGATTCGCACCTTCCACCCTCGCAGTTAGTTTGGTTCGCAGTGTAGCATTCTGTTTCACTCATCCTTTTCCGAAAAAAAAAATTTTTTTTTTTTTTTTAATTCTCCGAGTGTTTTAGACTATATTCAGGCATTGAATTCTCGAATTTTCTGTGTTGTTAACAGAATAAAAAAAGAGTGAAAAAAAGCCGAAACTCTTGATTGGAGACTTAAACTGCGCCTCGATCTCGAGTCCCAGTGGGAAGCGCACAATGACGTCTTCTCCATGCGACGTTGGAGACTTCAACCGACGAAGCAACAGAAGATGAGTAATTGGGACTCGCTAAGTAGTTCAAAAATTGACTTTACCAAGTCCATTCCATTGTCCCATTGTCGGGGATTTCCTCGCAGAACCGAATTAATAAGTGCAAAGTAGATTCCAAGTACCCGTAGACAAAGATATCAACAACGTGGACATCGTGGATATCGTGGATACGGACACTCTCGCCGGAATTGGATCCGGCCCGCCACTTCCCGACGAAAACCGCCCACTTTCAATTATACCAAGTTTGTACCCACCACGCAAAATCCACTTCTCATTTAGAGACTATCAAAGAATATCAGAATTCAATCAAGGGCGTGAAGGACGGAAGCGCCCAGAAATCCACAAACATGGAACCCCGGAGAAGAATAGGGGGTTAATAATAACACCCGGTCCATCAGCAGTGTAAGTGTTGTGTAGTGTCGTAATGTATGTCGCGGTGTGGAACAGAAGAAAATTCTTCCCCCTTGCGGGATGCAACCCTGCAAGGCCACCACTGGTGTCTCTAACAATGATCTTCACCATTAGCGTTGTAAGGCATCGACGACTGGGGACGGATATACTAGTGTAGTGCAGTACGAAGCAGTAATAATCACCATCGCAGCCTGAACGGGTCCTGCACCCATGCTCAGAGCCTCGCGAGATTACATGTCGTTTTCTTTTCTTTTTTTCACTACCCCAATGCGAGGACGTTGCGTCGACATGTGCAGTTGAGATTGGCTTTTAGACAGGGGACCCAGATCTAGATGCCTGCAGAGACCGGTCCGTTCCCAAGTCCATGGCGCCAGATCTACGTGCAGGCTAATCTAGTCCAGACCGACAAAACACACGACGTACCTCGTACAAGTCTATTCGATAGCTATATGTAATATCAAACAATGCAAGCTGCGGGAATCAGCCTCAGCCCCTGAAAAGTACACCCCGGCACTTTGACCCGCCCATCACCACCCATCCTCCAAAAGTGCCGCCGTCTCCTCGAGACTCAACCCCGCCGTCTCAGGATACCACCCCCAAACAAGCCCATACCCAACAGCGCACACGAGCGCGTAAAGCACAAACGTCCTCGCGGGACTCAGCGCGTCCATGAGTGGCAGGAACGTCAACCCGACGATGAAATTGGCCGCCCAGTTCGTCGACGTCGCCACCCCGCTACCCAGCGATCGCACCGAGAGCGGGAACAGCTCGCTCTGCATCCAGGGCACGTTTCCTAGGCCTAGCGCGTAGGAGGCTACGTAGAGCATGATGCTGACGAGGATCATGAGGGCTGCTTCGCGGTCGGGAGAGGTTGGGGAAGGGTCTGTAGTCGTGTCGAGGGTTGTGGGGGAGGGTAGGTCGGAGGAAGATGGGAGGCTGATGTAGGTGAATCCGTAGGCGGCGAAGAGGAGCCCGATGATCATGAAGGGGACGGAGTAGAGGAGCATGCGGCGTCGGCCGATCTTGTCGATGAGGAGGATGGCCATGACGGTGAAGGCGAAGTTGGTGCCTGCTACGCTGAGTGACGTGAGCGTTGGTACGCTGAAGCCCACCATTGTGAAGATGGTTGCCGAGAAGTACATTAAAGAGTTCTGCAACAGCGTTAGCCACGAGGATTCGTTGTAATCGGGTGAAGTCGTGAAATGAAACAAAAAAGGAAATAGGAAACTCACAAAGCCGCAAAGCTGCTGCAATCCCTGAAGTAAGCACGCAATCGCCAATGCCCTCCTATTCCTCCTCACCCTCACCAACTCCCTAAAACCCGCAAGGAGTCCCTCGCCATCCTCAACCCCAGCACCCCTCAGCCGCCTGGCCACCTGCTCCTCCCTCACCTCCACCTCAATCTCCTTGACCACCGCATCCGCCATCCTCCCCATCGCCAACCCCCCACCAGAGACCTTTTGTACCACCCCCTTCGCCTCCTCCGAAAACCCCCTCATAACAAGCCACCGCGGCGTCTCAGGCATGAACCCCAACACCAGAGCCTGCATCACCGACGGCGCAGCCCCCAAGCCCACCATCCACCGCCACCCGGTCTCCCGCGCCGCATACTCTGCGAACAGCCAGCCTATTATGTACGCGAACACCTGACCCAGCGTGATGAAGAGGATATTCGTCGTCACGAGCATGCCCCGAAAGGCCGCCGGCGCCATCTCGGCAATGTACAGCGGCACCACAAACGAGGCGGCGCCTACGCCTGCGCCAACCACGCACCGGCCTATGACCATGCCCGATACCGTGGAGGACAAAGCTTGGATGAGTGCGCCGATTGTGAAGAGGATGTCGGCGAAGAGGATGACGCGCTTGCGGCCGAGGCGATCGGCGAGGATGGAGGAGAGCGGGGAGAAGAGGAGGGCGAAGAGGGCCGTCGAGGAGGTTATTATTGATTTGTCGAAGGAGGTGAGGGGCCGGTTGGAGAGGGAGGTGTCGATCGAAACGAGTGTTGCGGAAATTACTCCCGTGTCGTCTGTTCAAGAAAGTTAAGTCTTATCCAACCTCCACTCACACCGACGACACAACGAAAGAACACCCACATCCAAATAGGAGGCCGCTGATTCCAGCGGCTACAGTCAACGCCCAAACGAATAACGAAGGCCTCCCTTCCTCAACTTTTCCAGTCCTCGCATTCTCTAGGCTACTGCTGTCGTCATTGAGCCCGTCGTCATTGAGCCCATCGTCAGCGCGAGGCATGAGCAGCGCATCTTGAGAGTCCGACATTGTGCCCTGTCGCTGTAGCCATTACCTGCGCATATGGTATGGATAATAGCGACGGATAAGAAAACCTCGTCTAAAAGTCGAAAAGTTGGGGAAGATTGACTGAGGAATCCAGGGGGGAGGGGGTAGTGTTGTTGAGACACGGACGAGGTCGTGTGAGGCTCAGCTCGAGTTGAAATGTGGACACCGGACAGTGTTAATGGGAGACGTCATCTGGATTTAGCACGTGGGCACAGCTGTGGACAACCCCACACAAAACGTCAGATTCCAGGTCCGTTCCTGAGTTCCTGGCAACGGTCCGGGAAATATGTTAGATGTACGAAGTATTATTATTGTATTTATATTATTCGGAAATCACGTTTAACCATACAACGCAGGGAATGGTTTGGGGAGCGCAAGTGAGCGGCCTCGATATTGGATATTAGAATACTATTATTCATTCACTAAGAGATGAGAAAGGTCTTTGGTCTATACATGTCGTCATATACCTCAAATGTGAAGCTAAAGTTAAGTCCAGAAATGGAATATATACTCAAACGACACAATATTGACCTATTCTCCAAGCTATGCAAACCGTCGAATCCTGCAAGAAAAAGAGCCCGTACTTCCAAAAAAGACATCCCAATGAGCCAGCGAAGCAGGAGTCTCTAAAGTGCCACCTCGCTCCCATATCAAAAAAAAAGAAGGAAAAGGGGAGGCCGTCATGATAACGAAATAGATGTGAAAAGAGAAAGCGAAAACATGCTGAGAGGCATAGAAAGAACTAGTCAGTCAGTCTTAAACAGGTCGCCAAGGAACAATAGGATATGACAGTAGAGAAACACGCTCCAAGATGAGAAGCAGGTAGGCCGACCAAATCCTAGTATAACACATAGTCGGATCAAAATAGCAAACGAAAAAGAGAAAAAGTAGGAAAAAGATAAGGTCTAAGAGAAGGGAGGGAAAGACTCGCACTCCAGGGGTATATACTTCTTTGAATCTCTCCTCACGTATGTATCTGTTTGTGTGTTGCGCTCGTGTGTGTATGCGCCTATATCCTCGCCCTCAATTTCCCTAGACGCCATTAACCGCTCCATCTCCATCCACAGCGCCTTCTTCACCTATCGGGTTCTCCGGTATAATGCCATTTTGCCTTTCCCAAACCTCCCTCCTAATCCTCTCGTCCTTCGCCCTCCTCGCCCGCTCCACTTCCTCGAATCCACCCGACTTTTTAAGCTTGCCCCCCTCCACAAACTGGTTCAGTTCCTTCTGCAGCGCACCACCCTTCCTCCCTTCCAGCTCCTTCTGCCGCAGCTTCTCCGCTCGCTCGATCGCCTCTAGTCGGTCCTCGTGGTTCGGCCTCAGCGCCCGCACCTCGCCCAACACGCCCTCCTTGGCAGCAGATGGATCGGCACTGCCACCGATCATGTCGAGCGTCTTTGAAAAGTTCCGCGCCGTACCCGCGCTCGCGCCAGTTCCGTTGTCCTTCATCTGCTCCTTGGTAGCCTGCTCCACGAGCGAAAAGGTCTCCGCCGCTTTCTCGAGGTCGTCGCGAAGATCAACCATCAGATCCTCCATAAGGCGCAGTTCGTCACGACCCTGGCAGACGTCCTCGAGTTCCTTCTCCCAGATCTTGGTCCAGATGGGCTTCTCGCGGTTCATGTAATCCTCCATCTTCTTGAGCTCCTTCGATAGCAACATGATGTCCTTATTGACAGTCTCGAGCTGCCTGGGCAGCGGCCGCACGCCGCGATGCACCACATCCTTGCGCAAATCTTCGACGAGATCCTGGAGGTCGTCCACCTTGGCAACCAGCCGGTCCGAGTTGGCGTTGAGCTCCTTCCTACCGTTCGCCACGTACGAGTACCCCTCGGCGCCTTCAGCCGTGGGTATTGATGCGCTGGTAGCCACCATCTTGAGATTGGCCGCCTTGGTCCGGATGGTCGACATGGCGCCCTGAATTTCGGCCTGGAATCCGGAGAAGGTCTGGCGAACCACCGCAAGGTCGCGGCGAATGCTTTGCAGCTCGGCCAAATGTGAACTGTCAAGTTTCTTACCAGATGTCCTGGGACGGGACCCATCCGCCGGCGGCGACATGACTACGGGGGGTGCCGATGCCAGCCGAGCCACCTCCTTCGCAGTCTCCTGTTGGCGATCGGAAACCCTGACGATCGCCGCATTTTGGTCATCGACATTCTGCTTTACCTCTTGGACTAGCTTCCTCAACACCCCAAGCCCGTCGTCAATGTGTCTCTTGACCTCATCCAGCGGTTCGATATTCAAGACAAGAACTGTCCGGTCTCGAATGTCCGATAGGTCCTCTAGTTCATGACGGACACCGGACACCGGGTCCTGGATGTAGATGTCGGGGAGGTCGACACCGTTGTGGTGCGTATTCCAAGAAAACTTCTCGATGAAAGCCAGCTGCAGACGGCCGATAGAGAGTTCGCTGATACCCTCGGGAAGGACATATTTTTTTACCTTGGACTTGTATTGCAAAAATAGAGTGAGTTCCTTAGTGGGCGAGGCCGGAGACTCTTGGAAGTAGCTGTCTCCCTGCCCGGGGGCAACAGGCGGGGTCTGTGGTCTCGGCCTGCTCTCCTGCGCATCGGCGTTCGGGGCAAACGGTTTCTCCTCCTCAGTAGTGTCAAATCCAGAGATGGGGATGGTGTCGATCATGGGCCCCTGCAGCGTTGCGCTTGGCTTGTAATCCTCCGGCGACCGATCTGGGACAGCAGCTGGAAGCTCCGCAGCCGGCGTTGACTCCTCTGACGGGGGAGGCATCGGCGAGGAATCCATCCCCGTTATCCTAGACTGGCTGGACATATCTCGCTTGTGTCTCGGTGGCGTCTCTCGGACTTGAACGGCTCTGAGCGACTCCTTGAACTCCCCCCTCTCGCGATTCGGGATTGGCAGATTTTGCGACGGGAGCAAAGGGACAGCCGGAGCACCCAGGTGCCTAGCCAGTTGGAACTGTGAATACCGTCGAGACGCCCTCCTCTCCAGCTCCCCGCCCTTCTGGAGAGCAGCCAGAGCCCGCTGGCCCGACGACTGTTTCGGCGGGGGTGACGGAGGAGGAGGCGGTGGCGGTGGAAAGTTATCGATGCTGAACTCGCCAGGACCTGCCGCATTCGAAGGAATACCGCCGCTTTCTGGGTATGGAGGCTGAACGGGTAGGCTTTGCATCGTGTTGCTCGACAGAGAGGACATTCCCGAGTTTGCTGAGCCGCGCGTGTCGTCCCTTTGCGGGGCAAAACGGTTCTTACCCGGAGCGCCCTGCGGCTCGCGATAGTCGTTCTTGCTAATACCATCGTCGAGCATCGTCGTAAGGCCACTGTTCGTGCTCGATACGGTATTTGTGCTCGTGGTCCTCTCGGGGATAGAACCAGAGCTGCCCGTGCTACTACTTTCCCTGTCCCTCGCCGTCTTTTGCCTCAGCTTCTGTTGTTTCCGCTTGAGACCATGAAGCAGATTTATTATGATATCGCGTATCCTCGGCAGGTATTTCTCCAGGCTCTCGGCGCTCGCTTCTTGACTCAAGGTGGCCTCGAGAATATGCCTTAATAGCTCGGGGACGTTTCCGAGGTCTGAGGTATCGACATTAATCGCGCTAAAGGCGCGACAGGCCATGTTAAATTCATAGCCAAGGCGGACGTAAACATCTGACACTTGGCCATCCGTGGCCTGGCCACGAGACCATTGTGTTAAGGTTTCGAGCAGCTGTTTCGTAGCGACGAGGAGATGAGTTACACTCTTTTCGATCTGCGATAGTGGCACGGAGGAGCTGTTTGGCGGTTGCTGCTATGCGGCGTTAGAAAAGCTACGAAACGAGCCGGAAAGGATAAAACAGAGAAATGAAAGGAAAGAAAAATAGGTAAACGACATTGAGAATTTTATGTGCTGGCGTCGGGCACTCTGATGCCGATACGAGATGACATGCCGGACAGCCAACATCCACACCCATATTCACGACGAAAGCTGTCCCTCAGAGCAACGACTAAAACCGGGCACTCACGTTTGGTCTTCTCGCGCCGGGGCCTCCTTGGCTGGATCTCGATGAGGCCCCAGAGCCACGAGATTGGATAGTATTAGGCGCCGGTGATATCGATCGCAGAGGAATATTCGGCGGAGGACCTGGTTCAGCTCCAGGAGACCGTCGCTGCATCGGCCGTGGGGGCCCAGAAGCCTGCATCGTTGTGGAATATCGTGGTTAAGAGAATTTCGGGTTCGTGGTCAGAGATGGTCGGGGGAATCGCGCCTTCAAAGGCCTAGGCCAGTGCCCGAAATGATGGCGGGTTAACGGGTCGAGAATCGATGAAAGGTTGCCAAGAAGAGCATGGAATAGTCAGGAAATAAATGGAAATTACTTCGTATTAGATCGTGGTCATCGTCGGAAGGCGCAGTCTATCGAGATGGTGATGGAGAATGGAAAACCCCTTATGGGCTGAAGACGAGAAGAGGGATATTGATGCGACGATGGACGTAGGGAAGGTCACAGCAGTGGTACAATTTGTCCAGTGAGCACGAAGCAGAGCAATAGTGGTGATGATGGGTCGGACCCCGGTAGAATAGCGGCGGATCCCCAAGGAAAGAGTTAAATGGAGGAATGTACAAAGTATTGCATGTAGTGGCTTGGGAGCGAATTACTGTCGTTCCACTCCAATAGTACTTCCTCTTCGGGTTTGGACTGTTTTCGGGAAGGAAGGGAGAGGAGGTGAGCAGTAGCGTATCATGGAACGAGGAAACCACTTCGTACATGAACCTGTTAGCGAGCACGGGCGCGAACATTGGGAGCCTGAGCAGGGATAAATGACGCCCACGTCGGTGATGCTACTCTACTCTGGACAATCTGTTGTGCTGCAACTGCACAATGCAGGGTCAAGAAAACACATCAGTGTTTTTGGAACTCCGGCTGAAGCTGCAACCAGAAACATTGAGAGCCTCCCGACTCACATAAGTTTACTTACTTCGTAAAGCATCGATAACCGGATACAAGTACTGCTGGCTGGGCCATCCAGGGTATCTGTTTATACTATGGACGAGGGAGTGTACATGAACCTTCCCGTTCAAATGTTCCTGGCAACACGTGATAGACAGTGCTCCATGCGAAGTACATCGTGACCTGTGGTCTCGTCGCTCCTTCTGTTTCACAATGTGAAATCGAATCGTCACTGCGTTTTGCCTTTTGCCTGCATCCATCGTTTCGGCTCCCGCCAATTTAGCTCCCGAGTCTTTCCAGTATTTGAGAAATTGATTTTGGATTTAATGTTATTATCCCGATTCTATTATTGAGTTTAAGACCAGCTATTAATATCAATCCATCCCATTTCCCCTCGAGTCCCCCTTCTTCACATGCTGCGAAGTCAAAATCCAAAAAGTACTGCTAAAATTCGGTAATTCAGCATCCAAAGCACCAGCAGCAGAGAGTATTTGAGGCATCAATCCAGCAAACGAAACGAAACAAGCGCAGTATTAAGCCCCATCAAGATTTAAAGTTGCGAACAAAAAAGTACCCATGCACTGCAGCCGTCGCAATGGGGTGAAGCACCCAGGGTGTCCGGAACTTTACATGTCTCGACATGGTCCGACCCATAATCGACCCAGGCACTCCCTTCTCAAAGAAAAAGTCCTTTCTCAGATCGTCAGTAAGCTTCTGGACAGCTTGGGCCCTCGAAAACATGTCCTTTTCGTAGACTTTGACTTGTTTGTCGAGAGCATCAGCGCTTCCACCCTGTGCTATCGCCGCAACGACCGCCTTGCTGAGGTGTAGCGCATCCGCGAGCCCGATGTTCACGCCTTCACCGGCGAACGGCGTCATGAGATGCGCCGAATCACCGGCGAGCGTGATGCCCTTCACGTGGTCCCACGTGGCTCCCACGGGGAGCTGGTAGAGCGAACGCGTCTCGTATGAATCTGCCTTGGATACGGCTTCCTTGAAAACTGGCGCCCAGTCGTCGAGCTCTTCCAGGATCTTAGCCTTTGCATCCTCGAGACTTAGGGACGGGTCCGCCCAGTCGTCCGAATCGCGAACCACGGACATGCTCATCGATAGCGATCCGTCTCCAAGTTGTTGCATGGACACCCTCTTGCCATCCGCATGGGCGAAGACACTTCCCTTATTCACAAACTTGTAAACCCCGGGCGCGTTCTCCTTAAAATCCGATACCGTAATGCTGTACTGCCCCACTCTGGCAAATTCGGGTTTGAGGTCTGGGTTCAAGCGACTCCGCACCTTGCTCCACGCTCCTTCTACACCGATAATAAGATCAAATCCGGACGCTGTCGTCGAGTCCTTGAAATGGAGTGTCCTATCGGCGTCAACACTCACGAGTCGGTGGCCCCATTTGATCATACCCTCTGGAAGCGACTCGATGAGAATCTGGCGAAGCTTGACGCGATCAATCTCTGGTCGTTCCTCAAGCTTGTTGGAGCTTCCAGTAGCTTCGTGCTTCAAGAAATCTTTGCCATGCCTATCAGTAATCATCATGAACTGACCCTCGTACCGTGCATGCTTCAGAAATTCATCCCAGAGGCCAGCCTCCTTCATAGCTCGGAGACCAGTCGATGTGTGAAGGTCTAGAGTGCCACCTTGACCCCGAGCGTCGAAGGCAGATTCGCCCTCGAAAACAGTGACGTTGATGTTGGCTTGGTGTAGAAGCCTCGCGAGCGCGCAGCCTGCAACCGCCGTGACATGTTTGGTTAGAACCTAGATCTTCTAATTCTCCCTTTCTGGTGCCGAAGAGTGAACTCACCAACTGGGCCTGCACCGATAATGGCGACCTTGATCGAAGGCATCCTGTTCGCCAAGGCGTATAATCAATCTAAATTTCCTTGGTGTCCTAGATGGGTAACTCTGCCTGGCTCATCATTCACTAAGCCGAATTGTGTATTCACGTTTCAAGACAGCTGACGGCTTCGTAATTTCGTACTCAGCCGCAGCGCAGCAGCAAGAGGGGTGAGATCAGTGGCCATTAATACTACGACAAAATCAGTCCACGAATGGTTCTTTCAATTCATGGCTTGCTTCTAATTATTTAGTCTATGCCTATTCCGATTCGAGTTGCCTCGCGTAAACTTCTATCCGCAGTGCCTGGACTCAGCCCTAACAGTGCCGAACCAAACCTTCTTACAATACAACCCAATCATCTCGCACTCCTGCCTCGATGATAGCGTCCGGGATCGTGTCCCAATTCGGGAGGTGCTCCACGATGACCGGTACGTCTTCCTGCCGCGAGCGTAAATGGGCAGCCTGCTTGAAGACCTCGCACTCGCATCCGGCACGGCAGGGCGCCGGGCGGAGAGGAGTCCACTCATCTGTCCGACGGACGGGAACGTCGGCAGCGAGTCGGGCGGCCAATTCCTTTGTGGGGAGACACCCTTGCGCGCACTCCTCCCTTAATACTTCCTCTAGATGCGCGTGAAGAGCGCGATCCTGTCGGGGGATGCTGAGCTCGTGGTTGGCGTACCGATGGCTCGCCAACCACCTGAGCTCGAGAATCAGCAGGACATTCCAGTAGAGAGCGTCGCGTTTCTCTGGGGTTAGACCCCGGAAGCACATCAGCCTGGATTCCCATATTAGTGTCTCTATGCGCCAGCACATCTCAAAGCAGGCCAGGTTGTATAGAAACGTGTTACTCGACTCGACGTTGACAGTTGCTGCCAAGTTATTGCGCCGGTAGCCCATCCACTCCACATATAGAACTTGATTGAAGTGTAGGCTCCAGCGTTTACCGATCCGTTGGAACGGCACGATTTCTGCCCTGTGGAAAGGCATCATGTAGGCTAGTAGACGCTCGGCGTCTTGTTGACCGAGGCTTGCGATGAGCCGGCTTGTTGCTAGGAACATGCGAATGGCGACCTCGTCCCTGGGCGATGTGAGGACGGATAGGATTTCTGTCTTTTGGGGGTCTTGCAATCCGCGTTGCTGAGCTTGAAACAAGGTATTCATTTTTGAGTTGTCTAGATGATAGATATGAATGTTATGTTTGGTTTGTGTGTTAGCGTTCGAGATGAGACAAGATGTTTCCGTGTCTTGAGGAGGGAAGACTTGAACAGTATTTAAAGACAAGATCTCGGGTCTGGACAAAGGCATTTAGTCTTGGGAGCTGAAGACATTGTGCACATTGTCTCTTTTAATGCTACACAATGAGACATAGGGTGGATTGTCTCTAATAAAAGAGCAATGTAGGAATCACTCCCGCTTGTTCTCAGTCCTTCCTTGTTTCGCTTTGTTGGAACACAATAGGCTTCTTCTAGGTCCATCGTTTGGCGACGCGCCACCTTTCGACGAACAGGGAAGAAAAGGTTTCTTCCAGCAGGCAGGCAAAAGAAAGGATAGTAGTGAAGGATTGGAGCTACAACAAAAATAAGAACAAAGCGGTCACGATAAATGACCAACGCCAGTTCAAGGACAAAAAATAACTCTCCCTCGGGGAATCGAACCCCGGCCACCTGCGAACTTGCTCTATGACAAGCAGGTATCCTGACCACTAGACCAAGGAAGATGGCTCCATTGATTGATGTCTGAAGGGAACGGCTGAGCAATCTAAAAATTCCCGCTATCGCGTAAGACGAGACCCAAAAAAAAAAAAGAGGGGGCAAAAAAGTGATTTAACTCGAAAAGAGCTGAGGTTGTCGCGGGCCGGACGAAAAAAACTCTCCCTCGGGGAATCGAACCCCGGCCACCTGCGAATTGTGCTTGACAAGCAGGTATCCTGACCACTAGACCAAGGAAGACTGGTTGGAGAGGCGTCACTTTTGTATCTATATATAGCTATCTCAAATTGATGACTAAAACAACTTTTAATCTCTTCCCTCCCTCTCTCCCAAGTTTTGTCGAGAACATCACGACTCAACGACGCAGGGCTCCAGGTAGTTAGATATTCCAATAAGCCCTCTAGCGACTAGGAGTATTTAGTCTTCTTGATACAGGTACCCTGAGCAATATTCCGTGTTGAACTCACGTTGTCAGACAATTGCATTCCGTTGTGCTATGTCACGCTTCTCGACCAGGAGAGCATACATATATTTACAGGAATTCATACGGGCGCCCCTGAGCCATGATCGTCTAGGCGTCCCATTTTTGCACCTCTCCTTCCATCCAGATCGTCCCTTTTAAGCACCAAAGTACTCCTTGATGCTTGGGAAAACTCCCTTATACATGGCACCGCTCGGAGGCTCCATAGAGAACATGTCTAAAAAGGCAAATCATTAGCAATCCTGCCCTTTCGTCGGATAAAATTGGTCATATCAAAACTTACAGTCAGCCCACCAAGGACCGGCGCTCCAGAGGAGGAATCCAGCCCACACGTCGCTATTGTCGGAGAGGTGCTTAAGACCGTTCTTGAGAGCCTCGATACACGTGGGGTTGCTTGCGCCAGCAATCTCGCCGAGGACGGCCTTCTTGCCATTGGCCTTGAACCAAGGGGTTGCGAGGTTAAGGCGCTCGGCACCTATAGTGCCGCTGACGCAGGCCTCGTTTGTTCCGGAACCATCGGAATCTAGGTTCTTCCATGTCAGTTTGGTCGACACGTTTCCTAAATGGAAAAGTGGTGGGGATCTAACCAAGGTATTGATGGAGCTCGTAGAAAAGCTTTGATCCGGTCTCGTCGGAGGGATCGGTAATATCCTTCATAGCAGCAGCAGAACCAGAGTCAACCTACGCCTCTAATTAGCATACCAACCTAAACTAAATGTTATTGTATTGGGATCGAACGAACAAAGTGCCAGGCACCGCTCCACGAGTTGGCCTCCAAGAAGATGAACTGGCTAGTGGCACCCGCAGCACGGATGCCTTTGACAGCGGCCTGATTCAGGTCGGCGACGAGCTTGTTGTCCATATCGTGGTACTCATTGTTGGTATCGAAGATGACTTTGTCGTTGTCCTTGAAGCGCGCGGCAACCGTCTTCCACCAGGCCTCGAAACCGGCTACGTCGGTGATGATGTCCCCATAGTATCGCCCTAGTCGCGGCGTGTTAGTGCTGGTGGGGTTGTAGCATTGGTATTGAGATGTGCGCAACTCACCGAAGTTGTGGGGATCGAGCACGGCATAGGAACCCCTGGGATTTTGGTCAGTTCGATTCGAACAACTGGGTAGACTCCGTTTATTTTGACGCACTTTCCAGTGATATATTTGATGGCCTATCTCCCCGTTAGCGCTCTACCCTGAGACCCCAAAAGTGCAAGGGAAGGTAGAAGGAAAGGGAAGAATAAAAAAAGAATCGAAGCTTGACTTTAGCTTACATCGTCAAGACCGGTAAAGTACGTCTCGTTAATAGTCCCGGTAAGCTTATCCGGAACAACTCGCTCCCTGCAAATCATTAGAAGAGCCTCCAGAACTGAATCTCCCATCCCAGCTTACATCATAAACGCCACGCGGAAAGTGTTGATGCCATCACTCTTAAGCGTATCGATGGCGGCCTTGTCTGGCCAAACGTAGTCCTTGTTTAGCTGTCCAGGGAGATTGAGGTTGCCAAATTCACCACCGGCAACGTTGACTCCGGTGAATTGAAAGGTAGCCCGCTTGTTGAGGGGTGAATCCGGAGCCGGGGCAGCGTTGACGACGCCGACGGCGGCAAGACCCGCACATAGGTCGAGGAACTTCATTGTGTGGTGAACGCTGGAACAAAGGATATGTGACTAGAGAAAAAGATCGAAGTTTATTCTAATTCTGTGCTAATGAGCTTCCATAGAGGCTTTGGGTCTATCTCAGCATATATACCAATTCCCTTCAGCCTTACAATACGCGAAGCACCTGGTGAGAAACGAGGCATCGGACGTCTTAGCTCCGCCATAGTATAGATCCATGAGCAAGAATTAATCTGAAGAAAAACCGAGGAAACGTCACAGGTTCCTGGGACCTAGACCATAATTTGGGATGGACTGACTTCAGTACTGATCTGGGGCGTGGCCCTCTTAACACACTCATGCCAGGACGTATCCTAATGCCGATAGAGGTCCGCAGTAACATGCACGCGAATCTAAGATGGGCCAATGGTGGGTCTTCTAGGGATCTCGGCTGCGGGAAAGTGAATCTCCCCATTCGAAGAACGCCGTAGCCCAATCTTATGGAAACTTATTCTCCACGCGGATAAACGGCGACCATATCAAGCAGCGGTCCCTCTTGTCGAGCAAGCCCCCCTCGGCTATGGGGGTGCCTTTCAGACTTGCACTCGCAATTCGGCACACCATGCGTGGACTAAGGCCCCCATTCGAGGCGATTCTTGTCAAATGGGTCAGAAACCTGGGTCGAGGGGAATGTCTAATATTTGGGAGAACGGTTCCAATTCCGGATCGGGTCATCGGGCGGCGTTGCTCCGCGGTTCTGGCAGGCACAGACATGACGAAATATGGCCTCTTTTTGAGAGGCTAGAGGCATGACTTCGGATTCCGAAAAATGTTCCCTGTAAACCAAGTTTGTATCAGTGAGCATGGAGACTTCATGGGATATGGTGTCTGGAGTACGAAGTAAGGTGTTTCTTGTTTGGAGGTTTATGCCAAGATGAATGCACAAATGCCAACAGCTGTCAGTACAGAAGACCAACGTTGCGGTCTCCTTGATGACTAAGCGAATATTTGAATTGAAAACTGCATGAAGCACCTTGTGAGAAAGATTCAATGGTTCAGTCCATCATCGAATACATGCAAGACCGTCGCAATGCAGGCTACACGCTGCTTGCTTAAGAGATCCGTGTGGAAGGGTAAGTCTCGGTTTCTTCCCCTCTAATACTACAGCTCTCGACTTTCCCAGCTAACAATGACCTCCCCTACAGGCCCCAACATTGTCCCGTAAGTTTTGTCACGCGCCATCGCTCACCCGAGAACCCAGCTCGAAACCTCCCCTAGAGAGAATCTCGGATCCTAATGAACAACATAGTCTCCCAATCGTGCGGCCAGAGCCCGGAAAAAAGGTCCCCCCCATCCGAACACGAGCTCGCTCTGCGACTATCCTGCCCAGCTTCGTCGGGCTCAAATTTCAGGTCTACAATGGCAAGGTGTACCACGACGTCGAGATAAAGGAGGAGATGGTCGGACACAAACTCGGGGAGTTCTCGCCGACGCGGAAGCCCTTCATCTGGGACAAGAACTAGTGCCTGTGTGTTTCTTGCACCAAAGCGAGAGAGAGAAAGCCAGAGAAGGGGGATTCAATAATTGTAGACATCTTTGTACTATACTGTCACGATAAAATACCATTTTACGAGGGAATAAAGGACGTCCTGAGAAAGGGAACAAAATCTTCATTGATCGAAACTAGTAATTTGTCGTTTTCATGGTCTTGTATCATTAACCTTTGTTTCCTTGGTTTCCTAGGAGAGTGTTCCCCTCGTAGTCCAAACGCCAAACTCCCCAAAAACGCCAGCCAGCAGAATATCTAAGCGAGCTTCTCATAGTACAGACTAAAAAGAAAAGAGACAGAGGTCTTTCCCCTCTCGCAAACCACAACCAAACCTCCAAGCAAAACCACTCATCGGTAGAACTCGCTCCTTTTGACGTTCACTCCATACTCAGACAAGGCCATACCAAGGTCCTCGATAGAGAGAATCGTCTTATTCGCGCTCCCACCGCTCCCACCACCACCGTACCCCGCCCGCTGGATACCCAACAGCGGCCCACCTCTCGACTGGTCTTTGCCAGGTTGCGCGCCGCCCGCTTGCTGACCGGGGATCGGGAACCCAGCTGCCGCTCCGAGGTTACCCATGGGGTTATTCGCGTTGGTGTTGGAGGCCCGTATCCGGCTGTACTGGTATGCGTCGGCCGAGACGTCGGCGATGAACTTTTGCGTCGCGAGGGCTAGGAGGCGGGCGAGGCGGGGGTCGGTCTGCGGGGGAGGAGGGAGGCCTGCCTTGGTCATGTAATAGTGCGTGACGGCATCTGGGATCTAGTTCCAGGTTACTTGGGTTAGCTTGAGATGAGCTGGAGTAGCGGGGTTGGAGATAGGTGTCGTGTGACTCCGTACAATGGGCGCATAGTCGTCCATCTTGGATAGGAACTCGCGCAGCGATGTATCCTTCTTGGTGGGCATTCGCGACTCTGGGATAGTCGGCGCCACTGTGGCGACGGTTGTGTTCTGGGTCGGTTGAGAGTTTGGCGCGGCGATCGCCTGCTCGGGGTTATCAGGCGCGTTGGAGTTGGTCGCCATATTCGATGAGGAGGTTCTGTATCGAATTATATTAGAATAAATTGGGTAGATTTCGTATTTATTGAGCTGGAGTCGATGCGCGGATGATGAAATGGGATATATCCGTTCAGATTCGGGAACGGAGGTTCGAGTTCTGGATGTCGGTCGCGGTGGCCCTAGGTTGACGCCGCTCACCAAGTCGAGGTCGGTTCCGGATATCACGTGACAGTATTTTGAGCCTGGCAGGAAGAGGGAAGGGATTACACAGGACAATTATCCGTCAAAATTCCTTGATTATTTTTCACCATCTTAGAGTTTTTAACATTCTAGACTTTAGGTTTCAATGTGTTCAGTGTTGAGGTGATTCAGTTCCATGTGAGGATGAGAGGCAGGAAAGAACGACCTGCCTTCACACGAGCAGCATCTTGGAGTGTTCAATGTTCGTTTCCAGTCATTGATACTCTCATACTTGCTAAAATCAATAAATTCATATCAAACCATTCCAATCCCTTTTTTTGTTAAAAAGCACCTTTCAAGGATATCATCCCACATGGTCTATTGTTAATACATACAGCCCTGATATAGTCACCAGAGCCCTGACCCTCTGACCGTTATGCTTATGAGTAAAGCCCAGCTCAAGCTCCCTGCTGTCCCGTTCCTTTCCTCTTCCTGGGTCCCACTCACACGGTGGTATTCCTGGAGCGTTAAATTGGTAGGTACGTTCTCCCACATGGGCAACTTGCCTCAAGTAGTTCTCAAAATGAATCGCAGCTCTGAAGGTGATAAATATCCCACCAACTGAAAAGGACTCCACCCCAACAACGCCCTTCATATACGAGAGTACGAATCAAGGAATCCAATGTCAGGCCTGTGCAGAAACGAAATGTCTCCCTCGGACCTCTTAAACGGGAAGCTTGAACTTAGCCCCCTTGAGAACCTTCTTGTAGTAGATCCAGAAGAAGTCGCTGTAGAGGATGGTCTGAATGATACCAGCAACCACGGCGATCCAATCTATGTTTCGGTCGGGTTCGGTGACGTAGCGGTAGATCCAGTTGGGGATATAGAGGGCGCGGTAGATACCGAGCGCGAAGAGGTAATGCGTCGTGATGGTCTCGGCCTCGCCGGTTCGCTGGAGCATGAATAACTGGGGCAGAATGGCGACGGACTCGAGCCAGATGGAGAAGGCCCAGAGAATCTCCATGACAGTGTAATAGTAGGGGAAGAGGACGGCGAGGATGGCGGCGCCGGCAAGCAGGTATTGGACTCGGAACGTGTCGGTACTAGGATCGTTGGTCGGCTTGTATGTCGTGGTCATCAAGTAGAGCGTGTAGCCCTGGGATGTGATGAAGAGGATCTTGAAGATGAAGTTGTATGGGGATCTCGTCCAGAACAGATCTATCGTGAATGGTTAGTAACCAGATGCGGAAGGCAGATTGCGCCACGACCATCACGATCGCGGAACAGTCGAATTACATACCAAGATATCTTGTAATATATACAAGGAAGTAAAGAGCTTGTGACTTAAAGCTGATACCCGAGCAGCTCTGAGATCAATGGTTAGTTTGCGTGGTCCTTCCTCTGGGCGGGTCCAGCGCCAATCGCGCTTTCCCAACCCCTGGAAAGATACGAACCTTGGACTGGGTCATCTTATGAAGGAGAATCAAAATAGAGACGAGATGGGACAAGTCGCCCAGGACTCGGAAGAGGTTGAGCGACATGATTGCAGAGGTCGTAGCAATGATCGTGGGGAAAATGCGACGACTTCTGGCGAGTGTGTTGCTCAGCGAGCTTGAAGCTTTTTGGTCAGGAACATTAGGCCTCGAAAAAGTGAAGTGTCCTTTTGAATGCGGTGGCAGGTGCACTTACATTGGCAGGCGTGCTTTGGCGGCAGGAGAGGCTATTTCTATAATAGCCGGTGTTTTGCCGGAGGTGCCTGACGAGAAGCATAACACTAATAGCTGACGGTGGTTATTGCACGGGCACCTATTTACTGTTACAGAAGAGACACGGCAACTGAGAGAGTCGGCATGAATCATCAAATGCCGTATGGCTCGGATTCTGCCACCATGGCAGTTTCTTGGTTTTGTTTTACCTATGCAACAATAGTTGTTGAGGACTAAGGCAATTATCAGGCGTTGATTTACGAGCCTGCTCGTAGCCGTCATGACGAAACATCTAAGAGCCAGACAATCCGGATCTCCAGACGCACGTCTATGAATGGACTTCCGGAATTATTGTCCCTTCTGGGCATAACGGCAGACGCAGCACGCGGATAACCTTACATAACCTCACAGACAGCCCAAAGCAGGAACGGATGCGGTGGAAAGCGCAGGGCTTATTTCCCTTGAGCTGATCGGCGAACTGCATCACCTTAGCAGGTTGGACTCCAGAACACGAGCCTCCCAAGAGCAGTTCGTCCCGTTGATGCACGCTTCCGTCCAATGGTCTACTTATATTCAGGATATAACGCAAGTACGAGGTATAACAAAGTATACAAGTTCTTGTTGGGTCTGGTCGTCGAACTATCGAAGGCCCCCCCGAGCAACTCCCACAAACCACACGGGAGCAATGAATTCAATTATGCACGCAGTGTTCCAACTCCTCTTTTCTCAACCTTCTTGAGTTCTCTTCTCCTCACTTTGGGGTTACAACATTGGACCATTCTTTTGGAACCGAGTTCTAGCTTGCAGCGCGACTATCCGCAAGCGGGCAACTTCATGATCATGTGTATACCACTAACCTATGGGAACAAAAGCTCTTAAATGTGTCGCCAGTCTCACTTACAGAAGCATTTGGAGGATTGGGGGATTGGGGGATTTTCCCTGATCCAGTCTGGTTGCCGTATATTGCCTGGCGACCTCACGGAAACGAGCAGTCGGGAACCGGCTATCTCGTCTTCCTCGAATGGGGTTTGACCCGACGAGTCATTGGCTACAGGTAACATCACACCCCATGAAACGCATCCATCACAGAAGAAGCTATGACCTTCCGCGGGGGGTTCTTGCAGGATATAATTGTGACATGGGCCCGTGTTCATTATTGTTATCTCGAAAGAGGTTGAGAGTCTAGATGTGATGGCTGCCCCGCCGTTCGGAACGAGCCTATTCCTCCCTCCTTATCCTCCTTCCCCGCACTCCGGGAACGTCAACAAGGGATCTCGGCGAGTCCCCGTTGAGACGACTCCTGTGGCTGGACGATACACCGCACTACAAGAAATGGGCGTGCAGATTGCAGAACTTTTCCTGGCTTGGGAAGGTCCTGCTCAACTAGCGCGATGCACCAAGTGAAGTCCCGAAGCTACACTAATAAAGATCGGGAATCTAGGCCTTCACGAAGGCGACTGAGTCGACTGGGGGCCGAAATAACATAAGCTGACAGCCAGCAAAGATAATGGAGAGTCAATCTTGGTTGAGTTGGATTAGAAATTCACCAGACAAATTCGCCATCGCACCTGCACTTCAGTTGTATCGTGATGTATCGTGGGGGAGAAGCCGCAGGAGGAGGGGCGAGGAATAGTGCGCAAGTATAATATCCAAGGAACTAGTTTACAGCCTGGAACAGCACCACCAATTAGTTTCCGGTGGTTTTAAACGACTTTGGAGACCAGTGTTCAATGTTGTACTTCCAAGACTCACCAACCAAATACCGCAATTGATACTACCCGACCCCTTACGGCAACGGTTGTATTAATGCCACCATCCATGAGCCACCCTTGAAGGCCCATGAAATTGGACATGTACCTAGCTAGATGGGGAAGGCCTTGCATCACACGCAACCAGAGGCAAAAAAAGAGGAACAGAAAAAAGTTGAGGAACAAAAAATTGTCAAGCCTGCACCCAGCTCGCCTCCACCAATGTACAAGTCGGTGAGCTGGACTAGTTTCTGTAGATGACAGATCCATGGATCCTGGTAGATTCATCTAGAAGTGTGGGGCAAGAGGAGGGCGAAAAAAGGTTGAAATACTCGATGACATCTCGTTCTCCTTTGCTCTCTTCTTCTCCCTCGTCTTCCGGGCCTTCCAGAGCTTCAAGATTACGGATTACACATAGACAGCCTTAGGCTTCTGAGGGCATACGTCATTTATCAAGACCCGCCGAGACCTTATCCACACTTACAAAAAGACTCGCGAAGAAATACTTCGTATTATTCCTACCTCTCATCCACTTCCAGCAAAGCTCCCTCGACATTTCCCTGCTCGAGCTCTCACTCAACCCCTCTTAAGCTTTAACCCTCGGGCCGAGCTATATCTGCACTTTCACTTACACCTCACATCCACCTCCACCTCCATACACAAATCACAATGGCCCAAGATCACCATGCCCTTCCCGACCAGTACCCCTCCGCCGACAACCCCCACCCCCACCAAAACGACCACGACCACGACCAAGACACCGACACCGTAACATTCTCCTTCACCCACTGCGGCACCCCCCACGAAATCGTCTTCCCCTCCGACGCCACCATCTCCGAAATCCCCGCCGAAATCGAAGAACTCCTCTCTATCCCCGCCGACCACCAAAAGCTCCTCGTCCCGCGCCTCGGCCTCCTCAAACCCCCCTTCCGAAACCCCGACATGCCCGTCGCGGACCTACCCCGCGCCAACGTGCGCCTCCTGGGCTCCCGCGCCGAGACTGTCGAGAGGTTTCGCGAGGCGTCCAAGTTTGCGGAGAGTAGACGGCTGGCGAGGGAGGCGGCCATGGCGAGGAGGCAGGGGCGGAGGGCTGGTGGTGGTGGGAGGGGGGCGCAGATCGCCACTTTGGATTCTTCGTCGTCGCAGTATACTTTTCTATCGGTTAAGCCGTTGCAGTTCCTTCCGCATCCTGAACGATCATTGGAGCTTCTCAACCGTCTGAAGAATGATCCGGGGATTCGCCACGCAATGGCGAAGCATAAATTCACCGTCGGGCTGCTCACGGAGATGGAACCTCTTTCCAATACGCAAGTTTCCCATGAAGGCACTACCCGTCTGCTGGGTCTGAATCGGAATCAGGGCGAGGTGATCGAGCTGCGTCTCCGGACCGACGCCCACGACGGATACAGGGATTACAAGACGATTCGGAAGACGTTATGCCATGAGCTGGCGCATAACGTCCATGGGCCGCATAACCGCGACTTTTGGGACCTCTGTCGTCAGATCGAGCGGGATGTCGCGCAGGCTGACTGGTCTGCCAAGGGACGTACTCTCGGTGATGTAGAATATGCTCCTGCGCTGTCAGAGGCGGAAGAGCACTATGATGAAGGCGGCTGGGTTGGTGGGTCGTATGTTCTCGGAGGCAGATCCGAAGGACAGGACGGCGGCCTAAGTCGCCGGGAAGTCCTACGGAAAGCGGCGGAGGAGAGGCAGCGGAGAATGGAGCAGGAGAGGAGGGATAGGGGTGATGATAACACGGATGCGGGACATTCATGATTCATGACTGGTTTCTTGGATTAGCTAGCGGAGCTTGGGATCACTTTTGACTTGGGCCTTTTTCCCTCTTTCTTCTTTTCTCATTTTATTTCTATGCTCATGATGCAGTATACCCAAATCGGATTCTATGTATGGGTTGGAGGGGCGCTATGGAGTTTTCCAAGGATAGGCATCGCATCTTGATAATTTTATCTCACATACACACACACACGCCCAGCGACTAGCATGGTCTCCTTCTTTTCAGTCTCAATTGATATTGGACCACCTTGGTATAGCTGCATATACTGATTGGTATTATCAACGCTTCTTCCTCTGCCGGCTTGCCAAGCTTCATCTTTGAACCGTATTTCATATTACAAGAACTAGTAGTTTTCTCCTCCAAGAACCAAGAGGTCAGGAAGCTGAAGTGCGGAAAAAAAGAGAGAAAATTCCGAATTAACATGTACATGAAAACAACACATCCCGAAACGCCAAAGTAACCTCATGTCCCAATGTGTACGAAGTATGATTGCTGCCACCAGTGACTCAGAATGTAAGGACCGGTGTCCAAGACCGCCGATGGGTGCTTTTGGTATGGTATGTATGATACAGGTCGGATAGCACAGATTGATTCGTTACGCCAAATATGGCTTTTTCGTCGTTTTCTCCCCTTTGTTTTGTTCTGGGCTTCAGGTCGTCCTACGCCTCGAGTCCGACTTTCTTCCAGCTACCACTGGGCTCTCGCCTAGGCTCCATTGAGGGCCTTCAAGCGAATTTCCGATTCCTTCTTCTTCCTTTCCTCCTCTTCTCGCTTCTTCTTCTCTTCGGCATCTTGCTTCCTCTTCTCATCTTCCTGCCTCTTCCTGGCTTCGTCCTGTCGTCTCTTGTTATCGGCCTCCTCCCGTCTTTTCTTCTCCTCTTCGTCGCGCTTCTTCCTCTCTTCCTCGGTCAGGTTCTCGTCCTCTTGCTGCCTTTTGTTTTCCTCTTCTTCCTTCTTCTTCTTCTCTTCTTCCTCCTTCTTCTTTTTCTCTTCTTCCTCTTCCTTCTTCTTCTGCTCCTCTGCCTTCTTTCTCGCATCCTCTTGCTCCTTCTTGATCTGAGCGAACGTCTTGACCCATTCCTTCTTCTCAGCTACCCATTCGTGCCTAGATGGAGAAGGTTATTAAAGATGCTCCGGGACGGGACTGCGGGACAACGACGTAATAAAAACTCACCCTAGCCATGATGTGGTTGCCAGAGACTTGGCGCCGTACTCATTAATTAGGATTTTTTCGAAATTGTATGGGATAATGGCTCTGACGCCTTCAAATTCGGTGGTTCGCATGGGGAATAGATCGGTAGTCTGGTATTTGTGGTGGTTCTTGCAGCTCCAAACACCGGGGTTGTTCGAAGGGTCTCGCTCCATGACACCTGTGATATCGACGAACATGCCGTTCTCCATGTCGATCCAGCGAGCATCTATGATATTCTGGCCATCGCCCCTGTCGATGTCGATATGGTGGGGGTTGATGTCGAGAAGATATGTCTTGTTTCTCGTCTCGCCGTTCTCTTCGACGTAGCTGTACGCATGCTCGGTGCGGTTGTAATTCTTCCCGAGGAAGCGAAGTGTGTCGGTAGACATCTGAACATCAACATCGTAGTCCCAAGGCATGATCTGGCCGTTCCACCACCACCCTAGGAGGGTTCCGTGGGCGATCCAGGTCTCCGCGCCTAGCTTGTCGAGAGTTGTGAGGTACGCGCGGATGAGATGTCTGAGCACAATTCGATGGTCGTCGTAAGACACTTGCTGGCTGAAGTACCTAACGTCGTAATGGCCGAGATGCGCATCACCGCCAGGTTCGTGGAAGTACTTGTTGTCTTTCCGTTTGCTGAGGGACAGCGCCTGTGGCAATGCGGCCAGTAGTAGGAGAGATTTGAAGAACTTCATTTTGTTACGTCACGGAAGCTGGCGGCTTCGGGTAGGTAGGTTGACTCCGTGACAGCTCCTCGACGGCTAGCGATTATCGCATATGGGATGGTGAGGAATGGGTTACAAGTACGCTCTGGCACTGGCGGCGGTCGAGAAGGAGTGCGATCCGTCCGATGATGCTCGATCGATTAAAACCTCAATGTAAAGGTGGTCAAGTCCTGAAAGACGTGATCCAAGACTCCGGGCAGAAGGGGGGGAATAAGGGGCGAGGTCAAGAAAAAGGAAAGCGCTGAGGGAGTGGTAGTAGCCCGGGAAGCACAACTTCGATCAACCTGGCTCGGGAGTATACAAGGACAGGATCTATGGCGCCTGAGTTGGCAGTGGCAGATCTCAACCCTCAAAGGTTCGATTCGGGTAGGTTGATTCGAGGATCGTTGGCAGCGAGTGGGCGTCTTGATGGATCGGCTGGCTAAAAATAAAGAAGGGTAGGCAGTCGATCTGCGTATCCGAGACGTAAGGAGAAGCAATTGGTGTAATTGCCTTGGAAGGGTTCGGCTGACAGCACAGTCAGAGTTTCGGAGAAGGAATAGGAACGTGAAAAAGGAGAGTGAATATGTCCTACAAGAAGAGGACTAGATCCAGGAACCTTGGGATATGATGCCCCAGAGTTGGTCGCTAAAAAAATATCGAAGGAGAGGGAAAATTATGTCGCGTGACTAGTTACTGGACAAGATAGGGCAGAAGCAAACTAATAATACACGGAGAAGGGGGGAACGTTGATGCTATTAATCTTTCCTGCCTTGGCAAAATCTTAGATGAGCATCTGGAACTGTATCCAATTGTACATTCAATGCGCTAGGATAACATGATATCAATCTCCCATTACGTTGGCATCAACGATAATGCTCCCTTCCCTTGGCAATGGCGTCGTTGGCAAAGCTGCTAGGAGGGTATCAAATCGCAGTTAGAAGTACTGAGGTACTTTGATATCAACTGGGCGTATACATTAGCGCTGGTTCTAATCCCTGTCCCCGGCTTGTTAAACGGTACAATTAGGATACGTTAAATAATGAGAGAAACAAACTACGGTAAATGTACTTTGGCTGTACAAAATTCCTCAGGTCTTGACACTTGTTTGACGCAGTCAGCCATGCCGGATTAAGCAGGAAGGCACGGGGGCCGTTACGAAGTACTTCATACATCTCGCTATGAAGCAAACCAGTGGTTCTGACGCTCTCCTTGATTACGAGGCCAATGTCTATTCCTACCCACCAAAGACTTCTTTGATCGGATCTTCGGCTCCCTCAATTGCTCTTGGTCAACCCTTTTTTTTTTTTTTTTTTTTTTTCCCCTCCGGTGCGATTGATAATAAACTATCAGTATACGAGGCCATCGCAAATTCAATGCCACTCAACTGCAAAGAACAGTTCAAGTTGCATTAATGGGTTAAGTTTGAGGTCGCGTGCCAGCTTCCCCAGAAAACGATTCTAGTGACAATCTGTCGACCACCAGCACTTTGATCTGCATCCTTGTAATTGTACTGTCCGTTCGCTTAACGTATAAAACGGCCTCCTGGCACTTCGCATATATACACTATCCTTAACGTTACTTTATGGGGTAACAAGTCAGCGGAGAGCCTCCGATCCCTTCCCAAATCAAATATTCTCAACCTTCGCAGTAATATTAATAGCAATAGCACCTAAGCACTTCAACTGTGTAGCTAAAGACCAGAGATCACTAGCCAGAAGCCAAGTCTCGAAATGGAAGGGTCCCGCGTGCTTCTTTCTAACACCAAGAGCCGTCTTCCCGGCTTGTACTTACGGAGCAGCAAGTTTGTTTTTCAAGAACTTGAATTATAATAGGTCGGAGAAAAAGCACAAGAAGAAAAGACGAAATATGCTGGTATGCTGGCCGGTTATCAACACGAAAAAGCAGCTCTTCACCATCGATGTGTTCCCTCCGGCTGCGAGTAGAGACACACGACACACTGTCTCGGATCAACCTGCGCTCAAGGCCGACCTAACCGGAGGTTTCACTTGTTCTTCGAAACAAGCGCCCTTCTTCCCTGTTCAAGTTTGACACTGCCACGGCGAATTGCCTACGAAAAGCAAGACGTCTGCCGACGTTCACTCAAAACGCACCTCGGTTCAGTGTTCTTAGATTAGGATCAGATCGTCTGTTTCTCCTAGCAAAGCACTAGGATGTCGGTTATCCTATTTGTGCTTCGACGGGAACAGGCATTACGACTGCATTCTGGACCTGACACATTGAATGAACACGTAACTGCACACGAATTTCCTAGGTTTCCATGAATTCCACTTGGCAATTGCGCTGTGCTACTTCGTCCTTCCATGTCCTGTGGCATCTGGGCTTGACGTTTCCAATCCCACTCAGTCAGCTCCTCAGACCCACACTATGACGCGTCGAGGTTTTTTTTTTTATCAATCTCATCCCTGCTTAGGGCGTGTCTGGAGGCGGTATCTTGACGCCCTATCAAACGTCGTCGCTCGATCCCCTTTTCTAATACTGCCGTCGATGACATACTTAGCTAGATCACCCGAGTATCTCAAAGGAACAATGAGTAGCCCACGTCAACGAATACTTCTTGAGTTATCGATCAGTCGAACGGAGGTGTTTCCAATTGCCGGTGTATAGTATAACATGGCACCTCTAGTGGAGTGAAGCTTGCAATCGTCCGTTCACAGGGAGACGTCAGGTTGAGGACGAGGACCACCAGGGTGCTCTGAGACTCCATTAAGGGGTTCTTACGCGTCACAATACTGCTCATCGGACGCGCATGCTGTAGTACTAGTGAGCACCTCGCACTAGACGAGGACAAATGCATTTCGGGATGCTGAAAACAGCGACTGGCTCTGCCTCGTCCTCTTGTGTTCTAAATATACGAGACGGGTGGAAATTCTCAAGATCGAGACAGCTGGGATTGGATTTACAGTCTATATTTCTCCTCTGGAGAAAGTCGAGGGCAAGACTGAGCAAGATATTGGATGGAGCTAGCTTCATTCTCATCTGAGATCTGACAGTCGGGTGACCCCGTTCGTCCAGGTCTGCCTTTCACCTGCTCCACATTCAGCGGAAGACTTTCCGAGTGGTTTATAGATTTAAGGGGACGCATAGGTCCTTCTGTTGCAGAGGGTACGGAGACTTACACAGAACGCTCATCGTGATCCCTCAACAACCTTCATCCCGGAGGTTGTAATCGCCTCTCCAAGGCACATTCGATTCTTCTTCTTTCTCCCATTCTAGCCATCAGTATTAATTCAATTTGACAATAACGAAAAGAGACAAAAGAAAAAAAAAAAAAGAATTAGGGCCGGAGGGCAGGTGTCCCGGCACACCCGCCCGGTTTCAATCCCTACAGTTTGTGCTCGAGTTATTAAATGGTTGTTCACCCTCGGGTTCGAACCGATAACCTCCGCCGAAGCGGGCCACGGATGTGCGAGCTCAAACTGCTGGGTAATGACCGACCCGGCAGCTTTCGACCATGTTTTGGTTATATGGTGTGGTGCTCCTGTGGGAGGGTGGTGTGTCGTGACTTCTTCGTTATTCTTGGATGGTATGGCAGCAGTATCAACTGAAGAAGTGTGCTGAGGTTCGGGCTTCGCCTTCCATGACTGGCCTTGTTATATGGTCACTGGCCAATCTCGGTAGTATTCCTCGGCTGTCCCTTTGATTCTCAAGCAAACCCTCCGGGTAGGATACCTTGTCTCCCCGCCGGTCCATCTCTAGGAAAGTCTATAGCGCACGCCGTCTCGCGCCATGGTTATGCATTTCTTAGCCTCTCCGAGGACATGTTCTCCCTATGTATACGATCAGGGATGTCTGCTCCTGCACAACACTATCAGGATGAAAGGCCTCAATAGAGATGGGGCAAAAGAGGTTGACCCGGTCCTGAAGGTTCGTCGAACGCCCACCCTGTTGATCAGCTAGCCCGACACAACGAGCCATGATATTTCGCCAGCCCGACAATCCCTCGGCGGCTGATGTGACGTATGTGCTTACACGAGGCAGGCTTCTTTGTAACGCAGGATTGATTATTTTACCCATCTATATCAAGGATATTCCAAGGTGACTTGGATGCTCTTCCTATCCCGAGCGCAGTGCCAAATTCTACGCATGAACTCTCATGATGATCCAGTTTCCATGATTAACCATTACCTGCCCTTCTGGGGTATCCGTATCAACGCCTCCACGCCACACCTCGAAATTGGCGGTATAAGAACCGCATGCCCATTCATTCACGTTCGTTGAAGACAACACTGCTCTAGAACCCTAGAGTCTGATGTTGACAAGCATGCAATCAATTCTCCACTCCCTTCTTCCGAGGAGACTCCTGAGCCATTCGAGGCCGAGGCCCGTCCACTCTCTCCTTTGCTTCACTAGCTCGTCCGCTGCGGCGCCGGTGAGCCCGCCAACGGTGGAGAGTAGCATCTCGGCCAACGTGCTATTGTACTCACCGCTGCTCGCATCGAGCATGGGCATGGAGGATCGGGGCTCGAACCAATTGGATGTCAGGTCGAAGAAGCATTGGTCGGACCAGTAGCAGGAGGTGAGGAAGAGGATGATGAGGAGGAAGCTGCAGTAGACGCAGGGTCGGCTCAGGAAAAAGGTACACGCGAAGAAGAGGAGGACGAAGATGGGCGGTGCGTTCGTCGGGATGAAGAGTAATGGAAGCCAACTACAAAGAAAACGAGTGTTAGGACTCCGTGTAACAATGGCGGGATGGGCAGGGGGGAGGAGTGGCGCTCCTCTGTTAACGCACCTCCTTAGGCAGAACATTGTGGCGATGATGCGCCGTGCGCGTCTAAAATGCTTCGAGATGGTAGTTATGGATGCGAATATATCGATGCCGTCTCAACAAGGGGGGTTGAATTTAGGTCGCGTAGATCCGGAGTTCCGGTCTATCCAACAAATCGAAGAGTGGTTCCTCGGTGGAGGCGATAGCCTCGAGTCCAGAAATAGAGTACGTCAGGCTCTGCCAGATCGCTGGAGCCTTGTCGTATCGAGCCAGTGGTCTAAGGGGAAGCTGTGGACTAAATGGCACCAATACGCTGTCGCGAGCTGGGGTTCGTAGTCCGTACTGGCGCGGTTTACGCGTTGAATGCTTGAGAGTCGTTCGGAAAGTGGGAGGAAGTGTCTGCGCCTGAAGTGAAGTGCCGTGATAATTTTGGGTTGCGACCTGTGGTTGGGCTTTGATGTGACGTGGGTCGCCCATTTCGGTTAGTGGTACGTACCGCCTGAAGGTTCTCGCTCGCCGCCACCCTCCACTCCCGAGCACCAGGAAACGAACTGTTTTCGTCAAATAAAGTGTGCGAGGAGAATCCCCCTTTTGATCGTTGAATCCTAAGTCCGCCCTCGTGTCACAAAACATCGTTGGGCGATTGAAACAAGACCACTGTTAACTACGGCGATGTCTCCACCTGTTCTAATAAGAAATTATCAAATATCAATTGATCCTATCACTCGAGGCCCGTTTCTCGGTCGCTCCTACTGCTCGGGGTGCATCAGAGACCCTTGGCCAGGCTGCCAGAGAACGACGACTCATTTATGCCTCGACGGAAGGCAGGAGGTGGAAGGCAGGACGGTAGGAGAGAGGTGTGACTGCCACGTCTGCTGGAGCTCCACCACAGAGTACATGCAGCGGAGCTTCCCGCAGCTCTAACCACTGGAGCAAAGCCTTGGTGAAGGAGCGACCTGGGGATATCCATTTCACCAAAATAACCTCATCTTTGCAAATCTGTAAACAAAATACACAACAAAAAAAAAAAAAAAAAACATGATTACTTCGTAAACAAAAAATCCTTCCAACTTCATCTCCTTAATCCTTCCAACTGTGAAAACCAAAAGGATTCCATCATAGCATCTGTGATAAGGTCCTTTGCAATCACACCATCATGGATGCATCTCATCAAGCAGCCACGTCAATTATGGACACACCGCCCTCACTTGAGGTAGTGGTCTACAAGGGGCCAATGCCAAGCTCCGATGCCAATTCGCCAGTTTCAAGCCAGCACGGCCAACGGGGTCAACACGGTCAAGAGGGCCACCAGCGCCAACAGCAACTTGGGGCTTTCCCCCGACCGCAGGTGACTAATGAGGCCAATGCAACTCCAGGAGGAAGGTTCATTCCGAATGTGAGCCCTGCTCCAGTCAACGTCTCAATTTGGCACCCGCCACCTCCTCTGAACCACACCTTTCTTTCCCCTTTGCGGTTAAGCCTCGACCTCGACCAGCTCGGATCGTTGACTGAGCCATCTATTTTTTTTCCCGCTCAATTGCAGCCCAACACCAACCCGCTGCTTTTCCAAACCGCTCCTCCGGCGGCAACGCTTCCTCATCCTCTTTTCTATTCCTCCCTTCCTCCCATCGAGTCCATCCCGACCTGGCCTTTGAGAACCCCATTCAGACAATCAATCTCAAGCCCTTGGGCTAACTCGGCCATGGTGTCGCCATTCCTTCCTCCGGCTCCGACGCCGCCTGTCAACAATAGTAATAGCCAGGGCATGGCTTCGAACCGTGATCGAAACGCCGGCTTACTCAATCTCCTCAAGTTCAGCGGACAGGGCCCCCAGCCCATCCATACTGAGGACGAACATCATCACGAAAGTCATGGCCCTTCTGGCCATCAACTTCCAATCGGCGGTCCGTCGTCCTACAACGTTCCCCACCACGTTGGGCCCCAGAGCCATCATAGCCACCAAAGTCATCAGAGTCATCCTTCGCAGCAGTCGCCGCACAACGACGTTGTGAATCTGTCCTCTTCTCGGCAGCCACCTATCTTGGCTCCTGCTCCTTCCAATGCGGACCCTTCCGGACTTCTGGCTGCCCTTATGAGAGGCATGCGTGGAGTCGACGAGCATGATGAGGATCATCCTCAGGACCACCAGTCCCCCGTCGCTCCGCCTTCACATGCCGCGGCCACGCAGCCTGGCTTTGGCCATGCTTCGCCACCCGCCAACACTCGTGCTTATCTGCTCGACCTTCTTAGCCAGCCTAAGCCGATCCAGAACGACCAACAGTACTTGCCCGAGTCGCACTCTGCGAACTTGACACCCCAGTCCAGTGATCTCGCGAGTTTGCCCGCTACCATGCAAGCCGCTCCGGGTAGCGGACCGAGGAACTATGGCCCCATGCCAAACATTCCTCAGGGCACTCTCGAATACGAGCATCGTCCCCAGGACCAACGCGGCGCTCCTGGCTACAACCCGTTCCCGATGGCAAGCAATGGCCACGAGCCCCGGGGACCTATCCCCGTGCAGTTCCCACACAACAATGTTGATTCGGGAATGACTTCTTGGTCGTACCATAGCCAGCCGTCTGATCATGGTTCGCGTGGCTCCTTTAGCCAGTCTCAGGGCGACTCCTTCGCCAACTCGGCGCCCTTCCAAATTTTGAAGAAGCCTAAGCCCTCCGACTCGCCCAAGAGCTTCCAGGAGCCCATCGATAGTCACCGTCAGAGTCTTGGCCATAGCCCAAGCCTCAGCCCAGGCGATACACGTCGAAAGACTGATCTCACCCAGGCTGCTGTTGATGATGAGAAAGACTTCCTTGAGCGAAGCCTAGGTCTCTCGGATAGACTTGGTGCTTCTTCTCCCGATAAGAGCCCTGTAGATGACGCCGCCACCAATGCCGCTCCCGAGCCTACGCCGGCCAACTTTGAGAGTTCCGAAGTGTTGGGACAGTCGGACGCAAACGCCACGGCTGAAACTGCCGAAGGTGATCTTCCCGACTTGGATGTCGATGATGACAAGTCCCCCGAAGGAAATTTCCATGATCCGAAGGATTCGGCCGCTTCTTCTCCCAAGGAAGAAGCCCTACCTGATGAGAGCAGCGATGCACAGGAGCAGGACACCGCCCAGGCTCATCCGGATTCCCAGGCTGTCGCTGACAGCTGGGACAGCGCAGACGCCGAAGATGCCGGCCTCGTTGAGGATGACTCGTACACTCCAGTCAAGGTCTTCGACTTCCCCATGCAGCCTTGGATCTCTATCACCATGACTGATGGCGGTATCGAAGCTCGTCCGGAGTTCCGTGATGGTACGATTATGGACATTGCTCGGTTGAAGAAGGAATTCGACCAGATTGACCGTAATCTCTACACGGCTTCTCAACACTGCATGGCCTACGGAATGTCTAAGGCCGGGGGTATGCACGTCATTAGACAAGATGATGGTAAGGATGTCAAGGTCTTCTCCAACACTAAGGATCGCATCTTCAACATATCCATGTCGGTCACTCCTAGCGACCACACCGGTATTCACCGAGAAGCCATAATGGGCACCGGAGTTAGCGGTACCGTCTACTGGGTTCAGATCCTCGAGGGCGATAAGGACCATATCGAGGATGCTCATCCTGAGCAATATGGATTCGCCCTCCCACCCCTAAGCTCTCAGGAAGGCGACACTTCTGGAGGTGTACTGAAGACTCGTGCCAGAGTCTCTTCGTGCCATCCCGAGTTCTTTGCCGTTGGCCGAGGAAAGTCAATCACCATCGTCTGGCCCTATTTCGTCATGCAAAACAACCTTTTCAGGCCCGGCCACGACCGGGTTGTCGATGCCGAAAAGCTTGCCAAGCAGTGCTCGCTGAAGATCAACACTGGCAAAGCTGGAAAGGACTTCACATTCAGCCAAGATGATTCCGTCATTGTTTCCCTCGATAAATCCGGCCGCGTCAAGTTCTGGGATGTTCGCGAGCTTACCGCTGCTAAGGAGGATGGCGACCCGAACCGACCGCTTCCCGCCCATAACTCGCTTGAAATCAAGGAGCCTTTGATGACTCTTGCCAGCACGCCGGAAGGCGAAAAGGCGTGGCCGACCTCGGTGCTTCTGCTTGATAAGATCAAGCCGTACCAGAAGAGGTGCGCCCTCCGATACATGATTGTTGGCATGAAGCAGAATCACACCTTGCAGCTGTGGGATTTGGCTCTTGGCAAGCCGGTCCAGGAGTTCAACCTTCCCCATAGCAAGGAGTCGGATGCTGTGTGCAGCGTCACGTACAACCCCGCGACTGGAATGATTGTTATTGGCCATCCTACTCGAAATTCGATCTACCTGGCTCACTTGTCTGCTCCTAAGTACACGTTCAAGAACATCTCCCAGGCAGATTACATTACGCGACTCGGCACGAAAGATCCCACCATCCCCACCCCGGAGTCGACTGCTGTTATCAGCGGAGTTCGCGAGTATTCGTTCGCTAACAGGGGCGTTCTACGGAGTCTCGATATGCTCTCGACTCCCGCCATGGCTCAGGACGGCGACGAGCCGACCCTCTTTGAGCTTTATGCCATGCATTCTCGCGGCGTTGCCTGCGTCCTAGTCCGCCAGCGTGAGCTAGGCTGGTCCAAGGACAACAAGGTAATCGATGGCGTAGAAGCTTTGAAAGCTGGCGTTGTTACTGTCTCGCCCCTCAAGGCCTTGGCTCCTCAGCCTCCCGAAGAGCCCGCGCAAAGCAAGCAGCAAGGTCGAGCTAACAGGGAAGCTTCTCAACATGCGTCGAACCAGGACGAATCGGTACGAAAATTACCTGATTCCGCCAGTCCCGTCAAGATTCAGACTAGGAAGGATGCCGAAAACGCAGCCAATGCTGCTTCCCCGGCGGTAACCCTCGACAAGGTTGAGAAGAGAGGTGGCCGCAAGAAGAAGAATGCTGCCGCTCAAGCTGCTACCGATTCTCCCGCCAACGGAGCGGGCGCCTCGCCCGCGGTCAAGGGTAACGCGGTCTCTGCTAAGGGCAGCGACTCGTCCCGAGGCTCCGCAGCGTCGCAGAAGGCCGTCGGACCGTCTGTCTCTCAGGAAGCCATCGATGCTACGGTCAAGAACATGGAGACCCGCCTCAACGCGTCCATCTCAAATGTCGTCGACACCGCAATTCGTGGTCTCAACAATTCCATCCTCGCCCGAGAAGCCGATTTTGATTCTCGTCAACTCAAGCTCCTCGACGTCATTTCGGACGTTCTTAACCAGAACGTCCAAAACGTCTTATGAGACATTATCAGCAATCAGTTCTCGGGTTCCGTTATTCCTTCCATCGCCGATGCCACAAGCAAGGCAGCCGCGGAGCAAGTGAGCATCAAGGCGATGCACACCATTCAGAAGGAGCTTGGCAAGGCCTTGCCCGCCCTTGGTGAGAAGATTGTGATGAATGAATCTCTCGTGGATGCACTTTCTGAGAAGATTAGTGCCCGGGTCTCCAGCAAGGTTGAGAACGAGGTTATGCGCGGCCTCTCTAACAGCCTAATGCCCGCGATCAATAACCTCACTATTCAAACCACCCACCGTGTGGCGGCTGAGATCCAGCAGCAGTACCAGGAGGAAATTGATCGCCTGGACTCCCAACGCCGTGCCGACGCCAACAAGGTCGACCAGCTTTTGTCGCTAGTTACCCGGCTTACCGATACGGTGTCGACAATGGCCGCCGCCCAGTCCCAGTTCCAGGGAGAATTTCTAAAGTTCCAGCAGCAGGCCATCGCTGATCGGGAGCAACATGCCCGTGCCGGACCCGGTCCGGTTGTTGGTCGCCTGTCTGCTGCTGAGTCCCCTGGCTACAACGCTCCCCACCACGGCCCCCCTGCTCCTCCCCATCAACAGCAGCACCAGGTGGCTCATCACCAGCACCAGCACCAGCACCATCAGCAGCGCCAGGGATCACATCAACTCTCTCAAGGTTCCCGCGAAGGCTCCTCGGACCAGACTGGTCGTCCCCCGTCGAACCTCGAAATTGAACTCGGCCACCATATCTCCAGCATCGCGCAATCCGTCTCGGAGGGCCGCTTGGAGGAGGCCATCATCCGATGGCTTCAGAGCGGCCACGAAGATGAGATTTTTACCCGATACTGGTCCAAGATGAGCCCCGTCCATCTCCGTGACCTTCCGCCCCTGGTTCAGCTGTCTGTTGCGACGACCGTCTCTCAACATCTCGATACTGCCTTGGCTCGACAGAAGGCGGCTTGGCTGGAAATGTCGATTCTCTGCCTCATGAACAATGTACCTAGCTTTGTACGTTATTACTCCCCTCGTTTGTCCCTGTTATTTTGTTTCCCTCTTGGTGACCATCATACTAATGCCTAGTTTTCAGGACCAGCAAGTTCGGGAGGTTACCCCCAACATCATGAAGCTCGTCATCAGTCGTTCAGAGAATTTGATCATTCGCATCGGTAACAAGGATCGCCATGACCCTATTCTCCAGAACCTGGTACAGCTTGTTAACACGGCCAAGCGCATCCTGGAGGCCACTACTGGTGGTCATCCCCAGTATTAAGCTTGCTTTTCGGTTGACAATGAAGTTGACATATTGGGGGGGCGTAACTGGCATGATACCCTAAGACATTTTCCTGCTCTCTTTTTTTGGTACTCTCTCTTCTGTTTTACTCTCTCTATGGAACTAATCACGGTCATCAACGCATTGGTTTTTGAAATTTGCGAAACGGAATTCAAGGAGGAGGGCGGATAAAGTTGAAGGTTTTTTCTTTTTTCTTTTCTTTTTTTTTTTTTTTCTTGTATGCGCAAGCTTGGCCCATCTGATCTTAGATGAGCGCATACAATTACCGCTAAACTGGGAGTTTGCTTTTCTTCTTCTCGTACCTTGTAAGAATACTTCAAACCTAGTTGTTTTTTTTATCTTCTGTGTCATCTTTTCTCTTTTCTTTGGCTCGTTTTTCACGCATCACATGAGAACATGACGAAAAGAAACATTCTATATTTCGCGATTTTTTGGAAGGCTGCAGTTTGACTCGGAGGTGTGTCGTTGGCGGCGGTTCTCTTATAATACTACTTCTTGTGCATTCTCTGGGCATCTGTAAGCGCTTGTAAAGCACCAAAGTGAGTTCCGGGTTCGATGAGCGGAAGTCCATCGCATGGCTTGTTACACAACTGGAACACCCAATCGTCCTTCCTCTCAGCTCGAATCTTATAAACGATGCTTCCTCTATTCGTCGTCACTCGGGTTGCATTATCTTCCTCTATATCTCCAGACTCTCCTTCTACTAAACCTCGCCTCCGCCTTTATCCAAATCCTCCTCCACCCTACCTGGAATCAGAAGGGGGAGATAGACAAGGCGAGCTCGACGGCCGGCGGGCTAGGACCCTTCCCTTGGTAGTAGAGAAAGATTTGAGCGGCTCATCCCCGTGGGCACGTTTTGCTCGCGACGACCTCAAACGCCTTCTGCGACTCATTTCTAGACTCGCACGGGAGTAGAAGAAAAATCTACGCAAGCCGCCCTCTCTTCCTTGGTTGGCGCCGCCAAGGAGACCTCGCCAGCCACTCGGGAAGACACGACAGCTGTCAAAGTGGCCGCGGGTTCCGGTGCTCAGCAACAGCTGGGGTGGCCTTTGAGCCCGTATACAAGGCCGGGTGCGTGGGAGACGAGGGGAGATGATGCTCTTACCGATGGGGGGTGGATGGCGAGAAAGGGGCTCCGGTCGCTCGTGGGGGGTTATTTCCAATGAAGAGAAGGAATCCCCTGATGGCTGAAAGGTGATGGGTTTATGGCTTGCAAGATCACTTCGTATAATCTTAGTATTGATGGCTTGATGATCGTACATCTGCTAGTCAATGGCACCAGTTATCAAAAAGATTGGCATGTGAAAATGAGCATGGCGGGCGGTAGAAAGATCAAGTCAATTGATGCTGCTCCGATAGGTGGAGCACACTCGTCCAGGGTATTGATGAGCGCTACGGTGGCCCGACTGGCTACCGGCGCAGGAGGCAGGGCCGGGACAGGCCGGGGGAGGAATCAAAATCTGGTTGACTGCGAAGTTGCTTAAGGCTTGTCCTGGACTGAGAAGGGCGTCTCTCTCGTACGAGTTCCACCCTACGATCTTGTGATTCTTTTAGGGGGCGAAGACACCGCCACGTAAATGAGGGAGGTCGAAAACCCAAGCTCGGCATTCCAGGGCTCCCAAGCTAGATTAGGAGATTTATGAATAAAATACCGAGCTGCCATTTCTATGCCGGGGAGGCGGTGACGTCAACGTGGACTTTCTCGGTGTGGATCGAATTGATCTCTCAGTCAATTCACATGGTATTCTGGGAGATTTTTCGTCTTGGCACCTCTTCAAGAAGAAGAAAACACGAATGCCCCCATCGGAGATGAGAGACGGGGCGACAGGGCAAGCATCCGGGATTGGGCGACAAGTGGCCAAGTCCAATTGTGAACACCTGACGCGACCTAACATGAACTCGTCGTCGTTCTGGGGAAGTATTTCGCATTCAATTGAAAGTAGATTTTAGAAAATAGGTGTAGATTACCCTGTACCTCGTATATTCGACGATGTGTACATTCAAAGAAGGGGAACAAAGAAGGGGAACCACCTGAAAGATGGAAGCGCAGCTGCAAACCGAGTTCAATTTTGGTGCCACTAAATGGCAGAGGCTTCGAGGGTCGAGGGTCGTGGCCAGGCCCACACGTGACGAAATTTGGAGGAACCACTCAACGCGTAAACGCGTCAAGAACGGAAAGCGTAAATGTTCTTGACTTCACTCCCCTCCCCACATTTGCTCTACACTACGTTCAATCCCCAAAAGCTCTACGAAGATACGTGAGCCATCAATTTTAGAAACACGGTCAAAATGGCGCTCATCGTCGACAAACACCGGCCAAGATCTCTGGATGCCCTCACATACCATTCCGAACTATCAGACCGCCTCAGGGCGTTGGTACGACGAAGCTCCATCTCCCTCCCTAGCGACATCTATCAAACGCATCCTTTTCTAACTTTCACAAATCAAGGCCCAAAGCGGAGACTTCCCCCATCTCCTAGTCTACGGCCCTTCAGGCGCAGGCAAAAAAACCCGAATAGTAGCAACCCTAAAAGAACTCTACGGCCCCGGCGTCGAGAAGATCAAAATCGACGCACGAGTCTTCCAAACGTCATCCAACCGCAAGCTCGAATTCAACATCGTCGCCTCCATCTACCACCTCGAAATCACCCCTTCCGACGTAGGGACCTATGACAGGGTCGTGATACAGGACCTCCTCAAGGAGGTCGCGCAGACGCAACAGGTGGACCTGTCGGCGAGGCAGAGGTTCAAGGTGGTGGTGATAAACGAGGCAGATCACCTCACGCGAGACGCTCAGGCGGCTTTGCGTAGGACGATGGAGAAGTACTCGCCGAACTTGAGGCTCATCTTGCTGGCGAACTCGACTGCGAATATTATTGCGCCTATTCGGTCTCGTACGTTGCTTGTGCGGGTGGCAGCGCCGACTCACGAGGATATATGTGAAGTGTTGGCTCAGTCGGCGAAGAAGGAGGGCTGGCCTGTGGTAAAGGGTCTGCATCAGAGGATAGCGGAGGAGAGTGGGCGGAATCTACGAAAAGCGCTCCTCATGTACGAGTCGGTGCATGCCCAAAAGTAAGGATTTCTTTGCAGTGCTACATCATCAACACAACCCCGAGCCTTGGCGACTGACAACCCCGTAGTGAGAAAATCACAGATAGCACACCGATACCTCCACCAGACTGGGAAGCCTTAATCGGACAAGTCGCCAAGCAGATAATGGAGGAGCGCACGCCCAGAAGGATCCTCGAGGTGCGAAGTCAGCTCTACGATCTCCTAACGCACTGCATACCCGCCACCACCATTTTGACGACGCTCACATTCAAGCTCATCCCCATGATCGACGATGAATTGAAGGGAGAAGTTATCAAGTGGGCGGCCTTTTACGAGCACCGCATCAAGACGGGGACGAAGGTCATTTTCCACTTGGAGGCGTTTGTGGCTAAGTTCATGAGGATACTCGAGATGTACTTGATGAGTATGGATATGTAAGGGGTGGTTTAGTTTGCTGGCTGTGGGTTGGGTGTGTTGTGCAGGTTTGTAGACGGTGAATGTACCAATATCTCAATGCAGGCGAATGATCCTCACTGCCCCTTGCCAACCATCATTTGAATTTTGAAGTAGGCGTATATCTGCCTCGCACTTAGTATTCTCACCGATAAACGATAAACGGGCAGCAAGGGTTTTACTTGTGTCTCCCATAGCATCCTCGAGTACCAGGCACACTACTAGTACATTTCCCTCGTGAATTCTGAAGAGGATCCCCAACGGGCAGAAACACAGTCTCTCCCCTCAAATTTGGTCCCAATCATCGGTCCCCATTAATTAGCAGTCCCGCATATTTTTAAGGCAAAGATAAAACGGGACGGTTAGCCAAAAAACTTGGATAGGTTAAAGTTGTTCAGAGGCTCTCCTACTCCTGTGAGCGGGTGTCATACCAACAGCCGACAAACAAGCAATGAAGGGGGTAAATATTCCGGCTTGCTCAAATTGCAGATATTTCGTATTATGTCGGTGGAGGTGCTTGGCAAAGAGGCTCGCAACCTGGTTGTGGCAGGGTAACGGATGATGGGCCGGTAAAGCCCACGTTTTATTTAAGCCGCGTGGAAAAAAGATCAACTGAGGGCTTGGCAGAGGGGGATAATCTCGAGACTGTGAGATGGGCAATTTACGCCAATGGTCGGGATTTGTGCACCTCTTTTCTAACCTCTATTCTCTTTCTCGCTTACTTTTATTCTATTCTATTTTATTTCATTTTATTTTCCTACTTTTCGGCCATTTTGTTTGCCTTCTTCCTGCTGACTGGAAATACACATATTATTGGGGCAGGAGAGTCTCTTCAGCTTCATGCTACAAAGAGGTCCCGATGGTCTTTGGAAGAGGCTTCAAGCTTCTTCCCCGACCTATCTCCAACTCGGGAAACTGGAGTCTTGTCAAGATGCAGTTATAATATTGTTCTTCGACGTGTTGGGGCGCCAAACGGGGTTGCGCTCGGTCATAGTTCGCGATTCGGATTCGCCCAACGTGTCCGTTGTAAATTCTAGAAAGTTGGTCGCATGAGGGTGTGAAAGCGCAACGGTGACATGAGATCCACGACGTGTTGGATTACTTTCTCCGGAGTGCGAGCACTTACGGTTTTGAGTCTGATCAAATTGAGAGGTGTTTCCAGAAGGAAGAAGTTAAGGCAGGCTTTACACTACCACCTAGCAGTTCCGTTCGTCCACGTTTCCACCCTGCACGGCAACTCGATTCTCGATTTGGACCCCAGAGTTTGGAAGCCAGGTTTTTATAACACGCTATTCGTCGGGGAAGGTTGGGAGAACGCCCATGCGTACTTCGCACTTCGTAATGCCGTTGGTCTGACCACTTCTACTGCCTGCGACCCAACATTCTGGGACGGTACCGATGCTGCTTCATCTCCCACGTTTTCTGGACCAACTGATGGTAGGGTGAAAGGGCCACTGGTGTCTTTTACCTGTATAAGTGGTAGTAGTACATTCTATTGCTGAAGAGAGATTGATCCGTCGAGCCACTCTGCCTCAAATCTACGGCAATCCCTTATACTAACTTTTACCTTTTAAACTCTCTTAACGAATTTAATGCCATTTGAATATAATTGAGACTCACAAACACATTTTGTGCTAATATAAGCATCAATAAGCGTCACTCCCACCATGTCAACGAAGAAGTATCTCGTCCCCAGAGATACATCCACCAAGGCACGGAAGTACACCGAGCCATGATGCAACCTCGCGACCAAAAAAACGTGGGCAGGACAGACCAGGACAGGCCAGGACAGGCCCTGTGCCCTTTGCCCTTGTCCTTGCCACCATCCATTACTCCGCACCTTCCCCCTCCCTCCCCCAGGCTTTCTGGTCAACCACGCTACACTAACCACTTTTCGCAGGTGGGGGAATAGAGAGACCCACAAGCTCGTGAGTTGAGCCAACAATTGCAACGAAGCTTGAGGATGAAGTACCGGTTGGAACTCCACCGGGAACTGGGGACTAATCTTAATCGGTGCTTCACGCCTTGGGGGGAACGAGTCGAGAACATTGAGGCTTGTGGGACTTCTAGGGATGACTCTATCAACTCCGTCGAATCCGTCTTCATCTGGATATCAATTCCGAGGTGTCACCACACCCCTTTCCCACTAGAGCTTCCTTTTGTCCTTGTGGGGTCCAACCCTGGTCAACTATTTCGTCGATCTACGATTGCGAAATGGTCAGGTTCGAAAGAACGGCAGATTCGTAAGAGGGCAGGCGATGACGGCACATGTGAATGCTCGGCGCCTTCGGTGGTTCTTGATTTTCTGCTCCTAGACTCTTTCGGACCCGGAGTAAGGGACACCTACGAAGTAATGAGCGGGCTGTTTGCTTGTGTCGACACTCCGGGCAACCCGGGAGGACACGAAATACTTTGCAAGTACGAAGTACTCCGTAGCTTAGCACATTATCCGTGATGATCCATGGGGAAAAAGACCAACTCCGTCTCTCTTTCCCCGTGCCCCGTCCCCCGTGGGGTACGTAGTTCGTACTTGTAGTGGACACTGGACAGTCTGCAAGCAATCAAATCAGTGGATTTATTACCCACAACTTTTGAACTATTTCCATCCCCGATTCTCCATAGAATTAATTGATCGACGACGATACATCAATTATTCGATTATTCACTTGTCATCAACTCCCAAGGCTGAGATGCCATCCACCTCCTTGACATCATTGATGTCAATCGTAGCCTAGCCTTCCATCACGATCAACGGTCTCCCCTGTCCGCGACTGCCGAACGGCTACTACTTTAAATAGCCAAGCCCTGAATCCTTCCGATGGCTACATGCTGGACCTGGCATTTTCCTCCCTTGCCAAGTCTTTACCCGCGAACGTTGGTCTGGGCACTTACGGCGATTTTTGGCGGGGGGCTTGCATGGCCCTGGTACGAATTCAACCAATCCTCCTGTCATTCTGGGTGCCCAGACATTCCAGAGTGTTCTCCAAGGAAACGCCCGGACTTGCACCCATGCGAGGCACCCCCCAGTACCGTGCCAAGCCTTTCTCGGCATGTGGTTTTTTAGTCTTGATCAACCAAAGGACGAAAGGAAAGAAGCCAAGAAAGTAACATTGAACACTTCGATGACCTCACCGAAACAATTGATCCAACGTACAGCGTCCAATTTTCCAGCCCTGCGCGGACTTTTTGCTTAGACTGCTGCCCAGGGCTTCGGGATCGGGTAGGCGCGCGTCGCAGGCTTTGCTTTATTAAACCAGGTACTTCGTAGTTAACAACAGAAAAGCAAAAGAAGACCCTTTATTTATCAGTTTGACGTGTTGTGCCGTCTGAACCATGTATTTGATGCATGTCTATTTCGATCTTCTGGGAATAGAGATCCAGCAAGAAACTGAGATGATGGAGAAGACATGAAAAGGGGGGCACAAGTTCCTCTTTTTCCGGAGTAAAGGCAAAGTAGCGAAGTCGACACACGTTACATGGGGGGCGGTACAGGATACCACTTTGGCGATAGTGGAGCGTCAGCTTCGATCTTATCTTGCGACGTTTGTAATACAATTACTTTGACGGAAAAAAACCAAGCGAGCCGCCTAGAGTCAGAGGGAGAACGTAGAGTTGGTCTGTAGTATATAGTACTCCTCTCCACCTTCCCCCTTCTCCTCATCCACAATGATACCCTCCAATTTTATTTGGAAAAAAAGAGACCCTCCATCCTGACGGCCATGCCGAGAGGATCGAGGAATCTCTGCCCCGTGATTATTGCTTTCGGTCCAACCAGCCTATGTGTAGCCATGGGATGATCCCCTCCTCGTTTATGTGTTTTGGCAAAAATCCTGAAGCGCAAGGGATGCAACTAGATTAACGATTTACGAAGCTGTGCTTACTGGCGAGTTTCCAATGCAGGGGAGGGAGGGGGAGGGATGGGGCGGGGATGTGTGGAATGGAGCCGTGGCTATATTTGGGCCCTACTCAGATGGACGGTATCAGATACTTCGAACTGATATGGGATTCTACTTCGTAGCGAAGTCAGATTTCGAAACAGGCAAATTGTGGATAACGACTGCTAGTATTCATTAAGCATGTTCTGCGTTGCCCCGGATGGGGGATAAGACACTGCTTAAACCGGTGTACAAAGTACAAAATCCCACAGTCGTTCGCAAATTTAAACGACACTGGGAGAAATAAAGCCGTCAATGGGATCATGGGGTCGGTTGCCTTGTTGACTGCACTCACATAAGTCTGCAATGTTCCACCGAACCAAGTTGCGCGTCGGGCGGGATAATAAGAATATGCAGGGAGTTTGGAAACTTACGAGATGGGCGGCTTCGATATCAACGGTTACCAGTTGATAGTCTATCTCCTCGCCCATGAGTTCAATGTTATCTGTGGAAGCGAAATGGTTCCACCACCCCCTTCGGATTCTCCTCATCCATAGTGGACACTAGTCGAGATATGAATATCTGATGCCAAGCCGAAAAGAAGAAAAAAAAAGAAAAAAGAGACGACGATTTAAAAGAATGCGGTTAGCTTTGGTGTAAGCGGAGCCGACACGGGTGTGCCCCTAGATGAAACCTGGACCAACTGTGCCCACGTACGTCGGGGAAATGGAACGCGGAAGGGTAGTAGTAGCAGTAGCAGTAGTAGTTCGTTTAGTTCATGTTGTCTGTAGTCGGATTGAAAGGGCTGCCGGGAAAACTGCATTGGCATGTTGATGGGAGGATCTCCGACTCGTGGGGACGTCATTGTCAACCGCAGGCAGCCAGCCTATCTCTCGGCAATGCAAGAACTCCATGGTTCAATGTTGTGTTCTAATGCTATCGGCCCTGCTGTACCTTTTCCTTGGACTTCAGGGTACGTATGAACTTGCAGATTATTCTTATTATACGCTCCTTCCTTTCAATGAATGCCACCCTGAACAATTGATGTATTGGCTGATATCGAATTACCAATGTTGGATTGAGGCGGGCAGATCCCCAATTTCTGGGAGCTGCAATTGTATTACTCCATTTCTTCCCCCGCATTGCTGCCGCCCAACATGGTTGCTTCGCATTTCACAGGCAACATTGAATGGTGTTTTGGCAACGGTCGGCATTCCAGGTGTTACTGGCTGGCATGAAAGGAGGAAGGAGGTACCAGACGTCGGGTACGGAGGTACGTGCGGCGGAGGTACGGAGCACTCGAGGGCTTCTGCTGAGGGCTTCTGCTGCTATTTCTTCGCCTTCCATTCGCCCATCCCGCGGGACAGGTCGTAGTCGAACCCGCTAGATTACTGCCGACACCGCCCGCAAGACGCTAAACTCTCGAGACCCAGTTTTATAGTCCCTTAAATGTATCTTGTCTCAGGAGAGGACATTGAACATTGAAGAGTTCAATTGTTAACACCCTGTGGGGACTTGTGAATTTTATAAGTGTTATTACTGCCAACTTAAGGCACTTCGGTGTTCCTGTGCAGCTTTTTCAGAGTCTGCTCGCTTGTCTGGTGATGTAGAATTTAGCTGTCAGAAAAGCCATTGTCGATGACGTGACCAACTTAGCTACTTGGCATTACCTACTCTGTATGTGGTGCAGTGGGAGTTGTTGGGTGCATGTGGGTAATTGTGACCAGGCCCAACTACCAGAAATGCGGTCCCATCAAGTTGTTCCCACGCAGGCTGATTCGCTCTCCACACACCGATGCGATGTATTCAGGGACCAAGGATACTTCCGCACAATACAATGCGGTACAAAGCACGGCGAAGAGTCGGAGGCAGAGAGTACCGGAGTACGAGAAGTGTACTTCGTCGCGGTAACTTCGTACCTGCCTACACTCCACTACCTGCCTTGCCGGGGCGAACGAGCTCTTGCCAGTTGCATTTCACCCGCAAGAAAGCTCGCCCCTCCTTCAGGCCCAGACCCTGGGAGAGAATGTCGCAGTGGTCATTTAAACAACCGAGTCGCCCACCTGCTTCCGTCTCTCGCTTCTCATCATCCACCTTCCTCCCATCTTCTTCTTCTTCTTCTTCCTCTTCCTTGCTCTGTTGCCTATTCACTCTCCACTCTTCATTCTCGTTGCTGCCATTGATCATTTAATCTATTGCATTCATTGACAGGTCCATCCCAGTACGACCTCTTCACGACTGTCCCTCTTCGACCCTTGCTAAAGTTCACTACCAACGACTCCTCGCTCCTCGATCCCTAAAAGAGTTCGAACGAAGAAAGGAAACGACCCCAATTACTTTCCCCGAACGCTACATACATCGCAAACATGGCCGACATTGCAGCGCAAAAAGCGGCCCTCCAGCAGCCTAACGGCGTCTCTTCCGCCGTGGCCACCAAGGCTGTTGTTGTCGTGCCTCCGCCCCCGGCCCCCGAGGGCGCTGTCGTCGCAGAAGCCCACCTTGTCGAGACACATTGTAAGGAACTTCCCATCTGATCTCCCGGGCGCAATTGCTCTTGTCCGGGGTCGACGCCGGGCTGTTGCAAATCCCCCACGTGCGGACGTGCCACTAACGACTTTGCTTTTCGTTTTTAGACCCTCCTCCGGAAATGTTTAAGAGTAAGTCACAGACCACCATTTAAATCGTTGGCGACAGAGGAGCTATGACGAACGGGAAAATTACTTTGCCCTTTTTGCCCTTGTCTATACTACTCTGTTCGCCCCTCATTGTTTCCGTTCTTGGAGTTTCGTTGAAGCACCCACGAGCTCTCAATTCCCCCAATGCGTTGGGACCCGAATTGATTTTTCGAGTCACTTTTTTTTTCTCCCTTCCTTGGTTAAGCTTTTTCTTTTTTTTTCTTTTTTTGTTCCATTGACTCGGGTGGCGCGGTAATACGTGCCTCTCTGCTGCTGGGCCACCCTTGGCTTGCCTCGGAGATGTCGCAATTGTTAGCGCCGTGCATGCCCGGAAACATGGAAGGCCTCTTTTGGGCAATTCAGAGTGGATTTTTGCTAACAAGTTTTCGCTCCCCTTGCAGGGCATTCCTGTAAACCCCACATCATGGGTAAGTTCCAAGTTAGCTCAAGCAGCAACCCCAACAATATCTCCCCCAAATTCAACACCTGCAGCCCCACCACCTTCCGGCTTCGGCCAGAGCTTTCGGGTGTTTGGCCCGCACCAACATCCCCCATCACCATGCGACCATGACCATTGCGGTCGATGCTGATGGCCCATGGCCCCACTCTATGCGCCCATTGCCGGTTAACCCATTGACGTGCTAACTAACCACCAATGGTTTAGGTATGGAGCACTACCAGAGGCTCTACGAGCAGTCCATCCGTCAACCTCACGAGTTCTGGGGACGCGAAGCCCGAGAGCTCCTCAACTGGTCCAAGGACTTCCAGACCGTTAGCACCGGCTCCCTCCCCACCGGCGATGTAGCCTGGTTCGTCGAGGGCGAGCTCAATGCCTCGTACAACTGCATCGACCGTCATGCTTTCAAGAACCCCGACCAAGTCGCCATCATTTACGAAGCCGACGAACCCGGTGATGGCCGTAGCGTCACTTATGGCGAGCTCCTCCGCCAGGTCTCCAAGACCGCCTGGGTCCTCAAGCAGATGGGTGTGCGAAAGGGTGACACCGTCGCCATCTACCTCCCCATGATTCCCGAGGCCGTCGTCGCCCTCCTTGCTTGCGTTCGTATCGGCGCCGTCCACTCCGTCGTCTTCGCCGGTTTCTCCGCCGACTCCCTCCGCGACCGCATCGTCGACGCCAATTCCAAGGTTGTCATCACCACCGACGAGGGCCGACGTGGTGGCAAGCTCATTGGCACCAAGAAGATCGTCGACGACGCCCTGAAGCAGTGCCCCGACGTCAAGAACGTCCTCGTCTACAAGCGCACCGGTGCCGAGATCCCCTGGACCGAGGGCCGTGACTCTTGGTGGCACGAGGAGGCCGAGAAGTGGCCTTCCTACATTCCCCCCACGGCCGTCAACTCGGAGGACCCCATGTTCCTTCTCTACACTTCGGGCTCTACCGGCAAGCCCAAGGGTGTCATGCACACCACCGGAGGCTACCTCGTAGGCGCGGCTGCCACCGGCAAGTACGTCTTCGACCTCCACCCCGGTGATGTCCACTTCTGTGGTGGTGACGTCGGTTGGATCACTGGCCATACCTATGTCGTCTACGCTCCTCTCCTCCTCGGTGTGACCACCGTCGTTTTCGAGGGTACCCCGGCGTACCCCAACTTCTCTAGGTACTGGGATATCATCGATAAGCACCACGTCTCCCACTTCTACGTCGCCCCCACCGCGCTCCGTCTCCTCAAGCGTGCTGGTGACCACCACGTCCGCAACGAGATGGGCAATCTCCGCGTGCTAGGCACTGTCGGCGAGCCCATTGCTGCTGAGGTCTGGAAGTGGTACTTCGATGTTGTCGGCAGGTCGAAGTGTCAGGTTGTTGATGTAAGTTTACGCATGACATCCAGTGAAGCCAAAAAAAAAAAAAAAAAAAAGACGAAGAAAGATTGCAATGTGACTGATGTTTTTCCCAACACGCAGACCTACTGGCAAACCGAGACCGGTTCTCACGTTATCACGCCGTTGGCGACTATCACTCCCACCAAGCCTGGTAGCGCGTCTCTACCCTTCTTCGGCATCGAGCCTGCCATCATCGACCCCGTCAGCGGTGAGGAGATCACTGGCAACGACGTCGAGGGCGTCCTCGCCTTCAAGCAGCCCTGGCCTAGCATGGCCCGTACCGTCTATGGTGCCCACAAGCGATACATGGAGACCTACTTTGATGTTTACAAGGGCTACTACGTAAGTGGCGGCCTCCGATTTTCTCTCTCGGTGTAAAAAGACTTTCTTGGCTAACGTGTCGGTGTTTCTAGTTTACTGGCGATGGTGCTGGCCGTGATCATGAGGGTTACTATTGGATCCGCGGACGTGTTGATGATGTCGTCAACGTAAGCGGTCACCGCCTGTCAACTGCCGAGATTGAGGCTGCTCTTATCGAGCACCACAACGTGGCTGAGGCTGCCGTCGTGGGTGTTCACGACGAGCTCACTGGCCAGGCCGTCAACGCCTTCGTTGCCGTTAAGGAAGTCACGGAGGTCACGGACGCCCTGCGCAAGGAGTTCATCATGCAGGTGCGAAAGAGCATTGGTCCCTTCGCGGCGCCCAAGGCGGTCTACATCGTTCCTGATCTCCCCAAGACCCGCTCTGGCAAGATTATGCGACGTATCTTGAGGAAGATTCTCGCTGGTGAGGAGGACCAGCTCGGCGATGTTACTACGGTATGTTGTTACTCTCCTCTCCTTCTACCGTGGAAGTAGACGCAAAAGGCTAACACGGTGGAATTCCAGTTGTCCGATCCCACCATTGTACCGAAGATTATCGATATTGTCCACGAGAGCCTCAGGAAGTAAACAAAGGGAGCGATACTGTGTATTTGTTTTCTTCTTCTTCTTCATCATCTTCTCTCCTTGGTATGGGTTTGGGAAAGCGAGATTGGGAGTTTCTGTTTAATCCTTCTTATTCTTAATACCATGTTTATACATATTTATGGGTGGCGGAGGTTTTATTTGAAGAGCAGCAAGTTTGAAAAAGGAGGAAAAAAACCACCAAAGCGAATTGCGGTGCGTGGAGGAGAAGAGTGGGAGGCGGTGATGATGGCAACAGAGCCGAAGGGAATTGGAGAGGTCGATAGGCCAGAGTTCAAATGACGATTGATGCCTTTTGGAAGTGGTTTCTGTCCCGTCAAGTCAACCCGGGCACTCTGTCCCGGGGCGGGGCCCTCTGTGTGTCGTCCTACTGGCGTGCTTTGCTCTACGTGGGGAGGAGGTATGCTTGGAATCAAGGTCTTCGTGTTCAGAGCTGCGAGTGTTCCTAAGCAATCCATGCTAGTATATTCCTACTCGCCGCACGTATTCATAAGCCTCACAGCAGGATTCTTCGCCCGTTTCCCTACAGAGGCCGTCTTGTCAGACTAGTAATATACTAAATCGTTATATAAGTCTTGGCCTCTTCGAGTTCTTTTTTGTGATTTCCCCAAAAACATCAGGCTGGTTGCCAGTGGAGACCCGTGTGTGATGGAGACGCAAAAGTGCTGCAGGTTGCATGTGCAAGATCCTTCGAGGGATGCATTTGTAGGTTGGCTGCGGATGGCCAGCGCATCGTGGGTTTACTCGTCATGCCAAGACGTGGGATCGTGAGGCTTTTTTTTTTTTTTTTTTTTTTGTGAACATTTGGAAGGGACTTGCAAACGAGGTGGCGGGGTTAAGGTTCGGAGTTTGTTGGCGGGGGTAGCAGCCACTTACTTGTAAGTCGGGGTGTGTGGTGTGGCCAAGGAGGATGGATGCTGTTGTCTCGTTTTCTGATCGAGTCGGGTCAGGGATCGGATTGGAAGGAAGCTGTGAACATTTGGGGCTTTTAGATGGCTCGTGATGGTCTTGTCCTTCTTGGTCCTTCTCCAAGGGCTTCAAACCTGTTATAGGGAGCCTGATATCTCTTGTTCCACTCGAGGCGGGGTGAAAAGGGAGCCGGGACGAAGAACTATTGAAACAATGGGAAATGCTCTCGCCTTGGAAAGGGAATTGAGGCGTCGCGACACAATTATAGACATCCCAAGTGAGAATGAAAAACTTTAGGTGTCGTTTCTAAGAGTAACTTTGCGTGCCATGTAGTTTGAAGCCACCGGTTGTTACGCCTGACGTCAGCTGTGTCAGCTGTGTCCTCGCTGTGTCTTTGGTTGACGTTCATCCAAACCCGTCCTCACTCAGGTTACGCTTATCCTACCTTTGTACAGGTTCGTCCGCGGCAGCGCAACGGTCGCTATCCTTCGAAAAAACCGGGCCAACAGTTCGTAAAATTGCGAAAAAAATAGTTATTTGAAAAAAAAAAAAAAAAAAAAAAAAAAAAAAAACATGCTTAAAAGTGGGCTCAAGTTTGAGGAATCCATCTTGGCTGGCCAAAGAAATCGGGCGGATAGCACACCACTCTTCCTGGTTTTGCAGGGTGGTAATACGAAGTAATCGCTTAGCAACGTGAAGTGATGACGACGACTTTTGTCAAGGACGTTGCTGTTTTGGGAAGAGGTTCGGAGAGTTGTTTTTTTTCTTCAGTGGCTGTCAATGTGGCTGCGCCGATGTACTTCATCCGTAAACAGACGAAGTATTATCCTTCGGTACGAAGTACAAAGTGAAGATCAATCGAAGTAATTGAATCAATCTGGGGATCTTCTTGTTTAAACCGGACGGTCGATTGCTAGAGGACCGCACTAAAAAATTGAATTCAGGTGCCTTGAAGTTAATGTCGACGACAGCATGTTCATTTTGATGGCGACTGATATTGCGACTTTTCAACGCGGGCCATACGTGGGTACTGAACTCATTGAACTGATCAATCGATCGATGCTTGTAATACTCGCCTGCACGGCACCGCATTGATGGTTGTAAGGCTTGGCTGGACAGTCTGGTGTCATCTCAAAATCTCAAGCCTGGTCAGTGTACTCGATACAAAGTACTTTAACTACCACCGAGCAGGCTTTGCTTTTTATTGATTTTTTTTTTCTTTTCTTTTTTCCATCCCTTTTCTCCTACAAAGGTATACACTAGTCCCTTGCATTATGGCAGTCTCTCATTTAATCGACCAGTGCTCCCTCGTTGTCAAAGCCCAGCAGGGGAAGAAACACACAAGGTGATCCTGAAACAGGAGCGCACCAGAGAAAGCGATGCGAACAAAACGTCGCAGTTGGTCTGTGTGAATGGATCGATCGGCTCCTGCTACTTGACCTGCCCGGTCCAGTGGGCCTGCCCAGTGAGATTGCAAGCAATGTGCATATTGATTACCACTCCATCCGCTAGGCTATGAGGGGAGATCTCTCCGTCGTGCTTGTATCTGGTCGTCGTGGCTTGGTGGACACTGTTTAGCGCCGAGAGCCTAAAAAAAGATCGGGACATTCCTGACCCGGTGTTGGATGGGGCCAACATGGGACCAACGATGAGAGCCTCTCCCTGTGTCTCCTCTGACCGCCCTAACTACGAGGTAAGACTCGCACATGGTTCCCTTGTGTTTGGTCAGACCCGGCTCGCCAAGTAATAGAAGAGAGGATATTAATCTGCAGAGCAACAGGTTAGAGAAATGCTGGTCAGGCTGTGATTATTTGCTATGGCTGGCGTTTAGCAAAATGTGCGCAGCAAATGTTGCATTTGGTCACAGGGACCCTTACATCTCGGCTCTTGCAGTCCAATCGATCGAGCGGGAAGGGGATTCACTTCCTTTCTGGACCTGCACCGGGGATGGCTTGCCTGGATACATAAATAGATCGAGCTCGGCGCCTGGAAGAACGGCTTTACTTGATAATATATATTTCTTGCCCCGGAGTGCATGCTTCGCAGGGAGACTTCCGCTCTGAATATTGGCGAGTTCGTGCTTGAGATCTAGTTCGTGGCCAAGCCAAGCGTCTTGAGAAACGGTACGAGGTACAGCCAAGAAGTGCGGTTCCCCGTACATTCCGGGTGTACCCAGTGCATATTTCGTAGGGCGGTAGCTCCTTGGCGCTTCGTAACGCTGTCTCTGTATCAGCCATCGAGCAACTTGCCGACTTTGAAACAGGAGTCGAGGGGTCTGTATCTGGGGCAAAGCGCCAGGCGAAGGCGAAAAAAAAAGCTTCTTTGCTATAACCTTGTCGAGTTGGACTCGGTTGAAAAGTACGAATAGAGCTGTACTGAGCAGATTGCTTTCGATCAAACCCAGTCTGGGACAATACTCGATGAAAGCCTCCCTGGACGCTCTTAACTCCGGAGAAGACCGGCAAGTACGAAGGAACATCTGGGAGAAGACACACAGTCTGGTGAGAGAAAAAATGCGCTATCAAGGTACAGCAAGCGCAGTGCAGCGGACAATTCAGAAGTACCGATTCCATGACTGCTGCGACTGTGACGGCTCTGACGGCTCAGTGCAACGGTCAAGGTCCAGCCCCCTGACCTGGTCGCCCCAATAAGCATCCACTCATAGGAATCTATTGCTACTTTATTGAGTATCGCTGAGGACCATGGTCCATGTCCAAAGTACGAAGCACCTCCTCAGCCCCAGCCCGCCCTTTCCCTTCCTTCCTGATACCGTAACGCAAGCATACGTATTAGACCCGTACCAAGCCCGCCAAAATACACTCCGCCCTTCTTGGCGACTTCCCGTTGCGGACTTTCCCATCATCCACCTCCATTCATCCCCTCGTTGCTCCGTTCCCAGCGCCAGCAACTCGACTTGGAAGTTGGAACAAACCACCTGCCCGCCCTCTCTCCCTCTTAGTCTCTCTCTCCCGAAAGCCTGACTTCGCCACGAATTCCACGTCCAACGACCTGCAAGTACGGCACTCCTCTTTTCCCGGCTGGTCCAGACAAACGTCAACTCTCTCCATTCACTCCTCACCGACCCTTAATAGTCCCTCCTCCAGTCTCGTTCTTGCGACAATTTATTATCTATCGCTTTTGAGAACCCTCGCCGACCCGGCTCCTCGTTCCAAGCCGTCGCACCGGTCTCTTTCTACGAACTCCTACTCTCTCATTCTCTCGCCTTATTGATTATAATAATCCATTGTATTACGAATAATCGCTGAAATACTTACGAGTCGGGTCTCCATTCTCCTCTCGAACGAGCAGTCGTGTAGCAAAGGTTGAAACTCGCGGGAAAAACGAAACAAGAAAAGGGAGGGTTCACGTCAAACGAATCGAATTGCTTTTGCGAATTGAGACGTGCATTTGGCCTTTGTTGCTTCCGCTCGAATCGTGTTGACGCAAGCCCGGAATTCCCTCCCCTCCGATAACATTCCCTGGAGCAACTCATTTGTCTATTCATCATCGACATCGAATCATATCCTGGAAGTCGACAGAGGACTGTTTGCCCGACGAAATCATTCGAATTATATTTTCCGTATAATCCGTTGTTGTTAATAGCGGTACTCAGCATCTACTTGTCGCCCATGCAATAGTAGTGTCCGAAGTGTCACGTCCCCCCGATCAAGGGACTTAAGCGTTTACTCCCTCTCTCCTTTTCCCATCCGCCTCCTCTTCTCGTCTCTTCAGTTCTCGAAACCATGATACTCCGGCGGCTAGTCACGGCCGCTTTCGCCAGCGTCGCCTGTCTCATACAGCCCATTCAAGGTGAGTTTCCAAATGGCCGCATCTCTTTCCTCGAAATATCGCCACGACCGACCGCCGCTTTTCTAACGATGCATTCATTCTGCTAGCCGATTCAACAAGTAGAAACCCCGTCACCTCCATATTTACGATACAAGATCCCAAAATCCAATCCTCTTCACGGCAAATAAACTCCAACTCAAACTTCGATATTCTGTTCACTATCCCAGGTGAACGGAGGATACGACTGTCCCTCGAACCGAACCACGATGTTATCCCCCGTGATCTTCAAGTAACCTACCTCGAGGCCGACGGTAGCATTCGCTCTGTAGAACCGGTCGAGCGCGCAAGTCACCGCGTTTATCGTGGAGACGTATTTACGAAGCCCCTCGATGACGGCTCGGAATGGGTGAAAGGCGGCTGGGCGCGAATTACTCTACACCGCGATGGCAAGACTCCAATTTTTGAAGGCGCATACCGTCTCCATGGCGATCACCACCACATTCAGACTGCAACCAATTACCTCAAGTTGAAGCATGTTGAAGATCCCAAACCGAGTGCCCCTACCTCGACCGACTACACGTCTGGGGACGAATACATGGTGATTTGGCGTGACTCTGACGTTCTAGAATACTACCAACCTCACGACGAGCTTAAAAAACGAGAGCTCTATGGGAGGGTTTCTTGCGGGTCCGACGATTTGACCTTCAATGCCAACTACGACCTCAACTCTCGTGCGACCAGCGATTTTGGAGAAATGTCGACGTCCTCTCTCTTTGGTCGCCAAGTCGATACCACTCCAGGTAATGGCGGTGCGGGCATCAACCTTGTCGACAACATCGGCTCCACGGCCGGCTGCCCCAAAACGCGAAAGGTAGCTTTGCTTGGTGTCGCGGCGGACTGCAATTACCGCAAGCAATTTAGTACCGAGGCAGATGTCCGAACCAATATTATCCAGCAGATCAACGCCGCGTCCGCTGTGTACGAGAACACTTTCAACATTACGCTCGGTCTACAGAACATCACCATACTGAATCCCGATTGTCCCTCGACGGCCACCGAAGCGGTACCCTGGAACGTTGTTTGTGGTGATGGCGTCACCATAACCAACCGACTGAGCAAGTTCTCCGAGTGGCGAGGCCGCTCGCAAGATACGAATGCATTCTGGACCCTCTTGACGACGTGCAATACCGACAACGCCGTAGGCCTCGCCTGGCTTGGGCAGGTCTGTCAGCAAGGGGCCCGCGCGAACCAAGGCGACGGCTCCGACTCGAACGAGACCATCTCGTCCACGAACGTTGTCGTGCGTACTCAGACCGAATGGCAGGTTATTGCCCACGAGGTCGGCCACACTTTCGGTGCCGTTCACGACTGTACTAGCGCTAGTTGCCAGGCCGGTGACGCCCAGATGCAGAGGTGCTGTCCTCTCAGCCAGAATTCGTGCGATGCCAAGGGCCAGTTCATCATGAACCCATCTACGGGCCGCGGAATCGAGGCGTTCTCCCCCTGCAGTGTCGGCAATGTTTGCGCTGCCATTTCCCGCCAGGCCGACCGGTGTCTCCTAAACAACAAGGATATTCCCGTCATCACGGGCAGTCAATGTGGAAACGGCATCGTCGAGACGGGCGAGGACTGCGACTGCGGCGGAGAGCAAGGATGTGCAGGAAACTCGTGCTGCGACCCGAAGACTTGCAAGTACACACAGAACTCGGTTTGCGACCCGGCCAACGAGGAATGCTGCACCGATTCGTGCTCCTTCGCCTCGTCCGGTACCGTCTGCCGCCCCAGTACGGGACTTTGCGACCCCGAAGAAACCTGCTCGGGTTCCTCGTCGGCGTGCCCCAGCGACCAGCACAAGGATGATGGAAGCGACTGTGGCGAGAAGGGCCAGGGTCTGACCTGTGCCTCTGGACAGTGCACGTCTCGCGATCAGCAATGTCAGGCCATGATGGCGTCCTTCTCCAATGTCACCAACGTCAAGGCTTGCGACCGGACCGAGTGCATGATCGGGTGCACGTCGTCGCTGACAGCGCCTAACGTGTGCTCAGTCATGAACCAGTGGTTCCTGGACGGCACGCCGTGCAGCGGCGGCGGCAAGTGCCAGAACGGTGTCTGTCAGGGAGGTTCGTTTTTCAAGGAGGCTGCGGAGTACATCAGGAATCACAAGGACATCTTTATCCCCGTCATCTCTATCGTCGGCGCGCTCATTCTCATTGCCATCTTTTGGTGCTGTTTCCAGTCTTTCCGACGCCGCAACCAGGCAAGGAAATTCGGCCGAAAAGGACCGCCCATGATGGGTCTCCCAAGCCGTGATAATAATGCCTGGACCAACTTTGCTGGGGCTTATGCGCCTCGCCCGCGCGGCCCCAACGACACGAACGGCAGCAACAACCAGTCTCAGAGGTCTATACCGAGAGCCTCTCAGCAGCCGCAGCCGCAGCAACAGCCACAGACCGCGGGGTGGATGCAGTCACCACCGCAGGGACCGCCACAGATACCCTCGTCTCCTCCGCCGGCGTATCCTGCCTACCAGCCGTATCAGCAGTGGGGCGCGCCGCCGGGTAGAAGCACGAGATACGCTTAGAGGACGTCACTGCTTCTGGGGTTCTTGTTTGCGTCGTTGTTCTTGCTGTTGCAGTACCAGTATAGAGAAATGGGCTAATACTGAGTGGATGGGACTCCAGTCCTCTGTTTTCTCTCTCTCCATCTTTTCATGTTCTGTTTTTCTTTCCTTTTTGGCTCATGACTGTTGGATATTTTTTCTTTTTTCATTGCTCGGTCTCGTCCTCCCCGAATCTACTTGCATTTGGGATTGTCGGAAGACTCATGTCCAGCATCGGGATGGCGTTTTTGTGGGGCGGATTCGTTCATTGACGGAAGGCATTCATTACACTTAACACGAATCAGGACAGGGAATCCGCATTGGGATTACATCAGTATCATTCTCTTTTTTTGGTTGTTGAAGCGATTCGAGAAAGAGGGAGGCGGGCCTCGTTGTTTCCACATCTCATTTCTGTCGGTCTTTATATCTTTGTGGATTCTTTAACTGGATCCTAGGAAGCGGACCCCGGTACTCCTCTGTTGTTTTATTTGCGCTTGTTCGTTTTATTCCTGAATACCCCCATGAGTTTTTTTAAGCTTTCTCATAGAGTAAGAGAACGGAAAGGGGAGAAGGGGAGCACTACATACATCGATGTAAATAGGATAGAAAACTCCCTGTGGTCGTGCCGGCCTGTGGGTAATGAATCGATATCATATGCATATGGATTAGGTATTTATCTTGATGCAGTGAGTGAGGATATGTGTATTTCGTATAATATACCATGAACCGGGGGCGCCGGTTGAATACATCGCTCGCGTTAGTTCTGATGCCTCGCGTCTTCGGCGCTTCATCTTCCCTTCCTTCAGAGAAGGTATCCATACAGATGGAGACCGAGGCTTGGCCGGGAGGAGGCCGAACGACCCGGTATATAATAGGGGAAAGGCTGGGGGCTGTAGAAGCTTCCTCATATATCTCAAAGCCCTCGCTCCTCCACCCATCCCCGGCTGGGCCTGGAACTCTCGACTGGAAGCCATGCCATTTCCCCAACTTATTCCTAACTCTGTGAATAAACAAAACTCGTAACTCGATAGAAAAAGGATCAACGACCATCCCGACCAGAAGCTCGATATCTGGGGGTCTCCTCCTCCGCAAAGCCACATAATATACGCGTAAAATACAGCCTCGTCCCAGGTATACTCTAACAATACGCATCAGTAAAGAAATGGTGCAGACAGAACGCCTTAAGGAAGAGAGAGGACTTACATCCCGTCTACTAAGAGCGTGCATCATGAGTAACTCTGGGTCGGCAAGGATCTGAGCTGCCATCCGCCTCTGCTCGATTACTCTGAAGCTCTCCCTGTCCGATCTGTTTTCTTCATTAGCTTTCTTTCCTTCACCATCCATAAGCCTCCCCACCCCCGGTTTTATTTTGTTTAGAAAACAACGAGAGGTGAAGTAATAAAAGACTCACATCTCGCCCAACCTCGTCATCCCCTCTTCCCCCTCAGACTCATCGCTCCCCACCCGGTAGGGATCCTTCCCGCGGGCCTGGCGATCGCGCATGTCGTCTGTGAAGCTGGCAGGGGCATGGCTGGATTGGCCGGGGGTGGAGGAATAACGGGCGAAGTTGGACTTCTTCTTTTTCTTTTTGGCGGAGGAGGTTGGGGTTGACATGTTGTGAGACGCGTGGTCGAGAGCGGCCGGTAAGGGTTATTTGCCGGAGACGGTGTTTGCTTTTATGATATATTTGCTCTACGAGACTCTTTCATCACAGCTTGTTAAGCGGGCTTTTTGAGGTCGAATGGAGAGATGCGGTGGAAAAAGCACGGGTTTGATGGACGTCGTCGAGCTGCCTGAGCCCAAAGTTATGGTGGGGTTCTGTACGGCTCAGCTCTGTACCTTGACCCCAGTCGCCTGTGACGCTCAAAGTTTGGGGCGGGCAACGGCAACTCCCGTGTCCTGGTCCCCGGCCTGACAGACTTAGACTTCAAGGTTGGAGACATTACCACGGTCTCGGGCTTCAGGTTCAGGGTACTCATTATTCTCGAGGCGCTGAAGAATAAAGCAATGATTCAGGACGAGGTTTCACCCGTCTTCCGAAATCCCACACTCTCCTTAGGCCTCTTTGGGGATATTGTCATTGGAATATCAAGCAAAACTATGCTTCTTCTCTAAACAGGACAGGGTCTATCATAAGAACCCGGCCAAGAAGAGCAGAGAAGATACTGCAAATAGAGAAGGATTCCGTGGGAATCAGATACCCCAAATGATCTCAAGAACTCACTAAAAAGGACAGGCTCTGAAATACATACATACTCCATAAAAGGACTCTCTGAGCGAGCAACAGCCTCGAACCTCCCTTTCTGGTCCATTCCAGTCCGAGATGCATCCCCCTCCCACGTGATAGTCCATAACATCCCGTCGACCAACCGCATCCCATTTGCCTGACGCTTTCGAGCAAACCAACTTCTCCCATCTGAGACACTATAGCGCCAAAAAGAGAGGGAAAAGGGTCCTTCCCTGTTTCTCCTCTCTCCACTCTTCTCTGTAAACTCCCGCCTAATCTTATTACACGAAAGTAAAACTATCGCGGAAAACCATGAGAGGCCGATCTAGATCGAGGGAAAGGGACGACTGTCCCGACTGCGCCGGAGCCGGCCGCTCCCGACCACCTCAACGCTCCATGTCCGGGGCCCGCTCGCCACCACCGCCCGAGCGACTCCCGTCTCCACCGCGCGACTACGACGCTCCTCGGTAAGTCCAACTTGTGTTGTCTTACAACCTCGTTTCTGCTCAACCTTCTCCAAGCCAACGAGCTAACTTTTTCCCTCTCTATTTCTTCGTCATTCCAGAGAACGCACCCGGTCCCTGTCCCCAGGCCCCATCCACCGCGCCTGGCATCGCCTCTGGCACCCCCATCACCATCACCACCACCATCACCACCACAACCCCCCTTACTACGAACCCCAATATCCACCTCCTCCACCGCCTCTCAAAAACCCCGGGCCCTTCACCCTCCAAGTACACGACCGCACCGCCGACGACCCCCGCCCACATAACCCCCACGGCCGCTCCTTCACCATCACCGTCACGCCCGACACGAGACCCTGCGATATTATATTCAGCCTCGCGCCGCCGCGGAGCCGTTGCCTTGTTCTCGTGTGCTCGACGTTTCAGCCGGCGTATGTCATGCCGAAGGATGTGTCGTTGCCGGAGATTGCGAATATGCGGTGCTGGTTGGAGATTGTTGATGGTTGAAGTGTTTAAGGAGACCGGTGAAGGGATGGGGGATAAGACTGGTGTGGTGGGTTGTGGGAATTTTGTTGATCAAGATGTTTACGGTAATATGAGCTACGAACTATGGGTGCTTTCTACAATTGTATTTTTTTTTTCTTTCACATCCTTTTTTATGTTATGTAACGAGTGATGAAGAAGGAACGACTAGACCTATTACTCGTGGAAGGTGTGAGACGGGGCAGTTCGATAAGGGTCCTTCGATAAGAGAAGGCAAGAATTGAATTCAGCCAAAACCGTTTTGATTACTATCTTGGACTCATGACAGGGGAACAATTTCATGCAGATAGGACTGGTCATGTCAATTATTTCGATTTCATTCTGAACAGAAGACGCTATTCTGTTATTCGTGTTGACAGACAGATCGCTAGACAGTTACGACTTTCCTCTCATCAATTCCCACTCCTAGGTTGTACGATCAACAGACCGTTCCCCGGAGAGCAATTTACTTGTACGCTAGTCCACTGAAGGAGTCGCCGAAGAAAATCTGCGACTCCACGGGAGACTGCGGTGATCGAAACGCGCGGACTTCCTGTCTTCGAATGCTCCGGTTATTGCGTCTCCATGTGAAAACTGAGCCGGCGTTGAGAATGCAGCCCACTCTAGCGCTCTCAATGGGTCCTGCCGCAACATTGCGTATGGCAGCATCCTGCAGCTCCATGGGGAGGTGATGAAGACGAGTCGTAGGAACACTTGTCTGTGTGGCTTCAAGGAGAAGATCGATGGCTTCATCGGAAGGAGGCTCTACACCGTCGAAGAGACGGAGGGTCCTCGAATGTCGTTCGCCCTGGCGACTCATCCGGAATAGGATAACCTCCTTCACTGAGAACACGAGGTAAGTAAGACTGTTACCAGGCAGTTGATTCTGGGGGTCCTGGGGGTCCTGGGCGCTCTGTCGGTTCCGTTTCGCGAAATCCTTTAGGATTAGAGAGACAGCATGCGGAATGTGCTGAGATATAACGATAGACACCCCGCCAACTCGGACAATATCGCCACTGAACGGCTCCCAGTCTGGAAGGTCATTGATCCAGATGAAATGAGTCGCAATAGGCGGACGCGGCTGAGTTACTTCCTCGACGCGGAAGTCAAGAGTCGCAATCTTGATGATTGCGAATGCAAGCCTTCGGAACGTGGCGTTGTTGTAACGGCCGCCGAAGACATGCCTCCACTGGTACACAAAGTCGGCGAGCAGGATGGGAACGAGAGCTTTATACCGCAGTAGTTGACTACGGTCTACTCCGTTCCGCGTCATGTTGGTCCAAGATCGCGGGAAGACGAAGACGGATTGCAAGCTATGTTTGCTGCGGGCGAGGGGCGGCTGGTAAGGCTCGAAATCGGCAATGGTTATGGAACGAAAGCGCACGAGATTGAGGGGAACCTGAAGATTGAGATCCTTTTTGTCGAGTCGCAGAACATCGTCGTCGAGGTCGAATGTCCAGATTGATTTGAGGTGAACGTGTCGAGGGTCCTGGAAGGGAGGGACGACGTCGTACTGGAGACGCCAGTTCCTCCTCCGACCAAGCCTCGAATACACAACATCGAAGGTGGATTCTGAGGAGAAGGAGCATAAGCATGAGAATTACGCTCTCCATCAAAGAAACCAAAGAAATGAGATGACCTTCAGTACTTACCTCTTTCTATGTCTCGGAGCTTTCTTGAGTACATTCGTAGCATGACCTCATCTTCAGCAGTAGAACCTGAGGCAAAGTAGATTGCCCCTAACCTGAAGGTGAGTCTCAAGGATGCTAAGGATATCAGGAATACAAAGAGCAACCTACCATGTAAACGAATAATAATCCATATGGCCATACTGAAGGTGGTAACCCAGCTGGGTTGAGTTCAGGTTACTGAGGGTAGGTTACTGACCACGATGGTCCATGGTCCATGGTAGATGTTGTAATGTTGTGATGTTGTGAAGTTGTTCAAGGGAAGGGGAGCCTTTCTCAGAAAGTCGGAGGGAACACTTTCCTCTCTCAAAAGAATAAAACCTTTGTTTACTCAACTACCTGCAAAATGCTTTGCCGTCGCCACTTCCCAAAGGCCCCGGCTCACATCTTCATCTCCCTGTAACACAAGAGGATTTGCACCAAACAATACATCGGCTGGCTGTTGGAAATAGCATGAACCAGCAACAAAGGAGAATCCCGATGAGGAAGGAGCCCATATCCGGGGCCCCAAGCTCCCGGAGTCGGGCGACTGTCGTCAATGGTCCTAGTAATTGAAGTTTGGTATTCGTAGTGTTAACATCTATTGCTACAAATGCTTAAAAGAGCCGATTCCCATCTATCCTTACAGTTATCCATTGTTGGTACAATCAACGCCTCCAAATACTTCCCTTCTGACCAATGTCTCCCGGACGATTAGTTGGCAGAAGTTTGCTCCGACGTTGGTTGGGACTCGATGATTCGGGGCGCAGTACTCTTCTGGGCGGCGGCCAGCAGCGCCGGCGGGATATCCTTCCTTCGCGGCCTCTTCAACTCATCCAACGTAACACCATCAAGCTTCGTCATTCCGACGACAGGCGCTTCTCCCTTCCTCACACATTCATAGTGACCTATACAGCAAAAACTGTTAATGGTTCCGTCTCCAGGATTGGGGGCATGCTTAAGTGGGATCTTACCAGGCAGCTTGTTACCAGCCAGGCGTAGGGCATCCAAGATGACCTTTTCGTGGGCCAATCCCTTGATTTCGAAGATGATCTGATTGACCGCAATCCTCGCCGCCCAATGGTCGAATGAACCCTTACCCTTACCCATACGAGTCTAAAAAAGGATGTATTAGTATCATCCTGGAAGTTCTGAGCAGAGGGGATTGGGGCTTCGTAGCGTACCTCGTTTCCACTGGTGTAAACACCAACGTTACAGCACACCCGTTTATACAGGCGATATTTCTCCCCTCGAAGACGAGTCTTTATCGTCTCTTCCGCCATCTTCAAATGCTTCGCACTGATCCTCCGATGATGGTCGTCCATGCGAAGACCATAGTCGCCCCAGATCACTGTCGTACCTTTTGAAGATCCGCCCGTAGCAACCCTAGGTCGTCCCTTCATCATCTTCTTCGTACGATCAATCGAGGGCTCAAGCCAGGTACCCATCATGGCCGGCGTCGTGGAGAGAAATCGAACATGGTTAGGAGCGGCCAATTGCGCCGGGACTGAGACGGCGGGAAGGGAGGAGGTTATTCGGAGGCCCCGAAAGGCGTTCGACAGGACCGTAGAGGCATTGCGCTTCATCGTTTCGGCGGTGGTGTGGCTCTTTGCGGACCAATTCGAGCTGATCTGTCGAGCCTTGTCGAGCTCTTGCAGAAAAAAATGGCACGCTCAAGCTTGCCTTCACCAAATGGCATGTTCCGGCTGCCAGGTGCTACAGTCACGTGACAAGGCGAAACCCACTTTAAGTTGGTGTCACGTCGCTGACGCGAGAAAGGCCGGATTTTGACGAGGAACCGTGCCGCGCTAGGCAACCTCTTCGTTTGAGCTCGCTCTCCCGAAGCCCTTTCTCCCTCTTCAGACTTTGGCGAGCAGGGGAAAAACAAAATATAATTCACCAACATCTCCCCCCTTTGACACTAATCCATCAATGACTCTACTTCCACAGAATGTCTGACATCAGAAATTTCTTTGGCCCCAAGGGCGGCGCACCACCTACGCGACCAGTCAAGAAGGCACCTGTCCAGGACACCAAGACCAAGCGAGCCAGTATGCTGATCCTCAATTGAATCCCCAATCACAGGCTTAGAGAACTAACCTTTGGACTAGAAGGCCGCAGGATAATAGACGATAGTGATGATGAGGTTGCCGAGTTAGTTTTCACTTCCAAGGTTTGATCCTCTTTACTGCAAGTGCTAATTATACGTTAAAGAGTGACGAAACCAGCCCTCAAACCCGCTCCGAAAGCCAAACCCAAGTTAGTACCGTTTCTCTCTCCTTTGCGATTCTATGGCTCTAACTATTCTTAGGGCCAATGAGGTCAAGGGCGTCGAGACGACGGCGAGCGCCTACTTCTCCTCTAACAAATCCAAACCCTCCAAGCCTGACGCACCCGCCAAGAGTCCTATCAAGGCCGAAGTCCCCGTCCGTTCGAGCCCACGGACGAAGAAGGTAGCCGATCCTCCTGCTACTAAACCCGTAAAGAGCACCCACCCCGCGCCAAAAAAGAAGACGACTACATCGTATCGAGACTATGCGGATGACGACGACGATGCGTACATGGAAGATGCAGACGAGGATGGTGATGACATCTTTGCAGCCGATATCAAGGGCAGGAGCAAGAGACGGAACGATGACTACGTAGAGGATGAGAGTGAAGATGAAGTGCTTCCCAAGGCCAAGCGAGTGCACACTCAGGGGAAGGCTCCAGCACACGCAAAGTCTACTCCAGTCAAGAAGAGGAAGTCTCCTGAGCCGGAATCGGAAGAGTCTGAAGAAGAAGCGCCCCGAAAGAAGAAGCCTGCTACATCACGGCCACGCGCTCCGAAGGCGGCGAAGGTCTCCCACGACGACGAAGACCCCGAAATCAAGAACATTCTTGACACCATTCCCACCGTGCGTCCGCCCACGCCACCGCCAACTTCCGGTGCAAAGTTCAACTGGAGAGCTGCCAAGGGCGGAGGTCACACTCAAGCTCCCAACCCAACCAATGCCGAGTTACCGGAAGGTGAGGAAGGTTGTTTGGCGGGCCTCACATTTGTCTTTACCGGAGTTCTACAAACAGTCGATCGGGAAGTAGCCCAAGCCCTCGTCAAGAAGTATGATGGCAAAGTTACTGGCCAGCCGAGCAGTAAAACTAGCTATGTTGTCCTTGGAGAAGATGCCGGACCAAGCAAACTTGCCAAGATCAAGGCCCACGGCATCAAGACGATTAATGAAGAGGGCCTGTTCGAGTTGATCAGGCGTCTCCCCGCCCACGGTGGCACTGGAAAAGGTGCCGAGAAGGCGCGGCAGAAGAAGCAGGAAGAGGAGGCAAAGGCTAAGAAGCAGGCCCTTGAGATGGAGCGTGAGGAGAAGGCTCGCCAGGCCGAAGCTGAGAAGGCTGCCAAGGCCTCTGCCGCCGCTCGGGGCATTGCGGCCCCAAGCCAACCGCAGACGACCGCTCAGCTCTGGACCAGCAAATACGCCCCGGCGCAATTATCTCATATCTGCGGCAACAAATCTCAAGTGGAGAAGATACAAAATTGGCTTATCAACTGGCCAAAGGCCAAGAAGTACGACTTCCAAAGGCGTGGTGCTGATGGAATGGGAGGCACCCGTGCCATTATCATCTCTGGACCACCTGGCATTGGCAAGACAACAGCCGCTCACCTTGCAGCGAAGCTTGCCGGATACGATATACTCGAAAGCAATGCAAGTGATACTCGAAGCAAGCGACTCGTTGAAGAGGAGTTTAGCGAGGTCATGGACAACAGTTCTCTTCGTGGGTACTTCGCTGCCGAGGGCCAAAAGGTTGATGTCGAGAAGAAGAAGATCGTCATCATCATGGATGAGGTGGACGGCATGTCGGCCGGCGACCGTGGAGGTATCGCGACGCTTGCCAAGTTCTGCAAGAAGACCGATGTTCCCTTGATTTTGATCTGCAACGAGCGTCGTCTCCCGAAAATGAAGCCATTTGACCACGTCGCCCAGGATATCAGGTTCCAGCGTCCCACAGTTGATCAAATCCGATCACGGGTGATGACAATCTGCCACAGGGAGGGTCTCAAGTTGTCTCCTCAAGTGATCAACGCTCTCATTGAGGGCTGCAACAAGGATATACGGCAGATCATCAACATGCTCTCGACCATCCGGTTGGACCAGAGTTCTCTCGATTTCGACCAGACGAAGTCGATGACCAAGGCGTGGCAGAAGCACGTTATCCTCAAGCCCTGGGATATCTGCCAGAAACTGCTAGGCGGGGGGTTGTTTGCGCCGTCGAGCACGTCGACTTTGAACGACAAGATTGAGCTGTACTTTAACGATCACGAGTTCAGCTTCCTGATGATCCAAGAGAATTATCTCAAGACCAGACCAGCCCTTCTTAATGGCAAGAACTACTCGCCTCGAGAGGCTAGGCTGAAGGCCCTTGAATTAGCCGATAAAGCCGCAGAGAGTATCAGCGACGGCGACCTGGTCGACCGTATGATCCACGGCCCTCAACAACAGTGGAGCCTCATGCCTGCCCACGCCGTCTTCAGTACCGTGAGACCCGCCAGCTTCATGTGGGGTCAGCTCCTCGACAGTTCCTTCACGTCCTGGCTTGGAAATAACAGCAAATACGGCAAGCTGAGTCGATATGTGCGTGAGATACATAGCCACATGCGGCTCAAGGCATCTGGCGACCACACGGAAGTACGGCAGCAGTATCTACCTGTGCTATGGAACCAGATCATCAAGCGTCTGGCTGTGGATGGGAAAGATGCTGTGGAGGATGTCATCGAGCTTATGGACAGTTACTTCTTGACTCGGGAAGACATTGATGCCATGACGGAGCTGGGTCTTGGTCCCCAGGAAGAACGGCCTGGAATGATTGAGACACAAACGAAGCAGTACTTCACCAGAACGTAAGTGTTTCACCTCCCACATACACCCACCCCCCTTTACTATTCGAGGTATAAAAAAAGCTCACACTCTGCCAATAGATACAACGCCATGAACCACCCGCTACCGTTTATGAAGGCAAGCAACGTGATAGCGCCAAAGAAGTCTGCCAAGGAAGTCCCCGATCTGGAGGAGGCTATCGAGGAGGAAGACGAAGGCGAGATTGCAGAACTGGAAGTTGCCGACGAAGGTTCCGATGATCTTGACCTAAAGGCAGACAAGTACATTAAGCAGCCCAAGGCCAAGGCAAAGAAACCAGCCAAGAAGGCGAAGGCCTCTAAGGCTGACGACGCCGACGATGACGACGTTAAACCGAAGGCACGAGGGAAGAAGGCTACAGCCACGAAGAGCAAGAGCAAGAGCAAGAAATGAAGGTTGAACTAGCATTTTTGGAGCGCTCGCCTGGTACCTAGTCAGATGGCAGATAATGATATTGTTATGAATTGCTGTTACAGAATCCCTTTGCAGCTTGTTCGAGTCTGGTTTTGCCTTTCTCGGGGGTTTTCGCTCTCAGTCTGTTTCTATCTCGATGCCAACTCCCCTAACCCCAACCCTAATGCCTCTGTCTTCTTCTTTCTTCTTTTTGGAAGTCCTCCTTTCTACCCTAGCAAGCCCTCCTCCCATACCCTTTGAATTTGAGACTTTGGACTCTTCTCAAGACTTGTTGGTTTACCTATCATCATGTCATGGACCCTACATACCCATCTTGCGTGATAGACATTGTTCCCAGCCTAGAATCCCCCTCACGAATCACTGACCCAGCATATCTCCGCTCAAGACCCCACGACAGCAGATTTCATTCATCTTTCTATAGCAGGATTCTCCTGAGTTCTCGCCAACTTTTTATTATTTCAAGATTCTATCTTTTCAACCACCCTCTTTTTGATTCTGTGAATCAACTCAGCTTCATCCAACATCCATTTTATTTGGAGGATTTAATTTTGAAAAGACAAGACCTGGATTGGAAAGCGCCTTCCCTGAGCCTACAAAAGCTGGCCAGATCTCAGAGCTCATCTGTTTCAGAAAGAAACCCTCCCTCTTCTTTTCTCTTTATCCCCAGATTGAATGGTTACCACCCACACTCAGAAATATCATCTCCCTCCTTCAGTTTTTTTACGCTTTTTAGCCTCTAGGAACTCATTCATCATCATCTGGTATCACTATGGCCCTTTCTTCTCCCAAAGGGCCTCGAGGACTTCTCGATCCTCGGCTTGAAAAGGAGATCGACGCGGCTTCTGTTTTCAAGCCTACACCTAATCTCGGGTTTCCCGAAGCTCAAAGCGTGGGATCGGAACCCGTCACCCACTCCGTTTCTCCCTACAAACCGGTCAGAATGAACACCGCTCTCGAGAATAAGGCCGACTCCTCCAAGAGCAGCAATCCTGGTGAGCTTGATAATTTTGCTCTGTATTACTTCTTTTTGATGAAATTTCTAACGCATCCTCTCAAGAACTTCTTTCGGATACTGAAGAGGACACGGTCCCCATCTTCGATGTTAAGAAGCTGTCTCCCATTGTTGAGCAGGCAGAGTCGTCTCCCTCGCCCCAGCTTAGCATTCTCCAGCGAGCGGCTTCTCGTGCTGGACTTCAGCTTCAGCCTCTCAGTGTTGCTCATGAGTCTAGCCCTCCGAAGACCCAGTACCAGCCGTACTGTGAGCCCCCTCCTCGTACCTCTTCGAGAGTTTCTAACCACGCGGCTGCTACTGCCAATGTTCCTATCGGACACGCCGCAGCTGCGGCCTTTGGCTCTGGTTCTACGGACCAACAGGGACTTTCTAGCTCAAGCTCTCGCCAGCAGCAGATTCCTGAACAGGCGGGTACGGTCCCCAATCTTGCTCATGGAGTAAGAAATGGTCACCATGGTAAACGTATCATTTCCAACTCAGGGACCGTCATTCACTATGAAGTTGGACCGCACGGTCCCAGCTGTAGTCTTGATAACCGCGGAGGTTCCGGTCATGCTTCGTACCGCTCTGCCAACCCCGGCAACGGGGCTGGTCGTAGTCGGTCCGGCGGTGATGGCCCTTCCGGTGGCGGCCCTCCTAATGGAGGCCATCAAGGCGGTGATGGTGGCCCGACTGGCCAGCCGCCCCAGCAGTACTGCACCAAGGACCTCGGCGAGAGGTCGTGGAAGTTCTCTGATGACATGGCCCAAGCCTATCACCACATGAGGGGTCCTGCTGTTAATGAGCTCAACTCGTTTGGCAATCTGCTTCTGTACAGTCGCAAGCATAGCATGCCCGAGAATGCGGACGAAGTCGCTCCTCAAGGAGTTTCCCAGTAAGTTCATCAGCATCTTTCTGCATGGGTTAATTCATGATTTTATCGTCTATTGCAGGGCTTTCTCTCTTGTTAATCATGCTAACGGCATTTCTTCCTCACCATAGTATGGCCTCGAACCTTGAAGACATTTTGGTTTCGCATAACCCCGTTAGGTACCACTCGGATGAGCGCACTTTCGACGTGCCCAAGGCTCAGTACGAGCATGTCGGTCCCTCGAATGTGGTTCCCCATTTTCGACACCCCACCAACTTCAAGGCCGCTGACGTCTCCGATGGCGGAGATTCTGACGAGGGCTACATCTCTCCTTGCACTTTTACGTTCATGGCACGGGGCACGATCCCCAATGTGGACTTGGCGGCTCGTCACCAAGTACCCGCCGATGTGAGTTGACACACTTTTTCCTTATTAATGCTATCATCCTCCTCTCCTTCTATCTAGTGGACTGCTGCTAACCTGGGTATCATTACCTGTAGGCGCAGCCCCTTCGTTCCCAGGCACCTGCCGAGCCCGTCCACGAGGAGGCCAAAGACAGACATCGCGCCGCCGATTACCGTGCTCAATACGATGAGGAAACCTAGGAGGCCCTCACCGGATCTTACCACGTTTCGACCAACCCCTCGATTATCTTTGATCCTCCTGGTGAGTTTTTTCCTTTTCCCGTGTTTCTTGATGTCCTATGGGGTTGGCAACTAACTAGTTTAACAACAGGCATTCGTAAGCGCGATTTGAAGTATCTCAGGGGATCTTTCGGGAAACTCTTTTCTCGTATGCAGCCAGTTCTCGGCAAGAAACTTGACAAGATTCGTCTTGGCATCAGTGAGAAGGATGCCGACCCCGCTGAATCCATTTTCTCGGATCATACTCCATTTAGCCAGGTAATAAAAGCCCAAGCCTCTAACTGCTCTATCCTCAGATCAAAGGCGAGTCCAGTCCAAACTAACTTCCCGTGCCCAGGCCGAGATTGACGCCGCCTTCCGCGCGCCGTCTGCTGAGCCTATTGATGGTATCCCCCCGAGTCGCGTTACTGAAGCTATCAACCAAACCGAAGCGGAAATCAAACGCCTCGAAGTTGACGAGCTCGCCGCCTACAAGACGGCTCATGAGAATAGCGAGTACCTCAAGTTCCTCAAGGAGACGTACACCCGCGTCACCGAGGCGGGCCAGTACATCCGCACCTTCCACCACAGGGTCTCGCAGAAGCGCAAGCGCGCCAAGATCCGACGAACCGTGGCCCACAGGCTCCGAGAGCTCCAGTACCAGCGCCTCAAGCTCCTCGACGAGCTCCACGAATCTCAAGCTAGGAACGAGCTCACGCTTGCGCGTATGCTGCAAGTTGAGCGCGCTCTTCAGGTAGAGTGCCAGTATGCCAACGTCGAGACTGTCGAGGAGATTATGGGTACGGCTGCGGCGCTTTGGGATGAGATGAACGAGATCGAGTCCTCTCGTAGGAATGCCGTATTGCCTGAAGCGAACGGCTCGCCTTCTCGTGGACGTCGTCAGCAACAGCCGCCGCCGCAGCGGCAGCTGCAACCTCAGCAGCAACCTCAGCAGCAACAGCGACAACTATATGCTGCCCAGTACGAGACCCCCCAGCGCAACCCACAGCAGTGGCGTGGCCGCGCGTCTCAGATGGTTACTCCCCAGCAAGGTCGTCCCATCCCGAACACGCCCGCGATGCAATCTGACCCTTCGGGTCGTCTCATCGCTTATATCCCTCACAACAACACGCCTCAGCAGAGCGACTTCCAGAATCTTGCCAACCTAAGCCAGTGGGATGCCTTCTTTTGAGAGAGAGCTGACGTTTTTATCTTATCGTCCCGACTATCAAGAAACCAACGAGGACGTAAAGGGAGAAGAAGAAAGTTTATTCAGTATTTCTTATTTCGCGGATTTGTGAAGATTGTATGACAGCCTCGGCTTGAGTGGGATCCCCAGATCCTATGATGTCTTTCCCGCTATGGCTTGTCTTCTTCACAAACATGATACCGCATTGTTTTATGACAATACCCGTCATTCTTTTCTTTTCTTTTTCTCTACGTCTTGCATTCTCAGGCTTATTAGCAGGTTAGAAGCATGATATAGTCGGATGAAACAGCTGTTAGATAGGTATCAGCCTCGACGTTACTAGGAAAATGAAGAACGTTTACGTCCTCGAACTTGAATGTGCTTTCGTTTCTCACAAAGGTCTTCTTACTAAATGACGGTGCATAAGAACTGCGTGTTCATGGCAGTAGCAACGCCTTCGAATCTTTCAATATTTATGGGAGTTCAGGCTTCACACGGCAGCAAGATCGTCATGTTTCGAGGGTCCAAAAGTCGGCGAGCAACCCGCAGTGTTTCCTGCGTTTCTCTCGCTTTTAATCCAAGTTTCTCAGATCTAGTAAAGTCTTCATATCGTTCGCTCATAGCTGCGTAGTCCTTTTCCAGATCCGAAAAAAAAAAGGGTAATCTCTTGTCTTAATGCCACCGAATTTTGTTTGTTTTCCCTTCGTCACTATTTAATTTTCGTTTTTATACAAATCCTCCATTACACCTGGCCAACCCCCAAAAATATCATCGTGAGAGGAGTAATTGTACAAAAGTATAATAAAGAACATAGATAGAAAAATGGAACGGGCCATTCTGCCACTTCCCAGGAAGGTGAAGGATTTTTCGGGTTGAGGGTGTTCTTCTCGGGCATTCCGCATATTATAGTCTTACAACACACCGAAAAGAGAAGATGGAAAAAGTAGGTAACACGATGCTCGGCGCATCATTCCCCGCGAAAGGTCTAAGACGGCCATGGCTGAGAGGAGAAGGGAGGGGGATTGAGGAGGGGGCATGTCCCATCTCACAGCTCCCACGAGGCAAGGAAGCCTTGAGTGCCGACAATTTTAACGATGCCTCTTAGCAACCTGTACCTTAGCAGGCCTCAACAACCGCCCATTAAGCTTAAACCCCTTACTCTCAACCGAGACGACGGAATTATCCTCGGCCTCAGGATGAGGCACAAGAATGGTAACCTCGTGATCGGCAGCATTGAACTTCTCGCCGAGGGGATCCAGCCTCACGACGCCGTGCTGCGCGAGCACCTGCATGAGGATGGTCTCGGTGAGCTTGAGACCCTCGTGTAGGCTGACGAGGTGCTTGTGGTGCTCGGAGGTGGGCTCGCCGGCGAGCTGGTCCTGGGGCACGATGTGCAGGGCGCGGTCGAGGTTGTCGACGCTGTCGAGGAGGTCGGAGGCGAATTTTTGGATGGCGAAGTCTTTTGCTGCTTTTTGGTCGCGGGCGCTGCGGTCTTGAAGGGTGCGGAAGTCGGCGAGGAGGCGGAGGTATTTATCCTGTTAGAACGACAAGGTTAGCTCTGCGTTTCATCAAACTGGTGTGTGTGTGCCTAGAAAGGATCTTCCTTACCTTGAGATCAATAACCTCCTTCTCCTTAGCCTCAAGCTTCTTCTTCAGAGGATCCTCAACCTCCTTCTCCTCGGCCTTGGCCTCCTCTCCTTCCTTCTTCTCGCCCTCCTTGTTCGCCTCAGCAGTATACCACCTCGTCGTCCTCACGGGCAGCGAAGCTAGCGCAGGCCTCGCGGCCAGCTGGGCTTGGGTTCTGAGGACGGACGATGTCCGGGTGGCGACGGCGGCCGAGCGGATGGCGCGGGCGTTGGTGAAGAGGGCCTGGCGTAACATTTTTAAAATGGGGGAAATGTGTGATGGAGGAGGGAGAGAGGTGAGAGATGGCAATGATTTGGGGGATTGTATGGGATGCGCAGAGCTGTGCGGGTCGTGGTGGATGGAAGGGAAAAAGGTGAGGTTTTGCGATGGAGTGCAAAAGCAGATGTAGGTCAGTTCAGCATTAAGGTTATTGGAGAGCTTGGATTTTTTTTTCTTGGGAAATTTTCTCAGGGAATTTTTTTTCTTATGCTTCCAGCTCCTTCTGGCCTTGGCAGGTGGCACGTGAGTGCCGGCAGGGATTGTCGGGCGGACACATCCGACGTCGAACCGAAGGCGAAGGCAACTCCGAGCTCATCTCCTCGGAGGGAGTTGTCCATTATTATCCTTAAGAATAGTTCGAAAATAATAATAATAACAATGGTAATAAAACTGAGAAAATTGAAGTTTACTTGGAGATGTCAATTGAAGCGGAGTTGATATGTATTGCTCTCTCTCTATATGTCCAGTTCTATCCTGACAACGAATCTCTTCTTCCAAGGTATTATGGATCATGTCCACACCCAAGGGGGTGTGCTTCTTAGCTTCTATCAGCTTCCGCCAAGCTAGAAACACATACGACAAGTCTTTTTTTGCGATGAAAACCGCCCAAACCAACATTGGTGGTGAGTTGGAGGAAAAAAAAAATCAAAGGTGAACCAACCACCTGCTCTTCCACTAGGCCCATAGTGACAGGTATATCCAGTTCCGTGCAAGCCAAGAATTAGAAAGATATCTGATAAAAAGGAACAAGACGCTCAATCACTGCTGCTGCTTCTCCTCCTCTTGAATGCTCATCCTTCCGTCTCTGTGATGTCTTCAATTTCCAAATTCGTCATGGCGCTCTCGTTCTCTTCGTTGCCGATTAACGCCGAGAGATGCTGGTAAGAAGGGTAGCCTGAGATTGGGTATAGAACCACGAGGATTCCCCGCTGGCCAAAATGAATAAAATAAAACAGAAAAAAAAAAGAAATTGGAAAGAAGGGGGGAAGAAGGGAAGAAAATATGAAACAAAATGCTGACTTCCTACAAACCTGTCCCCTGCCGGACCGTCTATGGTATATGTATCTGTCATATATGTACGTCGAGTTCGATGCCCTTTCCAGAGTGTCCCTATGTGGTCGGAAGAAAATCAAAACAATACACACGAATTCGTATGCCTAAGTGGGGGTATTTAGTCTTCAAGGCCCTTAATCTTTCTATACACCTTGCGGTGCATCTCAAGGAAGATGAAGATGCCGATGGTTTGCCTGTGTGATAGCGTGTTAGCAGCGAGGTATCTCAATATGGCTGCGACTGATTCAGCAGCGGTCAACACTTACGGCCCGAGTCGAAGGAAACTTGGCGTCCAGCCGCGGAACATCCACCGAAATCCTTCCGTCTTGATGAGATTCTTCAGCACCGACACAACGCCATGATCCGCCGCGCTGCCCGACATGACGCGCGTCTTCACGACATCGACGGGGTTAGTCACCGTGGCGGCGACAACAGCAGCCATGAACGAAGCCGTAAAGTGCGTCGCGAGGGTATCCCCCATAGACGTATGCGAAAGCAGGACGCTCTTGACAACATCATACGAAGCGAGCTGCGACGACGTCATGAAGGCCGCGCGCACGCTGTTGGGCCATATTCCGCGGAACCAGCTGCCAATTCCTTCGTGGCGCGCCATCTTGAACATTCCGTCGAGGCCGTGCTTGTAGTTTCTCCGCTCGGCGTGAGGGAGGGCCGCGTCGTGTTGCATGCGCACGTTGACGACGTCGGCACCGTTGCCGCTGAAGCCTCCGATGAGGCCCGATACAGTTGCTATGGCCACGAGGGTGGGGAGTCCGGGCTGTTTGTTGTCGGTTGATGCTCGGTTCTTGAGCTCTTCGTAGATTGCGAAGCGGACGGTCGAGTAGGTCATCTGGCGGAGGAGGGAGGCCGAAAGACCGCTGTAGATGGCGAGGAGGCCGTCATTTTTGACGATGTGGGCGAAGGTTCGGGTCATGGTTTTGGGCATGTCGCCGCTTCGCATTTGAAGGCGCACCTGTGGTTGAAAAATATGTGTTAGTATTCTCGATCGGGGTTCGAAGGGTTCGAAGGCGTCGAATGTATGGGTTGGGCTGGCCCAAAAGAAGCTTCGGTGGTAATAGGTCGTACCTTGACTGGAGATTGCCGAATCGTTAGCTCAAGCACCGCTCAGAGACAGAAGCGCTTGGGGACGGGGAGCATGTGAAAGCCTGGACTGGTTGATCAGCCTGGCCGGCTCTGCTTACCTAGATCAAGAGGGTGCGTGACGACGGTAGCCATACAGCAAGCGCTGCCTCCGAACCAGAAAGGGTAATGTATGGGCTTGCCCTTCTGCTGGGCAGCCGCCGGTGCGGCCTCTCGTTTTTTGGACTCCATGGTTTTGGCTACTTTTGCCGACTCCATCGCGACGGTGAATTATGAAGGAGGGTGTGTTGAAAGCCGGGGAACTATGCCTAGGGGAGGTTGTCGTTCGTCCTAGCAGCCTTTGCGCATCCTGTAGGCTTGCGGGCCTCGGCGATTTCTCTCGAAAGGAAGGGGAGGGAAAAAAATATGATCTATCTTCTACCTCGACATCCGGCAGAGCACTGACGCGGGTTGACGAAGCGAAACCGGAGATAAGGATAAGGGAATGACTGCTCCTCTAGCCGAGCAAGCACAACGATTCCACAGCTCGAAGAAATCGGGACGAGAAAATTAACTTCCTTCGATATGGGAAGTTTTCCTGCTGGATTTCTGGAAGCAGTGATGTCGAAGTGATGCTGTGACTCGGAAGGAAGATGGCGAGCAAGGGGGGATCGGACCTTAAGAAGCGAAGAAAAAAATACAAGGAGATTATTGGTGCTGATCTTGGCTCGCAGTTTACCGGTACCCGGACCGGGATCAAAAAAAGACGCCGAGGGGTCTAGATCCCCTTCGACGTCGCGTCGGCGACCACAGGCAGTTGAGATCCTGCGCCATGTGGGGAACCAGAAGACCCAGAAGGCCCAGAAGAGCTCGCCAGATTCGCCAAGGCTCTGCCAAGTGCCTTTGCCAAGGTACTGGAGCATCGCTGACTCACACCTCAATTAAGAAATGCTACATGAGAAAACAGGCAATATCTTTTATTGCATAAAAGGGTATTGTCTATCTAACGAGGCAATGTCACAAGCGTGGTAACCTATGTCTGCCACTGAGGTTGTTCAAAAAATAGTTAAACCCCAAGCGAAGAGACCTGAGAAGGACCGGTGCCTACAGAGCGAGCTCAAAGTGTTGATCAAGTGTGAAGTCTAACTTGTCTGGTGTATTGAACTAAATGTAGTCAATCTAGCGCCGAAAGTCTCACATCAAGCGTCTCTGCATCTGATCCTCATCGATCTTGCTCGTGATCAAAGGTTTGTATTTATATCCCCCCTGTGGACGGGACAAGACTTCTGTCAACTTTCATCCTTTCATCACCTAGGACCGTTTCTACTTCTCTCCTCGCGTGGCAAGTTTATCCCATAACCAACTACAACACGCAACGAATCCATCATGGATCTCACAAATCATGAGGGCATCCTACTTAGGTCGATGAGGCAATCAGTTTTCCACTAGCTCCGTTTGAACCGAGCTCGAGCCACGTGTGGCTTAAATGTGGCGAGGCGAAATTACGGTGTCGAGCTTCATTTGCACTGTGGCTACCGCCATCTCTTTGCCCTGGTGACCAAAAGTAAATAAATGATCCGCAGCTTATCACCATTTCACCACTCAAACGCCGGACCACGGGATACAAGCTCGAGGTACCCGCTTCACCTGACCAAAACACCAACTTCCCAAACTTAATGACAGTTCAATGTTTCACTTACTCTGTTTTACTTGACCTCATCACGACCTTTTCATTCCTGCGAGTTTTGATATCTGATTTTCTATTTTGTGTTGAAGAACTACACCGCCAATATCTCGCTGGGTTCGAGTTGAGGACAAATGACTCGAGTTACTCAGGATTTCGACTTTACCATCCACGAGGATGAGACCTCGATGAACTCTACCGCCGATGATGAGGCCGAATCTTTTTGTGCGAAGGAGACAGTAGAAGAAGACTTGGTGGAAGCTACGGAAGAGCCCGTGGAGGAACCGGCCAAGGAGCTCGAAGACGACTCTGAACACAGTCTTCTTCCAGAGGAGCACGCTATCCAGGAGAGCGAGGACGGGGAACCCCATAGTGACAGAAACGGGCCTGAGGAGGGACAGGACGACGAGGCTGTGGAACCGGAAGCTGAATCAGAAGAAGTCTATCAAGACGATTCTGTAGACCATATCGAAGCACATGACGACGATTACGACGAGCTGGCTGGCGAAGACCACGAAAGCCTAGGTGGTGATACCCACGATGACACCGCCGACCATGATTACGACCAGGATCTGCCCCCAGAGCATGATGGCGACCAAGAAACACCAGCGGAAGATGACGATATCCATGACGAGCCCGAAGTGCACGAACACCCCCAGGAAGATGAGGATGGTGTCCAGGAGGGTGACGATGAACGCTCGTCGGACCCGGAATCAAGGAGAATGTCACTAGCTTCCTCCAACGGATACCGGCGCATATCTGGTCGAACAGACGCCCTCATTCAAGCAGCAGCGAGAGCAGTTGTTGCACGCATTGAGAAGCGGAAGAACTCATCGGACGCCCATTCGGTCGACGAAGATCCCGAATTCTCCATACTAAGTCACACAACAGATGAGCACGAAGACAAAGCCGAAGAAAGGGATGTCCTCGGCGACGACCACACCGAGCCGAACTATGAAGAACATTCCAGGGAGGGCCCTCGCACGTCCGACGTTAGCTCGGTCGCTGCCCCTGCCGCAGACGATCCCGGAAACGATAGCAGCTCCCACAACGAAGCTGACGACGACGTTTTTAGCGAACAGAGTCCTCGCAGCTCCATGGGGTCCCTATCTAGTGACCCGGATCGAAAGCTCTCACTCGATGGGACCCTTACACAAGCCAGCCGCTCTCCTCGCATCTCTAACATCTCCCAATACGACAAGGAAGATTTCATCCCAACCGCCCGCAACACTCCTCGCCCCCCATTCCGGACACCCTCTTCTGTTCGTGCTATGCAAATGTCTTCTCCTCCTTCGTCCGTGTACGGATCGCCACGCTCTAGCAAACGGCATTACCCTACCATCTCGCGACTAGGGAGCCCGGCTGTTTCGGCTCAGTACTCGCCCAAAGGCCGTTCCACTCCGCCAAGGCTCAAGGTGCGAAAGGAAGCACCCTTAGTCCTTCTTCACGTTACACTTCTACCACTAAGGTGGATGTGGGCGGATGTGCTCGACGCCGCCGAGGCGGAGGAGCTGAGCGAGTCGGCCAAAGTCCTCCGTGATTCATGGCGCCAACTACAGTCTAGAATGGGAGATACTGTGGTCGAGCGCGGCGTGCTCCTGCCTCATCCTCAAAACGATTACGAGGTCCTCGAAGAGCGCGTGCTTGAGGCGCTCGAGCTTCCCCTTAAGCGCAGAGCTCGTATTCTCGAATGTGGACACTATCTTGGTCCCTCTAACATAATGACCATTGAAAGCGACACAGAGAGTGACGACGAGGACTACGAGAATAGCGGGAAGCTATCGCGGATCCTCGAAGAGGAGAAGTCGTCCCACTGGTGCAAGACGTGTCAGAACGAGATCAAGTACGAGTCGCTGGGTCCCGGCAAGGTCTTCCGCGTCAAGGTCTATGCCAGCAATGGTCTCATGAAAGCTGGTGCTTGGGAGGCGTGCTGGAAGGAGATGGAGCGTATTGACATTGAGATTGAGCCGATTGTTGAGGCATCGCTTCAGGAGGAGTTGAATAACTTGGAGGTTGAGCAGCAGCGGCGTGAAGAGGAGGCATGCATGGAGGAGGAAGCGCGTATGGAAGAAGAAGCACGTATGGAGGAAGAGCTGGAGGATGTCCAAGAGCAGCATATCAGTGGGCTCCGCCAGGATCAACACTTTGATAGCAGCATGATGGCGGACCTCGACCACTCCCACATTCCCAGCTCTCCTCCCATCACAGACATGCAGATGGAACAACAGAGCCGCTCGCTCCTAAGCAGGCCCCAGTCAGGCATGCTCGCCCAGTCACCCAATCCTCCTGACATGCGCATGCAGGAACACCACACTACAGTTGTCAGCCGGCAACAGCAATGTTTTGTCACCGGGTCTCCTTCTCGAGATATGCACATGATGGAGCGACAACAGTCCGTGATGGCCAGCCCTCGCAACCCGAGACTACTTAACAGCCCTCCGCCGCCATCGAACCTCCGGACGATTGAGGACAGCCCTCACTCCACTCCACTCAATCACCACCGCCAGCTACCACCGCACTTGATGAGTTCACCCGGACCTTCTCCAATGCGCATTGAAGACCGTCCACCATCCCCTGCCCTCAACAGCCCTCAATCGCAAGGCTTCAATTCCTCGCCCTTGCCAGAAGTGCACCTGGATTCTTCTCACGTCGATTCGGAACGTCGCTGGAGGGACGAAGAACGCCTGCGGGAGATTTATGGCCACACGCCTCCTCACCACCACACCTCTCCGAGCCCATCCCCGGCGAACCACCGGCACGAAGACTCCTACATGCCCGGTCCCACGCCATCCTCGCCCTCGCAGGAGGCCTTTGAGCGTCGAGAGGAGCGCCGCGAGACGCGCCGCAAGTCGTATCAGACGGCGTCGCTTTCGGAGCTTCTCCTCGAAGCGACCAAGGTTATCCTGGCGGATTGGAAGAATCTGATCATCGGGCTGCTTGGGTTGATAGCTCTGATGCTCGCCGTGCGCGGTGGGATTGGCCCCACAGACCGGTATCCCCAGCACAATCACTTTCCCGTGACCGGCGGACGAGAGGTACCGACGATGCAGATACAAATTCAGACGGGGGAGCGAGTCGCGGCGAGCGTTGCTATGGAGGAGGCAGAGGTTGCTAAGAGTGTGCCTGTCGCACCACCCGCCATTGAGGAACCAGTTCGGGCGACTGTTGAAGAACCAGTCCCAGCTATCGCCGACCAAGATCCTGAGGTTGACTCGGAGGTTGTCACCGAGACCATTGTTTCGACTGAGGTCGTCACCGAGCTTGTGACTGAGACCGAGGTTGTGAACAAGGAGATTCGGCGAATCGTGGAGACTGTCACTGAAATTGAGACAGTCAGAGTCACGGCTACGATGACGACTACAGAAACAGAAACGACGCACGAAACCGTGCATGTTTCTCAAGAATCGTCAGTTGCCCCAGGTCCGTGTGATGACTTTATTCCTCAAGGTAGTACACCCCAAGTTGGGGAATTAAAGGAGCCTGTGGTAGACGCTATTCACGACAGCATCAACAATGACCTTGAGGATGATGCCGAGGAAGCATCCGTCCAGCCCAACTCAGAAAGTGATGACTTGCTGGGGCATGACGAGCTCTGATGGAAAATATTCAAGGGATTGTATGGTAGATTGACTCAAGAATGATGGTACATGTAACGCAGCGAAAGGGTATATGACACTGATGTCTTTGTTCTTATCCAATGGCTTTTTTTTCGGTTCTTTTTGTCCATTTCTGGAGGGAGACGAAATGCGATATACCAAGTGCGATGGGAGTTTTTCTGTTTCCTTCTTTCTCTTTGTCCCCTTTTCAGCCTTGTCTTGGTTAATGTTTTATGAGATTCTGGAGATTGATACAAAGTGAGCGTTTAGCTAGTAATGAGATTAGATTTCAAGTAACCATAGAACTTTTGATGTGCTCCATGATTTCAGTCTATCCATATATCAAATATCTGTTCTTCGCCGAGGTCTCCAAGATCCAGAATAGAAAATAAAGTCTACACAATCATGCTCGGGGTCATGCGTTTTCGACAATGAACAATGTATATTCTTCATAACTCTTTTTTTTACCCTCGTAAAGTGATATATTTTCCGAATCCCCTTACTCCTCCGGCTGCCATTTAAACCCATTCCATCATCTACCTCCCGAAGGAGCTCAACGCATGCCTCGACTGCTGAATCGCCAACGCATCCATGACAGCCAACGCCGCCATCCCTTCAACGATGGGCACCGCCCTCGGCACGACGCAAGGATCATGCCTTCCCTTGGCAGCAAGGACGCCCTCAGCTGAGCCATCATAGTTGGCCGTGGTCTGGTCAAGACCAATAGTAGCAGGAGGCTTGAAGCCAACCCTAAAGTAGATGTGCTGACCGTTAGAGATACCGCCCTGGATACCGCCAGAGTGGTTCGTCTTAGTAGCGAGCTTAGGTCTCGGGATAGCGGAGCCGATAGCAGCGGCAGCCGAGGATGCGGGAGCGGCGACGAAGGGATCGTTGTGCTGAGACCCAAGCATCCTGGTACCGCCGAAGCCGGAGCCGATTTCGAAGGCCTTGACGGCGGGGATGCTCATCATGGCATGACCGATCTTGGCCTCAAGCTTGTCGAAGGCGGGCTCGCCGAGACCCGACGGCACGTTTCGGATAACGCAGGTGACGGTGCCGCCGGTGCTGTTGTCGCCCTGCTTCAGCTTCGTGATGAGTTCGGTCATCTTCTCGGTGGCGGCCTCGTCGGGACACCGCACGGGCAGGAACTCGTCGACCTTTTCCCTCGTAATAGTCTCCAAGAAGCTCGTGAACGCCGGGTTCAGCGAACGCGAAGGAAACTCCTCCGTCTCGGGGAACAGCTCAACGGAGCCAACGGAGCTAACAAAGGCAACAATCTCAACGCCATAGCTCTCGCGCAGAAACTTCTCAGCGACAGCGCCGGCCGCCACACGCGCAATAGTCTCGCGGGCGCTACTCCTCCCGCCACCGCTGCTGGCCTTGATGCCGTATTTCTCGAGGTAGGTGAAGTCGGCGTGGGAAGGGCGCGGGTAGACGTCCATGGTCTTGTTGCCGTAGTCCTTGGGGCGCTGGTCCTCGTTCATGACGACGAGGCTGATGGGGGTGCCGAGGGTCTTGCCGAATTCGGTGCCGGATTGGATGGTTACGCGGTCCTTTTCGTCGCGAGGCGTGGTGATGGAGCTTTGGCCTGGGCGGCGGCGGTTGAGTTGGGGTTGGATGTCGGATTCGGTGAGGGTCATGCCGGGGGGTGGGTTGTCGATGATGCACCCGACGGCTTTGCCGTGGGATTCACCGAAACTGGGGGAGAAGAGTCAGGCATTGTGATTTTTGGGGAGATTTTCTTTATTTCCCTGGGGGCAATGGCGAAGGCCATCACTAGGGTGGACTCACGTGGTGACTCTGAAGACGGTGCCAAAGGTCGACATGATTGCGAGCAGGGGATGGTTCGGTGGGTGACAAGAGAGGGGAAGATAGGACGTAAGATGTCCAGGTGAAGATCAGTTCGGAGCAATGGCCAATGCCGACTTTAAAACGGACAATTGGCGCAGGTTCGTGAGAAGTCGTGAGTCACCAGGGCTCCAAGGGTACGTACGAGTTGACGATGCAGATACAACAAATTCAGCTATTGTCGGAAGATCTCAATGCAGTTTCCCCAAAAAATTCGAGGCCGACTTCGGGTGGGGTGGGTTTTGCCCGTCTTAAACTGTCTTGGTTGTACTGAGGAGGGGCAATTCCCCGAAGCGCAAGTATTTTGACCCCGCCATTGACTCAAATTGAGGGACATCAAATCCAATCCCCCATCAAAATTTGGACCCTTGAACACCCCACCTCTTTACGGAGTACAGGGCACTCGGACCACTAAAACCTCAACGGGTCAGCACCCAACGACGCTCTCTGGTTGGTGGAATAGCGGGTAGCTCGGTATAGCGCCACTGAAGCCACAGCAGGATGAGCACTGTGGCTCGGGGTATCTCCAATCAACCACCACCAATGACAGCGCAGAATTGATAATTTCAACCTCATCGCGGCTCAAGGGTCTCATCGGCTCAAGGACAGCCTTCATGTTTCCTCGACTCAACCTACATCTACATCAAAGATGATATGACCGTTATAACATCAATGCCAGCGGGAACTACCTAATCCTCACGCGATGAGGCACACTCTTCCACTACCCCTCAAGCAGTGTCTGCCCTGGACATCCTCGGGGGTAGTTTCTCGAACTACGTTCCTCCGTCCTCGCTCTGCTCCATTAGCACCCACTCGCCGTCACTTCACCGACGCGGCCTCGCATCCCTCCAATAAAGTCCAATTCTATCTCTCACGCACCAATGACCCCTATCTAAACCTTTCAATTGAGCACCATCTCCTCCAGAAAAGCCCTCCTGACTCCACCATCCTCTTCCTTTACACCAACCGGCCCTGCATCGTCGTCGGCCGCAACCAAAACCCCTGGCTAGAAGTCAACCTTCCTCTCATAGAGCAACTGAGGGCACAAAGTGAATCCGGCACCGAAGATGCCCTGCGCATGGAGCTCGTACGCCGCCGCTCGGGAGGCGGCACCGTCTTCCACGACGGCGGCAACGTAAACTACTGCGTCATCTGCCCCCCCGCCGTCTTCGACCGCGACAAGCACGCCGAGATGGTCGTGCGCGCTCTCCGTCGCCTCGGCGTATCCGGCGCCAAAGTCAACTGCCGCCACGACATTGTCGTCGACGTTGGCGAAGCAAACCCGGAAGCGCCGCTTAAAGATGAAACAGCGTGTCCTGCTGGACAGCAGGGCCCGCAAACGTTCAAAGTGTCCGGGTCGGCGTATAAGCTGACGCGGCTGAGGTCGCTTCATCATGGGACATGTTTGCTTTCGTCGCCGAATTTGGCGAGTATTTCGTCTTATTTGCGCTCGCCCGCTGAGCCTTTCATCAAGGCGAGAGGCGTCGAGAGCGTACGGTCCAAGGTGAGGAACGTTGCGGTTGGGAATGCGGACTTTGAGGAGGCCGTTAGGGAGGAGTTTGGGAAGATGTATGGACGGTTTGATATCGACCTCGTTGTTGGTGATGAGGCGCGTGATATACCAAACGTTCAGAACGGGCTTAGGGAGCTTCAGGTAAGACGAGTTATTTACGCTCTCGCCTTCTCTTTTTCTCTTCTTCATCGTTAACGCGGCTCATTCAGACTCGGGATTGGATATACGGACAAACACCGCGGTTTGCCTTTTCTACTGCACCTACGGAGGATGATCCTCGAGAGCGTCCCGAGCTTCCCTTTGATGTAAGTCAGGTCTCAATTTGCCCTCTAGCCACCGGCGTGTTCCACTGACCCTCGTCCAGACAAGCATCCATGTCGATGTCCGACAGGGCATAATACAAGAGCTCAGCATCAACGGCATGCCTGCCCTTCAGACGGAGGCGAGGAACACATCGTCGTTCTTTGAGCTGCCCAGCTGGAGCGACCTGCTCACGGCTGGAGGCTTGACGGCAACTCGCGTTGACGAGGTTGCCGCCTGGCTACAGAGTCTTCTCGGTGATTCATGCAAACGAAAGGACCCATGAGACCTTACCTCTCTTCCTTCCCACCTCCCACGTCTCACTCCTACAACCCAAGACAGCCCCCACGGCCGCTCGTCGGCTTCGGATGTATCCTCGAAAGGCATCGAGTGTGTATAATAGAATACAAACTGTGCGATACATTCGGTACAAGTGTATTCAGAGATCTATTAGACTAGATAGATACCCATCTTCTTCCATCATGTAAATTTCAAAGGGGCGAGATAATAACCCCCTTCCTTAGTAGCTTGAGACTCCCCGACAGAACGTTGGTCCCCTCTTCATCCACTTCATCCACCCTATGACGACATTCCTCCCTCGCGAACATCTCGTGTAGATACCACACCGAGCGAAGCCATCCTATCACCTCGTCAAATTCATCCACGCAACATCCTCGCTCGCCGCGCACAAAAACGCGTAGTACCCACCCACACTCTACGCGTCCGTCCGGTGGCAAAGCCTCACCACCCACCCTTGTGCCACACCCAAAAAACCAAGAAAAAAAAAAAGGCGGACAAAGGTAGCTGTAACTTTTTTTCGGGTTCCAAAAATGTGCATGATGGAGCGGGAAAGGGGGTGGCAGGCAAGCGGAATGCCGCAGCAAGGAACGAAAGGAAATGTAGTGGAGGGGGAAGGCGGAGAAGGGGGGATCAGCTGGACGAGGGAGGCATCCCGATTAGTTCGCCTACCCTCCATTATTTTTCCTGCCCAGTCCTATACTCCAGCATGATTCTTTTTTTTTTTTTTTTTTTTTTTTTTTTTTTTTACTAGCTCTTTTTTTCGTGATAATTATTGACTTACATCTGGGAAATGGTAGGTCTGGGTTCTTTTTTGCTGATTCTTCCTGTTATCGTGCTTGGCAGCCTTAAGGGGGGGGATGGAGGGTCACTAAGGCATCCAATGACAAGCACATGCGGCAGAGAATGGAGAGGGGAGCTGGGAGGGTGTGGAGGGAGCATGGCACCTCATTCTGATTTCCCCATCTCCCTTCTCGCCCGGCATTCTTGCTGCAGTCCTTCTGTCGAATCGGGTGTGCGTCATGCGTCGAGTGTATCGCGAAGGTCGGCGTTCACCCTCTCCCCCCTTCATTTCAAAAACCGAGACATTGGGGTAGCAGCGAAACTAATGTTGATATGCCAGATACCTGAAGAGATTCATGGAGAATCGAAGGGAGGTCCCGCTCCGAGGAGAAGAGCAAACTTGAACGGTGTATCCTGCAAAGTGGGCGCCACTTTACGAAACGCATCTCTATTGCTTTTTCGTTTGAAGAAACGCCTCTTCGGCGACGAAACCAGCTTTCGGGGTTTATTGGAGGGCGACGAGAAGCAGCTAGACGAACCAGTTCGAGCTATCTCGACGCGCGCCACGATAAACCAAGGCTCGATCACGACCATCCACCGCTGGTGGGTCGGGCTTGGAAGGTGGTGTGTGGTGCGCGGTGTGTGGCTGGGTCAAGCCTCCTCTCGACCTCTCTCGGCCATCGGGGCTCGTATTCAACCAGATGATCGACTGTCGTGATAAGAAACCAAGGTTAGAGGAAAGATGCCACATTCCACTAACACGACCTTTTGGGTTTGGCTTTCCCTGTCGACATACGCGCGTTTGGTCGTCTCCAAAGCGAAAGAGAGATACCAGGACGGATGGTCCATCTGACTGACGGCTTTGCAGCGCAGGTAACGATTGACACATTTGGACGCTCTACAGAGAGGGAAGCTCTATCGAGATGGAGTAGCTTCCGGGTGAAGTCCCAACATACCCAGGGCATAGAAGCTCCTAGAGGCAAAGACAAGATAAAAGTGTGGCGTCACCACGAAAGCTCCTCCAATCAACCCATCTCTATGCCCGGTTGGTCGTATTGCGATCGACTGTTGCAGCGCATTCCCAGGTCGCCACAGGAGATAGCTCGACAGGGAACCAAGCGGAGGTTTTCAAGGTCCCGACGCAATGCAATCCCGAGTAGGAAATGCGTATTCGACGTATAAGCTCTCCGGGAGTGATGGTGTGAGCTGGAGCTTGCACATGCTAGGACCAGAAGCCACACAGCTTTAAGATGTCGGTCACTTACACCCTGGGGATCACTTCTTGGGTAACATGACCGCCAGTCTTGTCTTTTCTTCTTCCGCCCGCAATATTTCACCCTTATGCTAAGGATGGGTGTGTGTGTCTGTCTGTGACGTGAGACATTGCCTGCCAAAACGACAACATTTCTCCCTTTTGATTCATGTGCTTAACGTTTCTGGCGCCATTGTCATCATGGAGGTATAGCGGGGTCCCCTCGAACAAGATCTCCGCCCATTTCCCCCTTTGTAAATCCGATTTTCTCCATGATAAGGAGTAAGAACTTGGAACTTTAGTCTAAGTTGGCGTATCTTAAAGAGTCAACCCCTCCTCTTTCCCCCTCTCAATCTCAATCTGCCACATGTGACGGCGCCTGAAACCAGGCGATGAAGATGAACGGCGCGGGAATCCACCGCATCATGTTTTGTTTTCCCCGTGTAAAACTTTCACACGCAAAAGAAAAGAAACTATGAAATAAACAAATAACTCCAGGTAAGCAGGCCCCCAGACTCAAAAGTCCCCGACACTCCGCGCCTCCGAAGAATAAGTTCTTTAGGAGAGGCGGCGGAAGGAGGCCATACCGAGACCTCCGGTATTAGGCTGGACCTCGCCTCCAACAAGAGCCCCCCGCTCCGAGAACCAACTCCCATTCGGAACCTTGTTTCCCCAGCGAACCTGGTAGATTTTTTTCCTTCTTTTGTGAAATAAGACCCAACAGTTCCTCCGCCTTTTCCGAGGTCCTCGCTATTGACGGTAATGCCAAGGTTTTCGAGAGTCAGTTCATCACGGGAAGGATTCCCCCCCATCTCGCTGAAACCATTACATCTGGGAATAGGATAAGTCTAGACCGGTTCCAGAATAGACGGCGCGATGGGGCCAACCTCGTCCCAAGGTTGTCGTTGTAGTGATTACGAAGTAATACTTGGCAGCTTAGTTCGCACGTCATAGAGGCTCGTGTCCAAGAGACTGAACTATACTTTATGTTTTGGAAGTAATCGGAGGACGTGGTGACCGAAGTCCGGATACCAGTTCGTGGGTAAACGTTCTTCAGGGTCCGTCGAAGGCGATATCGAATGAATAGATGGGTCTGTGAAGTCAGACGCGCCAAACCTTAGCACTGGAGAAGCCTCCAGGCTCGAAATTCCGTGGTACATTCTGGTGCGGACCTATCAGAGAAGTTGAAATGAGCACTTGTGTGAACTCCGAGCTTTTCGGCGAATACAGTGCGCTGGTGGACCAGTAAAGATTGGTTGATGGAGCCGGCGCCCGCTGTATCGGCGACGGGAGATTGGACGACAGACAGGACATTGATCAAATTGGAAGTGTGTCCACTGAAGAAGAACGAGCCATCTCCCACTGTGCAGCCCGCTGCGACTTCCCCTCCTCTTTTCTCTCGAGAAGTGTAGAAGTGCGATGACGTGCAGAAACTTTGCAGAGAATTGGCCCGTGCACACGTACCTATCCCTGCCGTCATCAGTAGATTGGGTACCAGGACCACGGTGCAGACTGTATGTACATAGTATGAAGGGACTCGCGTACGGTGGCGGCAGCAAAACAAAAGAGATCTTGATCGAAGAGTTTCCCACGACGGGTATTAGTACCTGCTAAACTTGGAAGTTGGAATCTCGCCTCAATATCTGGGGAAGATGCGAAGTACTCCGTACCCAGGCAAAGTACAAATACGTACAACTGTACACAAACATCAATCTGATCTCCAAAAAAAAAAAAAAAAAAAAAAAAAAAAAAAACCATCGCGGTGGCAAAACATTCTCGCCAACAGGATAGTAAACGCACGCAGTAAACATTTAGTAGTTTACATCAATAATCGGTTGGCTCGGGACTTGCTGAACCCCATGATGCCAATGAGACTAGAGCTCAAAAAGGTTAACAGGTGCGAAGATGGAAATCTAGCGCACGGGCGGTTCAAAGTGTTTGGATTCGGTTAGGCTTCCCTTGTTAATTGGCAGCACCATGAAATCTCAAGTCCAATATTGCTTCAGGAGCGAATAGCGGCAGAGTCCGCGGAGGTAAATTCTCAAGCAATAGACGAGTTGGAGGGGGAGGGTTGCATCAAGTCAAGTGACGATGGCCTCGGGAGCCTCTAGAATGGGCAGGTGAGGATGGGGAGTTCACAGCTGGCTCTCACACTATATGTCTTGACTTGAGGGCAGGAAGTTTCATATCATCCATTCCTTTTTCACGTTGTTGGTCTCCAGCACTCCCTCATGTGTGTACTTCGTAGGTTTGCTCTCTATTCTTGGTGTTATGAATCAAGGATGAGCCATCAGGCTATGGCGGCGGTGCACACTGCTGAGTGTGGCACCATCCCGTTTCTGGGTGGGAATACTTCGTGGTGGAGGGAGGGTGCTATATCCTATGATTCCTATCCATGAACACGGCTGACCCGAAGCAGATGCGAGGATTAAAGCACACTAAAGCACGCCCCCAGATTTTCATTCGCATTTTTCCATGACACAGACCTGGAGAAACGAGATGGATGTTGCTCTCCTGGTTTGCTAGGTGCCCAATCAAATCCTTCGAGAATCCATTCGCCATCATTCGTCTAGGTCTGTCTGCGAAAAACTCGCTATTGGCGATAGGATCGAGCGAGAAGCGTCAGGGTGTCGCGTGCCTAAGATCCAAATGGGGGAGAATCATCTTCGGATTGGACTACGCTAGAGGGGGAAGAAACGAGATCTTTTGATATCATGTTGCCTGTATTCCCGTGTTGGCACAGATTTTGCAAAGTAATAGACCCTGCTTAGCTTCTCCCACGATCGTCCCTTGCTTGATATTACGTTTCGACATGGGGGTTTCTTTGGCTGGGAATGGGAAAGCTGGACCACACCCAACCCAGGAACCTCAGCTCCGGTTTTCTTACGTTTTCAAAACATTAGAAACTCTGGTTCTTTCCTCCCCCAAATCTTTCGACCGCAAATCAGCGGCGT